GAGATCGTTGGTGATTTTTAAAAGAATTGCTTCCGGTACTGGTGAACGTTTCAAAAGAACGGTGCAATTTCGTATTGACTTTTGGCTCGTAGTCGTAGTGGGTGGCCAAATTATCAGATCCAACGTATCAAAATAGCGAATATATGTGAAATCGAATATTTTTGGAAAAATTTATTAGCGTTCACAAGAACCACCCTCGACACCCAAACGAACTATCGAATATTTTTGATTTTCGTACGAAAATTTAAACAAATGTTGAACACTATTCTGGTAATTTTTATCCCATCGAGAATAACTGTTTTATCGATTTAAAAACGTACTTACGATACGCTTAACTGATAATTCGGCCACCCTTTGCTCGTAACAATGTTGGTTTTATTTCTATGAAATGCAATTGAAAATAAATGGAGAATTTATAGTATCGTATTTCTCTGAATATCTATATTATATGTATTATATATTTATACATTATTACGTGTTACAATATGATATTATATAGTTTATATAATATAGATATTGTATAAGTTACATAGACAAATATAAATTAAATCGTTTAATAGTCGTCGCGAGTATAGGATAGTACGAATTATAATATAACAATGGAGGTTTTCGGTACTGTAAAAATAGATTTACGAAAATAGACCTTAGTCTGAAAAAATTATATAACAATTTGAAATTCACTTTAACCGCTACCAATGACTGATCTACGACGAAACCAACGAAGCTGTTTGTTAAGTTTTTAATCTAACTATTCAGAAGTATAAAAAAAGTTTCTTTTTATCCTGGAAAATGGTTCGTGTAAATAACTTTATACTATTTTCTAATTTTATTTAATAACTTATTGTTAATTGTATAAGTGCATTTGCTGGATCGAGTAAAAGGGCTGAATTTTTTTAATCAAAAATACTTCGATATTCTCATAGACTTTTTAATTGAGAATTTTTCTCCGCGCAAGACTTTTATATGCAATTTTTCTGTATCTCATACTTTTTTTTATACTTCCGTGCGATGCTGCAAAAAAAAGGAAAAGGCTTCTCAAGTTAGCTTTAGGCCTTTAATTGAGGTTCGTCTGAACTCCGGGACTGATCTTTCTTTTTACAATAGATTGTATTTATACGATATGATTTATACAGAGGAGTTTCGAACGAATTCATCGTCCAAATGGAGGATTGTGTGCACGCGTACTCTAATGTGTTAATATCGATAGGGCAAATGCTCGAAATAATTACGATCTGTGAACCCGTGGGGTCGAATCGTGCCGTAGCGAGAGGGTGAACTTTTTCGGTGTTGATACTTGGTCGTCGACGCGACTACGCGTGCGGAGAACCCGCCAACTGTATACGTCGACCGTGTTATTGCAACGCCTATGCGCGTTCTCCGCACGCGCCGCGCAGACCGAAAATTACGCTTATTAAACCACTCGCAGCACCGAAAGAGTCGCGGATAATTGAATGTAACGAAACACAGCGACAAAACGAACGGATTTATCGACGAATATTCGAAAGCGCGCGTAACCCAAAGTTGATCTTAAGAGGGCAGTCTGGTCACCTTATCTATTTGTTCACGCACAACACGATACGCATAAAAATTTCGACGATGTGCACGGATTCGGATAAACCATCGACTTGAAACGCAAAGACGAAAGAGATTATTAATATAGATTGGTAGACCGTGATTGTCTCGATAACCGATACATTTTTCTATAACATACTCAAATTTCAAGTCGATCGGTCGAACACTTTCCGAGATAGCTGTATAGCAAAATGAACGTTAAAACACAAGTTCGGTTCGATACTCTATAGCGTCGTCAATTTTCCAATTTTATCGTGATCTTCTCTGGACGACGCTTTTAGGATTCGAATCTCGGTACAAAATTCGAAAAGAATTCTTTTTTGTGTCTGAAATTACCAGACTGCCTTCTGAACCAGCCACGAGAGGATTTGACGTGATAGTTCGTTGAACTTTGCGCGATTATGCGTGGAAACGATGGTAGGCAACCGTGTACGCGTAGAACGAGTCGAGGAGGATCGTCGAACTATCGACGTGATGTTGCTATTAATGTTAACGTCGGAGATTAACCCTTCAGTGCGCAATTATGCATATTTATATCGGCGCAAATTTAAAATACAGTGATTCTGTGTAAATTTCTTGTACATAACGTCAATGAAATATTTGGGAAAGTATTACGCATTGCAGGGTTAACGTAGACCTTTCGTTGCCCCGATTATTTTTGTAAGCTACCCGGTGCAAGAGTAAACGCCTTCACGAGTATGCTGTCGCGTGAGAAATACTGGCTGTTCAAGGTCGTCGAGGAACGATTCCCCCACCACGCTGTTCAACCGCGTCCTTTTGCCCCGCCCATTGTGCTCGAGTGGCGGAGAAGAGCAAAATTGCGGTCACGTGACCTCCGTTGAACAGAACGCAAGAACGGCGCGAAAGCGAGGCCCGCGTCTCGCACTGTTCACGGTCGAGAAAGTGACCTTGAACGACTTCTATTTTCCGAGCCGAGTACGCGTTTTGCTGCCATAATGTTCTTTACCGCGCGATCGAATCGGTGGCCGGGAAATTATGGACAACGAAACGGTCGAAAGCATCTCCGAGCGCGAAATACGTTCAGCGTATTATCTGTCCGGCCATCTATTTCGGTAAAATCGTTTTGATGTTGTACACGCGCGCAAGGACAACTGGAACAAGCGCTAATATCGAAACACGAGCCCGAAAACCGTTCTTACGTTTATAGACGTTCCACTTCCTTGATCTCTCGCGAGAATTTTAATACGGATGAAATGTTTTCAGCTTGGACCAGCGGTGCTCAACCTATCCCGCCGACTGGTCAAATAAAATACAACGATAAAATTTTATTGTTTAGAGAATGTTGATTTCAGTTTGATTCGGTTGTCCGTGTGTGAAGTCTACCAACCGATGTACGGACGCGACCAAATTAATACTATCACGCGATGAAAATCCCTTTTTTGTTTTGTTTTTCTAAAAATAGGTATATCTTGTATCAGTCTTCAATATTTTTGTCTTTGTATCACGTTATCTTGAGTTGATTGCTTAGATAAAGAATGCGTATTTGTCGTTGACTAGTGATAATTAGGTAAATAGAGATCTTAGAGCTTAAGATCTCACCAGTGATTTTATTAATTCGGCCACGTCTTGTGAACGGAGGGTACCTAAGCTGCACAGTATGAAACGTTCTGCTTGCAGCGTTGTGTACTTGCAAATTCTCTCGTGCACTGTGCCTGTTGTCATTCCGACCAGATTTCGCACCCGATTTTCCTAAACGTTCGTGACAAAGATCTCCCTTTGGCGCTTCGTTCTCGTCGAAGGCCACGAGCCTACTGTACCGCCTCGCTTCTTGCGTCGGTATGCGTTACGGATACTTGCAACGGAATCGTACCCGCCATTTGTCTCGTCCCGACGCGAGTGCCTAGTTGGAGATCAGTCGTGTATCTTTTGGGATGGCCAAAGCACTTCCATAGCCCTGATAACCCTGATTTCCTTCAATTTTTTGATGAAACTCGGGGTCTCTACTTCCGTGTGAAATCTGGCTGTTTCGATTTAATTGCGAGAAGCGTGGCGAGACCGCAGTAGGCGGTAATAAAAAAATTTGATCGATCTGGACGTTTGTCACGAACGATGAAAATCGATTTTAATTGTAACGCAGCTGTCGTAATTGTCCAGGATTGTTAACGATCGTCCATTTTCGTTTCTTTTCTTTTGCATGGACATTGCCTCGGACGAGCATTTGTACGTGCAAAACCGTTGAAACTATCGCGTAATCAGTATTTTTTCAATCCAACAATCCCGTAGAATTGTACGCCGGTCTATGATTTTTACATCACTTCTTCGATTATAGAAATCAAATGTTTTCGCAAGTAACAATGAATGTTTAAAAATGTATCGATCGATTAATAAATCGTGCATGGCATAAAACGATCCTGTTTCTATTTCCACACCCAATCAGTTTTGTTTAAATGAAAGTTACTTGTGTTGTATTTATTCAAATTTAGCTTTCAACTGTTATTTCTTAATCTCACGTTCTATTATCATGAATCCGATTACTACTTATCTTGTCGGTTGTGTTAACGCATCATCACGTGAGTTAATATTAAGCTGGACTCGAACGACGATAATGATTTCTCTTTGAGTACAAAGTATTATATGTATAGTTACCATAATACAAACACAAGTGATAACATACTGTATCGTGTAAGTATGTACAAGCTACATTTTAATTTTCGACCAATGTACATTTTTCTAGAGGATTGAAAATGTATAAAAATTTCCAGAGAATCTCAACGTTGTTTCACATAATTGAAAATAATAGAAATAATAAAAAAAGAATCTTGAAAATTATAATAAAATTTAAGAAGGAAAACAATTACTGATATGCCTGAAATACCGACAAAATACCGGTTATTTTTCATTTCGATGTAAGTCCGTGGTTAAAAGAAATCCGATTTGAAATGCCCTCCAATACGAGGCGGCCAGTGCCCGATTGGCGGTTACCGGTGCAGGTTCGAAAGAGAAGGGAATGCGCAGAAGCACGTGGATTTGTTTAGACGACTGTCAAGCCCCTTTCGTAGCGCATTTACAAAGTCCGTGGGGTGCTTCCGGTAAGCCCCGTAGCTGGCGGCGGCGCTTTCCCGACAAACGATACCGGGGGCCAACGGGGGCGACAAGATCCACTGTCTACCCCCCTCTTTCACCCCGTCCCCCTTCCACGGCGTTACACCTCCGATGCGGAGACAGAGACAGAGACTGGGACAGGGGCAGGGGAGGAGTGACGACGGCGACGATGCCCGGCGAAACGAGCGATGGAGGAGGGGAAGACATCAACGGCGGACAAGGCCGCCATATTGAATCACTCTCGTTAATTTTTGCGCAGAGGCGGTGTGAATTTTTTCTCCTTGCGCGGAAGGTAGCGGCTCAAGGTTGTGTCTGGGATACGCGTTCGTGACGATCGTTTCGCGGTTAACGCTGGCACGCGTCAAACCCGGACGGTACGTTGTTCTCTCGTGGACGGTGATTCGTTTGGTTATATGTGTACATATATATAATGGTAAACGCGATGCGCGTGTATGCCGTAAGAAAAAGGTTCACGGAAACATGCGGAAATCGTGCGTGCACGGTCGCGAGGCGGTGAAGTGTGCTCGCGATAGGGAGGGAAGCGAGAAGTGTACGCGTACACTGACTACGGTACGTGGTGTGCGCCATGTCATTGTACGTAAGCGATAGTATAGAGTGTAATATATCGTAGTGGAGTGGAAGTGAAGTGGAGTGGAAAGCGAACCGGCTGCCTTGCCTGCCTAACTGTCTGCCTAACTGCGTGTGCCTGCTGCCTGGTTGTCTGCCTATCCGCTTGCCTGCCCGTTCATGTCCGCTTTGTGTAATTGATTTGTATGCCGAACCGATTTACACAAATTCGGGCCAGCTTTCCGATTGACTGACCTCCTCTCAGGTACGTGTGTGCCTTCCTGAACGCGGGAGGCGTTGGCGTGTGGGGGTCAAAACACTCCCGTGCCTCCGTTCCAGGGAAGGTGCGATTATCAATGTAGTAGGAAATACATTGTGCACGCGGAAACATAGAGTCGCGTGTCGTCGTCGTGCGAGCTGGCGTCGCACGTCGCCGAACGAGGCCCGCGAGCATTCGCGCGTTACAGCTCGCTCGGCACCGAGGCATAATATTTTGAATTGTCTGCGCGATCCAGTTGCAGCTGTACGGGATTTCGATCCTTTATATACGAATAACAAAATTTCGATATCTCCGTTCGATGATTCAGCGTAACGTCAGATTCGTGTCGGCGGCTTTATTAATACACGAGGTACGATAAAAGACGGAGACATGAAATTGATGCGAATCGGTGTTACCGCGAGTTTGTTGCGTTTGTGATTTTTCCGCTATTCCTTCGATAACGGTGATTGCACGTTCAATTGGGCATTTTTAACACGAGCTACCTAGCAGTGCTTTTGTTTGAGATCGAACAATTTGGTTCGCGATCAAACAATTTGATCAACGATAAGATTAGCTCGTAGAGTTACCGCAACGATGCCACTCGTTTATTAGGTTAGGAAGAAAGTGTAAGATTGCCGTAGGTCGCTTTAAGGTCCCGTGCCGGTTCGAGGATTCCTCGCTATTTACTCCGCGTACAATTCTCTGCTCGATCGTTGTACGAATAAAACGTTTATTTGAAAAGTAACAAAACATGATCTTTTTACATTTGTAGAGTATATATATATATATTTATATTTCGTGTGCGTAAAATGCATAGTTTGACGAGATAACTGCGTAATAATATGAATAATACAGAAAATCTCCGTTATTGAGCGCATTATTTATATTTGCTTATCGGTTCACCGGCGTTCGACGAACAAAGTAGTAAGACGAAAATGAAAAATGCTGTGACATCAATTCGAGAGTTTAGAGACCCTACTCTGTCACGTGATCTGGAAAGTGTGCAAGGCGGGAGATCCGAGAGAAACTCCGTGAACTAGTTAATTCCTTCGCGTTAGGATGCTCCGAAGGCTCTGTTCACCGGAAATCGCGACGTTTAAAAAGAAAAACGCCTTAATGAAAAAAAAAAAAAAAGAAAAAAGGCGCGTAACGAAATACCGCTCTCGATACCATCCACGTCTGCACGTTTACGACCACGGGAAAAGAGAGTAGTAAATAGTGTCGTATTACCTAGAGGTCGCGCTCGGTTTCACCGATACAATAGTAATTACGAGATGCGTGGACGATATCAAATACGTTGCAAAAACATTGTAACTCCTTCGTCCCTCTGGCCTGGGAAGGCCGGCAGTGGGGACTCCGTCGAAAAATCGATTTCCCGTAGGGCATAAGGGTGCGGGAGGTGCTGGGGAGGGCAAGGGAGAAGTACGGAGACGAAATTCGGGAAAATCCGCAGAGAAATAGGGAGGGAGGTCGAGGGAAAGAGAAAGAGATTGGTTTCTAGCCCGTTCCGATGCCACTCGTGTGGGTGAGTGGCTGACTGTTGTGGAGGGGGTAGACCGTCGACGGGGTGAGGGGAGAAATAATTAATGTGCGACCGTACCTCTCCCCTCACGGTACAGGCCCCCCCCCCTTCCACAGTCTTGTACCGCTACGCTTAGCTGCCATTGTGCCGAGACGCCACTTCCGAAGCATCAAATTCAATTCTTCGATCTCGTGCCGCCACTTCTTCGCGAAAAACTTGGACTAGAAAGAGAAAACGGAAGGGCACGCGGCGTACTGTGCCGCCGGCGGTCCTGTAAAGCGCGCCAATATTCTCCTCGTGCATGATCTCGAACGTACATATATTCTTCCTGAACGTCTTTAGAATTCCGCGGAGGTTAGGTTAGGACATTGCTTCCGTGGATATCGGCCGATCGCCCGCCTTGTAACTCTAAACGCGATCTTGTACCGCGCGTTCTCTTGTCCGCGAGCTGATCGCGTTGTTACCGGTGGTGTCTGCTTGTGTTGTGATTGCGTGTCTCGCGGATCGAGACGAGTTGTTGCACGGAGAAAAGAGGGAAGCACGATGCTCCGGTGGATATGAACGGAATGCTCGAACGGAGATTTTGGTAACCCAGTTATTTTTATTCCCGGCGAATCTTTTCTATCGCTTTCAAATCACGGCATTGCGAAACGCTCTGCCTCACGTCTGCGTTGGCTTCTTTGTAGTGTTTTTTTTTTCTTTCTTTCTTTCTTTTCACCCTCCCTCCGCCCGCGGCGAATGTGTTCGCTGTGTCGTTATTATTGAAATCGATCCAATTGAAGTGCACCAGATAAATCGTAGTTATTAATAAATACTTGTGTTTTTTTTCTCGTAGAGTTGTCGCATTTGAAAGAATGGAAGCCATGGATTTGGACGGAGATGCGGTGGTGGACTTGAGTGTTAGGTAAATTTAAAGAAATTTTTTTTCTCTTCCTGTTCGTCGTATTTTACATCGTTCGGCTGTAATATCGTGTTAAAGGAAATTGTTTAATAACTATGTCAATTCAAAATTGCTCTTTGTTTACGTCATTGTGATTATGAAATGGGGCTATTGTTACACATTATAGTTATCAAGAATGAAAGTACATAATGTGTTACAATACTTTGCAATAACATAGCTTTTAGCAAAAACATGCTCTTATCACCAATGACAAGTAGAAGTTTTTATGTTGAACTGGGTTGTTCGCTTTTATTTGCATATATAATGTATATTGTTCCATATATATTGTATCTTCCGTCGAACTGAACATTTTACCACTAATTTTTTGTACCGTGATGTTATATATTTTTCAGTAGCAGTGGTAGAAGAAATTCACCATCGATCACTGTTAACTCTGGCGATGCAGGGGTACCGTTAGATCTAGGTCTTCATTTCTCTTCGAGTCCTAATCTAGATAACAACATGCCAGAAGCACGTAATATTCAAAATGCAGCGAGGGGGATCCTGGCCCCCAAATCTGGAGATGACAGGAAAACACGCCGAAATCTTAGACCTAGAATTGAAATAAGTTATGCGGAGAGTCCAGATGAACGTAGGATAAATGGCTACGTGAATGGAAATGCAGACAGTGATGAAGGTTAACTATAAAAATAGCATATTTATTTATAGTTTCGATATAATAGCCTAATATACTGTTACATATATACGACTTGCATATTGTGTACTACGTACTATATTATTAATACTGTTGAAACAAATACTTAAAATTTCTATCTATTAGGTGATATGCCACCTCTGCCCCCAATAAAGGAACTGTCGTCCGATGAATTAGCTGAACGTGAAAGAACACTTAGGAAATTATCGGAGGAACTTAGATCTGAGGAAATGAAGCTGGTATTGCTGAAAAAATTACGGCAATCGCAACAATTGAAAGAAAACATTGCTGCTGTACCAAAAGTACCCAGCAAATTACCACCACCAGTCACGGTACAACAAGCAACCCATAGGTAAGACTCCTAGAGTTGTGGGGAGATTATGTCGAGTAGGAAGAGAATCGATGGATGAGGCGTGGTCGGGAAAAAAATACACATTCATTTACTTTTCCAAGTCTTCGTCTGCGCTATTTATTGTACATACCACGGGTTAGGTCGCCACCTATATTATAACCGCGGCAATTTCACGAAAGCGAGGGAAATACAAAATTCGCCTACTTGTTTATTATTATTAAAATATTGTTTTGTTCAGTCATAGGATTGTAAAAGCACCACCGCCGTTACTTAGGGGACAGCCTGCACCAAGCAGGAGCAGTATACATGCTCCACCACCTGGAATGTTATTACCACCTACAGCTGCTCGAAGTTCTTCTTCCAGTACTGGAATACTACCTAATATGATCATACCACAACCACCACATCCTAGGAGCAGGCCACCTAGTGCAACACCAAATGTATCGAATTATCATGCACCTGCAGACAGAACTGAGAGGTCGACGAAAGATCCAACCCCGACTCCAGCGCATCAAGTAAGTAAGGTACAATATACTTTTTTTCTAAACATACTTTTTCCGAATGAATATAATTGAAATATAGCATAATACCATATTTATATGTCATATTTTTAAAGATATTTGTTTATACACTATTTGTGTCATATTTGTGAACTATGTAAATAACCGTACCTGTGTTTTTGTAAACACAAAGCTGCTTGTTGGATCTCAAGAAAATAAAACCACCGCATCCTTAAGCACACCTGTGATTTCAGAGCAGGTATATCCACTAGTCAAAATATATTTAGTCTCTTGTCGCTCTAACTATATATTAAATATTGTATCGTTTTCTTGCCATCCTAATAACACCATATAATTTCTTTTGCTGTATGTAACTATATTATACATCCATCTATTTTTCTCCTGTTCTCCGTGTTATATACATTTTATTGCTTTATAGCGAGCATAAAAACAAAAGTTTAATAATCCTTCCCGCGCGAACGTAATGTTTGTTTTTGAAATTTAGGAAAGACCAAGGGACGATAATCAGACGCCTGCACAACGTCAGGCGGCTGCTAAATTGGCTTTGAGAAAGCAACTCGAAAAGACGTTGCTGCAGATACCACCCCCAAAACCACCACCGCCGGAGATGCACTTTGTTCCAAATCCCTCCAATACGGAGTTCATATATTTGGTGGGTTTGGAACATGTGGTTGACTTTATTACTAAAGAGCCAGCTATTCCACCACCTCCGGAACCATTCGAGTGTACCCAATGTAAAACGGACTTCACACCTGTGTGGAAGTGGGAGAAGCCTATCACCGGTGGCAAGAAAGAAGGCCCAAGAGGACAGCATGCAACTTTCCAGAGACCTCCGGCAGGTCGCGATCCTAGAGTCATATGTGAACATTGTGTAACAACTAACGTTAAGAAAGCTCTAAAAGCAGAGCACACTAATCGGTACGTACCATATTATAAATTTAAGAAATTTCTTTTTCCTAGAATAATGTTCCTCGTGATAATGAACGAATAAATGTGTTCGTAGGTTAAAAACAGCGTTCGTGAAGGCACTACAGCAGGAACAAGAGATAGAACAAAGGCTGGCACAAGCTGCATGCCCAAGTCCAGATCCACCAGCTCCAAAACCAGTTCCTAAAGCAGCTACTCCTACGAGGAGAGTAGCTACACCACCAGCCCCTCCACCCCAAGTACCACCAGCACCTACGCTGGCACCAACGCCACCAGCACCTAAACTACAAGAACATCCTTTGGTTAAATTGGCTGAAAGCGGGAAGTTCAGCCCTCACCATGCTGCTGCTGCAGCTGCTTTGCAGCAACAGTTGCTTAGAGGTAAGTTTAAAACGTTCAAAGTTTTTTTTATAATTCGTATGAATAATAAGTGCCATTTACCAATAAATGCAATTGATTTTTTTTCTCCAGAGTTGGCAAAGAATCCTGTACCGGGTTTGCCGCCTCATCAACCTCTTCCTGCTCATATGATGCCACCGTTTACCTCGATATTGTATCCGTACCAGCTAGCAATGGCGCAGGCTGGCGGGAAAGGTCTCGCAGAATTACAACGACAAGCGGCAGATTTGCAACGCCAATATTTGCTTGACATGATTCCGTCGCAAGCATCTCAGGCGCAGGGCAATCAAGCTCCACCGCGAGCCCACCCGCACAATTGGAAAACGTAACCAGACGCATTTAAAGATCGAACAGTAAATGCAAATAAATAAAACTGCAGAGCTGTGTTAGAGAATATAGAGAATCAAGACACTCTCGTATTCTTTTTCCACGACATCGTACTAAAAGGATTTAATGGTGCGCGACAGTCACACCTTCCATACACTTAAAATAATGTACCAATCGATTGGATTGGTATCTTTATTGCAAAGTGAAGCTCAAACCGGAATAACGGACAACAGACAATTCTTGTAATATTACGAAGAGGAAACCCAACCATCATTTGTGAATATGCATTGACGTGTGAGTGTGATGTTATTGTTACCCGGAGGTTCAAGGTTTAATTGCCTCTCTGAGAAACCTAAGCTTTCAGTTACGTTGATACACGATTATTCGTAATGTTTGGTGGCTTGAAACGAAAGAATGTTTCCGACTAGCGAAGACCAGCGAAAAGTTCACGCATCAATTGGTTTTTAAACGAATGGACCCAGTTTCTTTTCTTATCCGTTACCCTGTGTTGGTATTAACAGTACTGCAAATGGAAACTGGGTGAATATGTCAATCAATCGGATTCAAGTAAGTGCATAATAACTTGGACGCACACGAATGAATTTAATTGCTTCAATTATATATGTATATATAATTACACACATATATATATATATATATAATATAAATAAGAACCAAATGGACATTTATAAGGCACTAAGGACAGTAATAAGTGTTACGTGATTATATGAATTGGTTGATCTAAAGATAGTAGTGATAATCGACGGACGAAAACACGTGGCGAAGCAACAAAGTTAAAAAAAAAAAAAAAAAGGGTGGAATCTTTTGTAGACCCTTACAATTAAGCCGACCTTTGTCGGTGGTTCGAATGATTTGCAACCATCGGCGGTACCTGTACTCTGTGTATATCTCTTTATTTTCTTCAAAACTGTGAGTATTTTTAAGGCGATGTAACACGAGAGAGCGAGATAGAGAGAGAGAGAAAGAGTTGTAGTTACGACAAAACCGATCTTTGTAAGAACTGCGTGTGTGTCAGTGATAGTCAGCAAATGAATGTGGGAGTGATAGTAATTTCTTTCTCTTTTCGTCGATACAAGACAGAGAACGATAATTCAGCATGTTTTTAAGTTAGAGTGACACGAGTGTCATTCGCGCACAAATCGTCGTAGGGAACTTCGTAATAATAATAATGATAAGACTTTGGCTCACATCGATGCAGGATGCGTTAAAGACGTAAACGAAAGATTTGCCGACGATTGAACGTTTCAAATCTCTATATATATTATTATATATATATAAAAGGAAAACAAAGAAAGGAAAGAAACTGTCAACTAGGGTATATAAATTAATGATAGCGCGATTGATTTCATGTGTCACGTCGATGTAAAAGTATTTAAAGAAATCTTAACAGTACATATGTATCCGAAGTTTTACCGAACCGGTTCAAAGTGGCAGGCGGCCGAATTTTTACAACGTATCCTCTCTCTTACTAAAAGAAAAGACAAAAAAGAATCTGCACTTAAAGAGTTACAAATCTCCGGCACACGTCCCAGCAATACTTATCATCACTACCCACTAATAATCTGATTTCATTGATTCCGGCTAACCGATCTTGGTCATGAATTTTCCGAATCACTAAATATATAGTTAACTGTAGTCTTGATATTTCTCGGTATATGATACAAGTTAATAAACTAAAAATAGCATAATCATCTCTCTTTGTACTACGTGATAGATTTTCAACTCATACTTGATATAAACATGTACACCGTAAAGTAACGTCTACGATCGCATAATAGATCAAGATCTGTGTTTTTTGTGTAAGAGAAATCGAAATAATATCATTGTCAACATTTATCATTGTTGCCAGGACGCTACCGCTGTCTAATCCTCCTGTCGCGCGTGAGCGATTTTATTCGTATTTATTCGTGAACACGGGATCAAGGGAGAAAAAACGTGGTTTTTTTGTAACGCACAACGCACGCCATTATATTTTTGTCCGACTGTACTTTCGTCGATAGAACACGAAGTTGTCACATTTTTCTTTTGTATTTTAACACGTTCGTTTCAAGAAATTCAATCAGTGAAATAACAACAGAACGACACGTTATATTCTCTGTATATAAGATATACCGTATGCCACATGCTAGATTTTCGTACACCAAGGTTTTATGAAGTAATGCCAGAGGGGGATAATTTTTCTCCGTCATTATTGCATAATATCTGTTATGCAGTGACATCCGGTATATCGTTACATTAGTTTCGTACGTAGTAGGGGTATTGGGTACCTGAAACTACCAGTCGAGATTTCGAAAGTTTCGAGTGATTTTCTTTTCGTTTTAATAGAAATTGATCATAGAATGGATCGTGATCTGTATCTCATATTTTCGTTGGTTTTAATTCTTTTTTCAAGAAGCTTGACGTGTATTTGGGAAAAATAAATAAAGTTTTGAGTTGGCAAGTATTTATACATACGGCTGAAGATTCGTTGAACTTTTAGTTTCGTGCGTCCGGGATCTATCTCGCGAACATCAAGATGATTTGGATCGGTAGTCTTGAGTTTAGAATATTTTTTAACGAGTTTGAGTGCAAATAATTCTTAAGTTACCGTGAAAATATCCACCGACCGATATTTTTGCGACCAATTATATTCAGTGTGTGGCGTAGTTGGGGGAAATTTTATTTGCGAATAACGAATAATTATTTTTAATTAATTCGTAAACTAACCAAAGTTTACGTTTTATTCGTAAATCGGAATGTGTCCACGGATTTTGTAAATCGACAACCAGATGAATAAAGCTACGACCAAAACTCAGTTTACGAATTGATCTTCAATTTTTATTTGTTATTCGCGAATAAAATTTGCCCGACTAAACGACGTGGTGCGAAACTTTCGGGACCCCGAATCGACTGGAGCCTCAGGCAGGGATGAGCAAAATGTATTTTAGAAAGTATCCGAACGACGAGCATCTTACTGATTTATATTCTGTTTGTAGTGGAATCTTTGAAAGTATTCGTGTACTGTACAATTACAGAATACCGTACTGCCTCTCCGTTTGCATTCGTATCGAGAGGTTTGAAAGAGTTTATCCAAATAGGTTTGGTTGACAGTCGTTTATGCCGAAAAATAATGTTGGTGATTCCATTACAACTACGTTTACCCGTGGACTGATACAAGAAACTAATTAGTACTGTATGCAAAATCCTTGTGAATGTCCAGAATATTAGCATTTCATATTTAACGGTCGAGTAAATGCAGAATATTTCATTCGGTTTCAGTATTCAGTAAATTTTAATCTAGGTAACAAATAACGAATACGTGGGATACGAATAAATTTTTATCGGAACATGCGTGCTGTAGTCGTGTGTACATGGCATTAATGTGATGTTTGCTATTTAAATTTTATATAAATAAATAACTTTACAATAATACAAAATTTTGTATAAACTCGTAGACATTACACACTCTCTATGACTGTTTTTTTTTTCATGGATTTATTATAAATTTACAGAGTTCTATAAACTTGTATATTTTTTATTTATATACAATCTGTATATCTGTGCGTTCTCTATAAATTTGCAAATTTCATTATTTATTTATTTATTCGTTCAAAATTTACGCACGTTTATAAATTTGTCAATATCGCTTGTTTATGGATAATTTATAAACTTTTCAGGCTTATACATATTTTTGAGAACGGAAATCGATAAAAGATCTTGTGTAAATTCGTAAAATTATTTCTTTATTTATAAAAGGTTCATAAATATGTATAACAATGATAAATTTATGAATGACATAAAATATTGGCAAGGTACTCGTGTATTTGTAAACAAATAAATAATTGAATTTGTAAATTTGTAAATTTCTTAAAAGTTTCTTTATTTCTTTGTAAACACTTTGAAGAGCAAACACCACACAGATACGATTTGTCGAATACAAGTTGTAGCGGTATTTAATACTAGATTTACGCGCCATCTTGGCGATTACATTTGAATGCAGTTTCTTTTTAATTAGGATACATTACATTTATGGGTTCTGTAACTTTATGTATGGAATTTGAAACACGTAAATCTAGTGTTAATATACAACAGTTCGAGTATAAAATAGAATATGTGAGGTTGTCGTTTTTTCTAAATACATATATTCAGTATTTTAGATATGTTATATTTGGATTACAAAATCATTCGAATGTGCTCATCCCTGGCGGTTACCGATTATTTCAGCTACACGATCATCCCCGATACGTAATGTTTGCGTTTCTTTTGCCGATATATCTCCCTTTCCTCGTGACGAAACATCGTTCAACGAAGTGAAGACGTGCGCGGTGCATCACTCTCACGACTGCCGAATACATGTTCGCGTAAGGTTCCGGGTAATCCGTTCACAAATCGTAGTCAGTTGTCGATTCTGTTTCCGAGCTCGGACGATCTTACGCAATACGTTCAATTGCATTTTCTCTCACGGACAAACGGAAACAAACAAAAGCAAAAAAACACAACCTGTAATACGTTTCTTCCTATCTTCCTTTCTAGTCTTGTCTTTCACCTCTGCGTGGTGCTGTTTAAGAGCTGAGCACTGTCGAGTGCGAACGTAATTTTATATTCTAAAAGTGAAACGATAAGAGACACGTCTTTTTCGCTGTAACGAGAAGAGAGAGAAAAAGACTCTCGAACTTGGGAAAATTTGACGCAGGGCGGTAGTGCGAGGAATGAGAAAAAGAAAAAAGGGAAAAAGAAACCACTCGAACGAAAAGTGAAAATCGAAGTTTAGATCTGGCGGTTGAAAAAAACAAACGGAATTTCAAACACGGCGGAATAGTATTCTTAAGGTACTCGAAGGAAAGCTGTGTAACGAAAAACACGTGATCCGATATTTCGTGGGGTCACAGAAAGAGAACGCTCTGCACGAATATGGGTAAAGAGAAAAGAAGATTGAAAAAAAAAAAAAACGAGAATACTCGGATTGCCGCGAAACACAATATTGTTTGGAAAACAAGTCTACACGCACCGTGGAAATTTTACGTCCAAAAATTCGTACTGTTATCTTAAGTCTGACTACCTGACGAGAATCTCTCTGCCCCCCCACAATTTATAGGATTAGTAGTTATAAAAAAAAATGAAAAGAGAAAAAATAACAAAAAAAATAAAGTACAGATTACCGAATACTCTGGAGACTACACGAATAAAGCTTATCAATGATTGTATATCGAGTGATGTTTATTATTTTGTAATTCTAGAACGTTGTTGGCGGCATGCCGTGACGTCACAGCGTCCAAACAATGAACAGCTGCGCGAAACCGTTTGTAGGATCGATGACCTTTGTAAATTATTAAATCGGAAGCGTGTATTCGAAGCTACCTGTTGCCGGCTACGTCACGCTTAGAAGTTATTCGGGGTTTAGGTGTACCGAAGATTGTAAGGTATATGCGTTTAACCTTTTGGAAGGTATCGTTAATTTTCTACTGATTTTGTAACTTTACCTGAGAACGCTAAAAAATTCGTGATTACAAAATCTCTGGTTTTCTTTTGTTATTTTTTTATTATTACGTATCTTTGTAACTAACTATAGGGTATGAACGGGGAGGTAAATACTTTTCCATAACGTTTGGCAGGTAATTCTGATCCAAAACGATCGTGTACGCTCGTGAGTTTATTTCTAACCCTTAACTTAACGAGGTAGGTGGCGTTCAGGCTTGATCTCGAATATGGCGGAGCACGCCAAGTTTGGGTTAGGTTATATGCTCGATGTTCTCGTATCTCTCACGAGGTACCTACGATCTCGGTTATCCGGAATTACCCGTCAGATATCCTGGAAAAATGTTTTGTAGCTTTTCACGGCATTAGATTAAAATATTTCGTGACAAAAGCGGAATGAACGTTTCTGGTAAAGATTTTCGCGAGTCAGGCACACTCTATCTCGCGACATCTTAGTTCCTGGCCGGCGAAACGTCCGTGGCAAAAAAATTACACGGGGGACCAGTTTAACGAGTCGAATGATAAACGCTATATTTAGAAACTCGACGTAAAACTTTCAGCTTATGCAAGATGCCGTACCAATTCGGTTAGGGTATTTGAAGTTAATCGTTCCCATTTACCACGAGTGTCTCGATGTTTATTACACGTAAAAAAAAGAAAAAGATAACAGTAGCCAATGGGTCGGAATACTCTCACGTTTGTCGAAACCAGGGCCTCCGAGAAGATTTTTATCACGGGACACGGAGTTTCTTTCGAGTCCCTTCTCCGTCAGCCATTTTGTTGTTATGCCATGAATTGCAGCCAGTGATGGATCTAGTATCCGCCACTGGCTGTAGTAGAACAATATGTACTGGTCTTTAAATATGATATGTAAACATTTTCTGGGATTTCAGGAAATTTCCAGCTCCGTTGCTCGACAGAGGCTTCCTGGGCCCCAGGATACGACGTATCCCCTGCATCCTCCCTCTCGCAGGCCCCGGTTCGAACGTTAAACGAGTATCGTTGTCTTGTTTTGTCTCGTTTCGTTTTGTGTTCTCCGTTTCTTAAATCAATTCTGTTTTTTCTCGTTGTACTCGGCTAGGCATTTCTTGAAGTGCTTCGAGCAGAACGGATACAGCGTCGGATGGTCGCAGGTCCTGCAGGCAGCCGCGAGATGAGAGCAGCATCGCAAGCTTTCGCGGCAACAAGAGGCCCACAATTCGGGCCCGGCCGAGGCACAATTGTAGCAGTAGCAGTCGCCTGAAAGGACGAAAGAAACACGATCAGGTGAAAACCGCGACCCGGTTCATCGTGACGGATTGTCGTTTATCAGGTATGATGATTAACCTGTTAATCGGGCAAGACTAGTTACAGCCGGGAATAAAATTGACTGGACGCTCGCCAACTGTAGAGTATCGTAATTCAGTCATTTTTCCTAATTAACTCGACGCCTTTTCCATAGTAAACAACTAAATGTCTCTATACACAAGAAATCATTTTTCCAGATTCGAAGCAGTCAGTTGTTCCTTCAAGGTGTGTAATAAGTCCATTTGTTTAAATACTAATATTCATCGATTTAGGTTATAAAATCATATTGTGTTCATATGTTTTTTAAAGTTTGGAACAATTACTCATATCATAATTTTTCAGAACCTGGTCGAAAGATGTCAAAATTCATGACGTCGAGTTGGGGAACGATGCAGAAAAGATTGAGAAACACTGACTCCTCAGACACCTAAAAGTTCGCGGCGTTTTGCTGCACGTGTTCGTAGTTTCGATGTTCGCGGAACCACGGAGCCGAACGTGTATCTTCCGAATTTTTTATCCCAAGTTTCCCTTTCCACTGTACGCGCCGCTTGTGTCTCTCCTCGGATATTATTCATCGCGATTCCGTTACTCAGGCACGGTTGCGTCACTGTCGAGATACCCGACTCCTTGGGTTAAACAAGCGTAACGCGAAATGGAAATGAAAAAGAACAGAACGGCGAACTGTATCACGTGTCACGTACGCCGCACGTGCGGATTTTTCATCTGGGAACTGGTCCAGAATCGAGGCGAGTTGTCGATCCGTTCCAGGCGACGCGTAGCTAGAACGCAAGATTTTCTTCGTTCCTAACGGTATTCTAATTCTTTGTTACAACACGATCGGAAATAATGCGTGTGGTTATTCAAGATCGCTCGACTCGCGTGCATCGATACGCATCTGATTCGAAAGCGGCCTGATGTGTGTCACCTTTGTGTCGAACCTTCAACTGGAATAAATGTAACACTTTCGTACGATGATTCGTTTCTGAATAAATCGATGTCGAGGATCAATCGAGTACCCTTGCACTTGACTAAGCTAATTTTCGTTCTACCATTGTTCGCAAACATTATCAATGTCATGGCTTGTTGCCGTTTCCGATTCAAACGCAATCTTTGTAATCCGATGGACACGTCTACGTCCATGAATCGAGTTAGGCAAATGTGTCGGTAGCAACGTGTTTAGAATTGTCAGTTATCACGGAGATCGGTATTTAAATCGTCGACATCCTCACGGAAGAGTCATTCAAAGATTAGATTTAAGCTAATTTATGATACATAGAAATGTGTTAGCTATCTTTTTTGTATAAATCAGGTGATCCACCCTGTGTTAGGATTATGGAAGGATGACTGTCGACGTAGAACCGATTCCAGGGTCTCTGTTTACCTCGTCGCGTTGTGTGTAATTGAATAAGGGGGGAAAAAATCGTTCCAAGAAATCGAGTACACCATCTGTTATTCGCGGTTACGTTCTCGTCACGGTAATTAGACAGTCGTGCGAGACTGTACGCGTCCCATGAGCGTAATGATAGTCCGGTCGCTAAATCTTCCTTGCTCGCGACGGTGAAAGGAGGGACACGACGCCACGCTCGACTAGTACAAATCCTTGCATTTATCCTTTCATTCCCACAGCAGCTACATCATCTTGCATTCAAAATTATTCGATAAGGCGTTACTATCGTCTGGAACAGTGGTTCTTAACCCTATGGGGATTTCTTACATGGGAGCATGTCGAACCCGTACAGACGTTATGTTTTTACGTAATGGAACGTTAAGACATCGAAAAGCGTTTAATTCTTGGTAACGATTATGCTCCAGTTACTCGAATTCTGTATTCTTGATTCATTTTTTCACGGTCGGTCACCACTTTCTCGATTACATCACGCTTTACCGAACACCCTGTACAGCGGGTCACGTAGATTTCTAGGAAAAGGTGAAACTACACTTTTAATTGTGCTTGTAAAGTTTTCGAAGATAAAGGCTGGCTTTCTCCGAGCATGTTCCAATTTCGAAACGGTTACAACTTGGTCGGTTTTTGGGCAACAAAGAATGTCTGTGTAGAGTAATAAATTTAAAAAAATAACAATATACTAAAAGTTAGAGCAATACTGGAGCTGTTGGTAGCGAAAGTGTGCTGTCAGGGCAATGTCTAAGTCTTTAACCGCGGGGGGTTAATGTTATTTTCACATCATCGAGGTAAAAGTAGAAACGTTTCTACAGTGATTATCGTCACGGAAACAGTGATTCATAATAGCACCTCGATGGACGAAGAAAAACGAGCCTGAATATTCATGCGAGTGTCGAGAGATGACTAATCTAATAAGAACCAGCCCCACTTATTGCTAGACGATATATCTTCATTAGTACATTCCCCTGTCGAGTATGAACGATGACTAAGATCTGTATCCAAATGTTTGTGCATATGGTGGTAAAGGGTAAATTACAAGATGGTATTAATTATTCGTTAGGTATTCCATCCGATCCAGAGGCGCGCCTAATTCATGGATTAACATTTTCGCTCGCTGGCATGCATTTAACGTGAGCAAACACGTTCAGGAGTGGCTGTAATATAGGTTTCAATTGTTTACGTTGGAAAGTCATAAACTAAAACCGGGAATTATACCAACACTCTGTGCAAAATTGGTAATATGCAGTTTACAAATCATGTAACGAATCAATGTCCCTAAATTCTATAATTGTTACATAATATTTCCACGGTATTTCTAATTTAATTCACTTTCCCGAATTATCCATAAACCGCGATCTTGTACTCGGTTCGAGCGTTGCATATTCTCATCCAGGCGAAAGTAGAAACGTTTGCACATCGTGCAAGTATAATACCCGGACAAAAGTGATTTATCGTGGCACGGTGAATCAGAGGATACGATGCACGGGATCGTTCGATCGATCGGTGCTGTCTAATTTATAGATCGACACTATCGAGAGGCGTTGCATTTTACGTGGGCAAACAATGCCCGTGGGAGTGGCTATGTCAAGGTTAGAATCTCCATTGTACGTCGCGGAAACCGTTGTTTTTCCATACCAGCGAGATACGACCGTTGTGCTGGAATGCAAAGATGTAATTATTCCAGTGTTTTCCAAAGTAGGAGGGGATCGAAGGAAAATCTGCAGAAACATTTACACGATGTATCTGAACATTTATTTGCATCGTTTCGATACTGAAAGATCGAACATTCGTACAAATTTATTTTAGGTATTTGGAAAAACGAATAATGAACATGCCTGAACCATATTAATGATATGAGAACAAGAGATGGACTACTGAACTCAAGCGAGTGCATGAACAATGAATCATACGTATTAGAACGAGGCCAAAAGATAACAGTGCAATTTGAGCTAGTAGACAGTGACAGGGAGATAACAGAAAAATTTAGGTGTGGGTTAGGTTGAAAATATAACAGGAAGGCCAGGTAGAGTCTCAGCTTCCCTCACTCCTCAATATTCCTCGTACTATGCCCACAGGGTGACTCGATGAGTTTTCCCGCCCAATTTAGGGCAGCATCAATAGCAGTTGTCGAATCAGAGTTGTTTCGATTTCGAACTGATCTACGCAAAGGGATACCTCTACAAAACACGAGGAATATTGAGTAGTAGGTGTGAGTTTATATGTAACATAAAAATGGGACCTAATATTTTCATGTATTGTCAGCCCTGGCTTGCCGCCACCGTCGCCACTGTCGCCTCCCCGTACGAGTTTAATAACTGTAGGTTCAGGTTATATCATTTTAACTTTCTCAGAGACAATAATTACTTTGTATCGATTTTAATGATATTCGAAGGTTATTCGTAGATCCTAGATATTAAATTATTCGAGTAGCCGCAACTTCGACGTGAATGCACGGATATGTGTGTGTGTGTGTGATATTTTCAAGGGTCGTGTTACGAATGCATTGAATTACCTTCTGGACAGTCGACGGATCGACGAGCCTCGGCTCTTCTGCATTCGAGGCCCTCCTCGCCTTTCGGGCAGGTCGCGAAAGACTCCTCGATGGAATTTTCACCCAGTATTGCATTAATCTGAAAGTAACGTAGTGCCGGACAGTCTCATCGTGGCCAACGAGCGTGCAACGTCTACGCAATACGCCCCCGCCGATTAAACGTTCTTAACTCGTCTGTGCCTAAAGCAAACGATCTTGCACTTCGATTCCAATTTAAATACTTAATTTACACATAGAAGATTAATATACAAGGCATAAATGGGTTAATTATGAAAACGATTATACTATTGCTTCGAGTCGATCCTTGTCGAATCTAATTTTCAATACTCGATCGAAATCTCGAAAAAAACATTCGCCATTTGCCTCCACCAAGTTACGTAGGTTTAACCTCTTCCCGTGGCATTTAGCTCGACGAAATTCGGGGCCCAAAAAGAGGTTATAAGAATCGTAAGTAACTCTTGTGGCGTATCGATAAAAACTAAAACTCAATGATTCGTGATGTTTACGTTTGGACCAAAATCTACGTCGCGAATCAAACTCGTTGAAGTACGGGAAGGGGTTAATTAAGAGTAACAGTTTAATGGATTCCGTAAGACGTGTTTAAAGATTCTGCGTACAATTAAAGAAAAGACACGAGTCTCGTTACAATAGTAATTACGATATTCTCGCGATCATTAAAGTCCCGGGACTCGCGATTGTTACAGAATCGTACGTGTACGGACGTTCTCCGGTTACAATTTTTTTTGTTACGCAATCGAGCACCGGTATTCGTAGCAGCGAACCGATTCCGAGTCCTTCGCGGTCCCGATGCATTCTGATCCTTCGCAGATCCGTTTCGACTTCGTATCGAATAGAATCGATTCTGCCTCTCTTAGGTTAATCGCTCTAACAATCTTTATTCTATCATTTTCTCCGGTGTCATCCTTAGTTTTCTTAAATTAAACAAATGATTCGAATTTATTACGATATATGTCAATTTTCATGAAACTTTGCACAAATGTTCGTGCTACTTGTTTACTTAAACTCTTCACGCCCTTGGCCACATATATGGACGTTCAGTTTTTTTTTTTATAATTATAGTTACTGTCAATAATAAATAGGCAAAAAACAAAATGTCTCTGAAGAGGTTAAGGGAGAAATCAACCCTTCTCTTTCGATATTGAAAAATTTAGAAATCTGAAAAAATTGAATATAAAAAAAAAATATCAAATTAAATATTTTATGTTGGACAACTGAAAATTACTACGTCTCAATTGTATTCGTTATTTAGTATTCTAATAGTTTTGCCGGCCTCTGATACGAAGTCGAAACCCGCGAAGAAGCTTCGACAGTTATTTTCGACGACTTTCGGAACGCTCGATGTACGGTTCATTGTAAAGCTCACTCGTTTGAACGCTCCAGGCTTCGAAAACATTTTGACCAGTTTCGCTAGCGCGTTCTCCTCCGTGACGCTCGTGACATTTTCCACGCACCGGTGGCCGTGGAGCACTAAAAACGAACAGAGAAGCAGCAACGCACCGCGGTAGCACATATCACCGTCGTGTAAACGCGCCGACGAGATGATTGGGGGAAAAAAAAAAATAAATAAAGCTCGCGACGCCTCGTCCCGGATAATTTGAAATCGCGACTGGCGGTCAGGTGACGGAGAAGCGCACCGACAGTTTGAGTCCTCCGTTTTACTTTCTGGTGGGGATATCCTACATTACGCATTGCACGGACACGCGGGACACTCGTTTGAATTGCCGATCGCGATATACGTATCGTGAAAGCTTTTACAGGCTTAGTTCGCGCCTGGGGTGGGGAATCTTTTGGCATTTGGATGTTGTCGCGTCCTTGTGTCAGCTTCATGGTCTTCTCTCGAAGTTCCACACTTTGGATCAAACTTGTAAAGCATGCTTACCTAAAGATGGATTAACGTTCTCGTTTATTTCCTCAATTTGTTCACGAACCAAAAAAGAAATGATCGCGTCAACCCAACAATGGATAAATTGATAAGAGCAGTAACCTTCTTAACATTCATATTTTAAAATAAACACCGTTAGAAGATGTTAGGTATACAATTCACAAAAGGCCGCTACGAATAAGGCCGTGGTTTAATTCAACGTTTACATTAACGAAAAAGATACAAATAAAGTAATTTTGGGACATATTTTATTCTATTTGACAAATTGTATGCACTACGTCCAGCGGGATGAAAGACTTAGGTAAACAAAAATACATTACAAGGATAAAACTCATAAAACTCAAGTCTCTCATGTTCGATCAGAAGATGCAGTTGGATGTAAACAGAGCTTCTCACGTGATCAACGTTCCATTGGTCAGCTGTATTCTCATTTGTTTCAGCTTTATTCATTTGTCTAGCATAATGGCAAAAGTCATAATAAAATTATGCTTTATCTATATTAAGTTTAATATAAATTAACTTGAGATTATATACGTTTATTTAATAATTTTATTAAAGTAGTTCATTACCTTCGACGCTAGATGGCGCGCATTTTTTCGATGCCAAACCCTCTGGTGCTAAAACGGCCAAGTTTGTCGTGGAATAGTTCGTTATCATCAACGCTAGATGGCGCTTATTTTCGACCTCGGGCCCCCTGGTGCTAAAACGTCCAAGTTTGTCGAGAAATACGCGCCATCTAGCGTTGGGGATAACGAACTATTCCACGACAAACTTGGACGTTTTAACACCAGGGGGCCCGAGGTCGAAAATAAGCGCCATCTAGCATTGAAGATAACGAACTATTCCACGACAAACTTGGGCGTTTTAGCACCAGGGGGCCCGAGGTCGAAAATAAGCGCCATCTAGCATTGAAGGTAACGAACTATTCCACGACAAACTTGGGCGTTTTAGCACCAGAGGGCCCGACATCGAAAAAATGCGCGCCATCTAGCGTCGAAGTTAATGAACTATTCCATGACAGACTTGGGCGTTCTTACCTTAAAATTATTAAATAAACGCATATAATCTCAAGTTAATTTATGTTACGCTTAATATAGACAAAGCATAATTTTATTATGACTTCTCCGACTATACTAGACAAATGAATAAAGCTGAAACAAAGTAAAATACAGCTGACCAATGAAACGTTGATCACGTGAGCAGCTCTGTTTACATCCAACTGCATCTTCTGATGGAACATGAGATTAAGACTATACTAACATCATCACAGTGACACGAGCAATATGTGCGGTCGAGCGGCTTGGTGAGTAATTCTGTCACGTAATTTCAATAATTAATTCATGACACGGAAAGTTTACGAATGCTAGAGAAAACACGTGAATCATTTTACAGTTCTCTGAATCCGGAGACTTTGTGCGATGCTTGCGGCTACAAGGATGCGAATGGCAAACTACGTAGAACCTCGTGGACTAAAAGCGACGTCGAGTACAAACCGTCATATAATATCGGTCCCAAGGATGCCCTTCCATGCGTCGTACCTGGATCACAATTTGGAGAAACACACGAGAGAGTCCTTTGTGCTATGATGTGGAGTGTGATTCCGCCGTGGCACGAGGTTACTATTTACAAACAAAATTCGCTCGACGTTTTAGGGTGGGGTACGGTCACGTGACCGCGAACGAATCATCAACAAATGCATCGAGGCTGAAGGCATTTACGAAACGAAAACAATGAATTCTTATCCTATCGCGTTATGCGATTACAGAACATTACGATTTGTTTGCAATTATCTTATGTTAATATGCAACTGATAAAGATGTTTTAACCTGTTCAAATCCATTAGGGAGACTATAAGAAGAGTAGCATCGCGACGCATAACGCGCGTCTGGAGAATCTTAGGAATTCGAAATTATATGCTCCACTGCTTCATAAAGGACAGAGATGTATTGTGATTTGCGAAGGATACTACGAATGGAAAGCTGGGAATACTAAGAAAGATTCTAAACAACCCTATTACATTTATGCAGCTCAAGAGAAGGGTGTAAGAGCAGATGATCCCGCAACATGGAAAGATGAATGGTCAGAAGATGGATGGAAAGGATTTAAGGTTTTGAAAATGGCGGGAATATTTAATAAATATAAAACTGGAGAGGTAAATGTAACCCCATTAGGATAATTCATTTAATATAAGAATTAAAGAATTCTATTTCAGGGTAAAACAATATATAGCTGCAGCATTGTTACAACAGAGTCTAACAATGTCATCTCTTGGATGCATAATCGTGTACCTGTATTTTTGAACACGGAAGAAGCTTCGCAAGTAAACAACTGAATAGATATCTCTGTAGAAAACATATATTTTACAAAATTTCGATCGTTTTAAAGTGATATTTTTTTTTAATTTTTGTATCCTTTATTCGGTGCTACCAGATCTGGCTAAAAAAAGAGCTATCGGTAACTCAGACCATTGAGTTGTTAAGTAATACAACATTAGCAGTTGGGGATTTGTCTTGGCACACGGTCTCGACTTTGGTTAATAACGTACACAACAAAGACGATGCTTGCAGAAAAGAAACGAAAAATATGTATGTATGCATTTAGTACCGCATAATTAAACGTTTTATTGCAAGAATTATAAAGTTTTAATCCCGCGAAGTGGCATGCCAGACTATTGATTTACTAATTCTATTACACGCAGAGAAGGGAAAAAGAACAACCCTAACACTTTCATGGCTTCTTGGCTGAAGAAGGGGAGTGCAGAGTCAGCTAAGAGAAAAAGTACAAATACCGATGATGACCATAGTGGCAAAGGTGAAAACGGCGATAAAACGCTTTCAAAAGTTCCAAGGAGAAACTAATATTTCCTAATATTAAACGAGTATATTACCGTCAAAGTATTAGCTATTAAATATTAATATTTTCTACTTCAACCCATATGTAACTATTTATTTAATTTATATTTTAAAATACATTTATACTGTAATATGTACAAGAACGTTAGAATTTTAAGTACATATAACCGGAATTTTATGTAAGTTTTATAATACAAAAGACATTTCTTTCTGTTTACCTTTTTCTTACATTTAATGATTGCTATCTGTCCTGGAAGTTCTAAACCCCTTCTCCAACACCCTCTATTTTACGTTACTTATACCAACCTATACAATTTTTATTTTATATTCATATTGTTTCAAGTTTGTCCAGACCTAGACTACATTACTGATTTTAATACAAGTTAAAGTAGTTTTGCGTCGTTCGGTTACAAATCACCGATTTACGATTACGGATTACAAATGGAGTTTACACTTACCGATTAATTTACGATGATCGGTTAGAAAAGCAATTGTAAAGTAATCAATTGCTGCTCGAGTTTGGATCGAACGAAATTCCGTTTGGCGCTCAGAAGAACGCATGCGCGTCGCGTTCGTCGGTCGAAGGAAGATGGCGGCGAGCATTGGCGGGACTCGTTTAGTAACGAGAGAGAGAAAGAGGAGGAAAAGAAACTCTAGTTACCCGAAGATGTCAGCACGTTGACTCGTGTTTCGCAACGACAGCGGTGGCGACGGCGGCGGCGGTGGACAGACGATCGGTGGTGGTTCGCGTTCGTTCCGCGAGTGAGTGCACAGTGTGTACGGTAGAGAACGGAAGGTGTGCACGTACAAGTAACGGAGAGCTGTGGTGGTTGCGCGTTTTCGTCTCCCGTGCCGCGGGGGCTGCCCTTCGCGAGAATCCGCGTCACGCATGGCACCGCTCCGTGCCTGAGACGCCTTTTTCACGGAGACAGAGAGAGCGAGATCGCGCGCGACCGGGGCCCCAGCCTCTTCGCGTGCCTCGTCTCGTTTTGCCGTTTACGAGCGCCGAGGAGACCGAGTCGCGACCGAGCCGACAGAATGACCAGCCAAGAGACGCGCGATCAAGGGATCAGCAACGTAGAGACCGAGTACCTCGAGATCAACTCGAAAGAAGCCTGGTCGATCCTCTATCAGGTAAAAGAGATCGTCGTCGCCTCTTCCTCTTCTTCCGCTTTTTGCGTCTTTCCTTCCGGTTAAACGCGAGATAAGGGGGAACCCTGCCGTTTCTGTCGCGAATGTGTCAGCCCGTTTCACCACTACGTCGAATTGTTTTCCGCTGACACGGATCGCCAGTCGGTGCGGCGCGATGATGAAATTCCTCGTACTCGCTTCCCTCGGCTCTGCCCGTTTAATAGAATTCGTAAACCGTTGCCCGCTTACGTGCGTGCGTGCAGGGAAGCTGGAAAAATTGCCCCTAGACTGAATTTCAATTCGTCGAACGGAATATTCCCTCTAGGTTATTTCGCCCTCGGTCGGGATTTGGTATCGCGTAGCCTGGCGATTAATAACGCCGCTGTCACGAAGGCGCATTTTACGGGCGAATAGATGGATTTCTTTTGGTATCGTGTACATCGCTCGGAGGCAGTCTTAATAGTTCCCCCCGTAATGCGTTATCGTCGTTCGCGAGGTCTCGTAAATTTTCGACGGTGCCGTCGACCAAACAAGAACGCGTGTATCGCACGTACATGTCGCACGTCTGTTTATCGTGCTCCGATTTATTTATCGTAGAAGCCGTATGCAAGCCGTTCGGCTCACGTCTCCGAGCCTCGGCCAGCAACGTGTTCGATTAATTTATGCTCCGCAAATGAACTTAATTTACCGCACGACGATGCGATTCGATGCAACAACGAGCCATAATTCAGCAGCCGCGTTTAATTCTTTATCTTGTTCTCGCGCTCCGTTTCTTGGATATGATTATTACAATGCACGGATTGTTTTAAATCGTGGGTATATCGTTTCCCTTTCTCGGAAAGCGGTTTTCGCAGGAAAATGTTAAATGCAGCATAGACTGTGCATTGTGATCTTATTGTCAAGGTCATGTATTGTAGTTCGAAATACATGTACCAGTGTGTTTATACAGGACACAATAAACTTTAACACTTATCGAAAGAAGCAAAAAAAAGTATTGGTAAACACGATTTAGAAGTTAATAGTTTTCAATGTGTAAGAAACAATTCTATTTCATTGTACCAACATCGTTACCAGCATACCTCGACATATTTTTTCATTGATTGTCGTGCTCTAGCTGACTGTCTCATAACGTGTGCCTTGTAATTTGTAAACTATCCGGTTCTAGACCAGCGGTTACTAACACTTTTGCTTATTTTGACAAGTACTATAAACATTTCCGAACCTGTGCTTCTCCTTATATTCAACACACTGTATACACTTAACAACTCGCTTCCTGTTAATGCATAAGCGTATGACATTTGATTACTTTTTAAATAATAAAAATAGTTGCAAGTTTTTAGAAATATTCTTTCATCGAAAGTAATTTAAAGCAAAATTTTCTTTTTGTAGCATATACGTAACGAATGCAGCAATTTTATATACACATGCAATGAATCGAGGAAGCCCCAGAACAAAAATTTAAACCGGTATAGAGATGTTGCGCCGTACGACCATAGCAGGATTGTCCTTGAAAGGGGACCGTGCGATTACATCAATGCCAACCTCATACGGGTAAATATACAATGTATTTAATTCTAATTCGTGAAGATGCGATGACAAATTGATTTTTATTGTAGGTAGATCGTGCCCACAGACAATACATACTTACTCAAGGACCCTTGGAGAATACTGCTGGCCACTTTTGGTTAATGGTATGGGAGCAAAATTCTAAAGCTGTGTTAATGTTAAATAAAGTAATCGAGAAGAATCAAGTTAAGTGTTATCAGTATTGGCCTCTCGGTGATTCGTTGGATCATACTATGACGTTTGTGGATGTTGGTATAAATGTAGAATATGTCAGCAAAACGGAATCATCGGATTACACGACTAGAATATTAAAGTACGAAAACAAGATATGAAACGACGGTATAGAGAAACAGCAAGAAAGCAAAAAGAGCAGTTAATGTAACGTTTATACTTTGCGCAGATTAACTGATTTGGAAACAAAGGAAAGTAGAGAAATACTGCATTTTCACTATACTACTTGGCCAGATTTTGGAGTGCCGCAAAGCCCAACAGCTTTTCTGCGTTTTTTGGCAGACGTTAGGCAGTCGGGGGCATTAGACCAAAATGTTGGCCCCCCTGTTGTTCATTGCTCTGCTGGTATTGGAAGGTCCGGGACATTTTGTTTAGTCGACACATGCCTTGTTTTGGTAAGGATTACTCTTATTAATGAGTGGAAGTAAACATTTTTGAGAAAGAAATTGCTCCTCATTTGATTACAGATCGAAGAAAGCGGATTGAATTCCGTAAACGTTAGAGACGTGTTGATCGAAATGAGAAGATCCAGAATGGGTTTAATTCAGACACCGGATCAACTAAAATTTTCATACGCTGCTATCATTGAAGGAGCAAAACAATTGCCATCCAACAACGTGGTAACTAATACCAATCCGCAGTGGTACAGTGTTATTGGTCCCTTTAGATGCTTGATATAAATTAAGAAGCAAATCTTTCGGCAAAGATTTGATTTCTAATAAAAACCCTAATAATGCTGTACTACTGTGGTACACAACGGTCTATGACTTCCATTAATCTTTATGTAATTTACAGAACGTCGATAATGAGATAGTAACAAATCATTATGACGTGGTAAATAATATTAGTCATTCTTCGATCGAAGAAGAAGACGAACCGCCTCCGTTGCCTCCTCCAAGAGGCGAATCTTTAACGCGTAGTATGATGGCGGATTTAACTTCGAACGCAACAACAAAGAACGGTAGGGATAATTGATCAACGATGAACATTAAACTCGAAACTACCAAGATACAATTTCCTCCCGTATTTAATGCCAGATGAATTAGGTGGACCACCCGATAAACCATTGCCCAGAGAACCATCGGCTCCCACAGAAACGTCCACCAGCCCACCTCCGGCAAACTCAACAAAAATCACAAACAATTTACACGAAAAGAGTTCCGATGGTGTTGCAGTGCCTAATGAAACTACCAGTGACGGCGAAAACTCTTTACAGACAGTTAGTCCTCCGTCCAGTCCAGATACGTAAGTTTTTCCAAAAGCTTGAGTCACGTTTTGCAACAAAATCAAAGTTATAAGTCGTCTAAAAACAATTACAAGTATCCCTTTGATTTTGCGTCGGAGTGTACATTTAAATGTCTTTGCATTGTTCTCCTAAACGGTATTCGTTTGGTTGTAATAGGAAAAACGAAGTTCGTCAGCGTAACAGAGAAAAGAAGGAACGTTTGGCAGCACAAGTACGAGAGATGAAACGTCGACAAAAGGAGACAGAAGAATGGCAGAAGCTCAAGAGGTCATTATTTAAGCCCCTTTCAATAGGCATAGGCGCCGCAATTGTTGGTGGGGGTATTCTAGCAATCTGTGGCTATTTGTATACGCGTGGTTAGGGACAGACTTGTTTCTAGTTGTCAGTGATACCTAGGTGATTCGCACATTCAAGAATAGTTACTTTCACCACGAGATATTTAACAGTTCCATTTGCACGTGTCATCGATTACTGTCAGGAATGAGTAATTAATCAGGGAGAAGCATTTCGGCATTACATAATTGGAAACAGACCACGGTCGCGAGGATACGTTTTTATCGAGAAAGTAACTTGGGTTAGCAGAAGGTGTGACCGGTTATCAAAGGAATGTTAAAAGAGAAGTAACTTATTCTGAGGAAGTGCATTTTGTAAAGGACATTGTTGCATGGTAGAGAAGCTAAAGAAAGATCGAAAAAAATCGATGATAGAAGGTGAACGAAGGAGAAGGGGGAGATCTTCAATTTGTATTTTTATATTGTGATTTACTCAATGAGTACGTAGAATATTAGAAAGTATACATTCTTTTGAAGATCCTTTCATTAGGTTCCCTTGAGAGTCGCAGTTTTTGAAGCGAGTAGAGTATTTCGTATTTCGTGTTTCCAATTATGATGGTGGAGTAAGAGGTGCATTGAGTCAGATTCATTTTTCTCGTTTTAATTATAAATGTGGAATATGTTGATTTTATGCGTTTCGTAGGAATAATTATATACAATGCGCGAATTAAGAAGAACACGATGCACGCGTAAGTGTCTAAAAACAGCGATGAGTCAATGCCTTCTTATTCGTACATTGTAACGTCTGTAAGCTCATATACGATACACATTACACGAAGTGGGTGCACGACGTTTCAGTAAGTAAACTCGATTGTTTACCTTCCACTACAGAGGCAGACGCAAGTATTAATTCACCACATTTATTTTTTTTTTTTTTTTTTTTTTACTTGAACACGTAAATAGATATAGTTGTTTCTATTCGACTGATTCCTTTGCAGTCATTATTTAAATTCTAATAATCTGTTCAAGAGCAAAGTGGTTAATCAGTTTTATTTAATCGAGTAATCTTCAAATAAATTAGCTCTATCGTTAGTAATTATCCAGGGTACCAAAATCATTCGCTTAGAGTTTATAAGCACCCGATCACTTCGCTAGAATCTAATGAATATATTCGTGATAGGCGTAGAGAAATGTTAAACGATTCTAACTGTAGTACACAAACAGTAAATGTTTTTAAATAACTTGCCCCATCGAAGTAGTGTCCATTCTTCTATAGGGATGTTCGACAAAGAAAGGGAGGTCGTATTAGAATTAGCGTAAGTCATGCCTGTGACGTACCATGGCCCGTTCTTTACGTGGGATGCCGTTTATTTAGAATCATCGTCGACTTCGTTTTAACACTTGTTCCTGGGGCTATGAGTAAAGAGGTACTTTCGGCTTTCTCTCTTCCTTGAAGGAACGCAGGTCACCAGAAATATTCCGTTAAAATGGCTACTTGTTGTGCCTTCGATTCTGTACTTGATAATGTTTCACGGAATTTCGTAAAAGCTCACGGTCGTTTACACGAGCGATTTTGTATCGAGTAGTTGAGGGAATCATTTTTTTTTTTTCTACGCAACGAACATTCCTGGTATACGGAGGAAGAACGATTAGTATTGAATTTCACTCGAGTAATTAGCGTCGACTCAAGAACGTTTTCAACCAATGAGATTGCACGTTGCTCGTCACACGACATAACCGCGCGATTTATCAATATTGCGTTTTAACTTTGCGACGAAGCAATTGACAAAAGTGGGTGCCAAACGAACGAGAAGCCAACAAGAATTTTGTACGCCACGCATAAGTAGACATTACGTATACATTGAATACCTTATTCGATTCGAATCGGTTTCTGGCATCAGATTTGGTATTTACGCCGAGCACTTCGGGTATCAGAGCGATATTCGGTTACGTTCAATTCGATCGAGCACACTTAGAAGTAATTCTTGAGAATTAGTTATGGAAACGATTCGTAGGAACTTCCTCGCAAGCTTGAAAATAGATCGAGAGAATTACTGAGAATAATTCAATTGGGTCGATCAAAAAGTACTTGATCCTATTAAATGGGACTCGATTATCTTCCGAATACTTGACGCGACAATTATCGAAACTAATACCAGGAACTTGGTTCGCTCTGGAAAACACGTTGAAGTAACGAAGAACCGTTTCGTCGGTCGCGTTAGTAAATTTTTATTTTATACACTTTTAACCCCCCAATTTTTAAAGCGTTTTTCTACAGTAACAACGTTCACTCGCTTTTGCGCCGGATAGTAAACGGGATGGGGGACACGGGGTTAAAAGGAACGTTTTCTAAAACACGATTTCCACCCAATTTGCTCAAATGGGTACGTTCGAATCCATTGAGCATTCGCAGAAAGACTGAATACGTCTAATTGCTTCTAGAGGAGACGAAGTTAAGAAAAGGTTTAAGAAAAAAACAAAAAAAAAAACAAAAAAGATTAAGAAATACATAACGTGTTAAGCCTGTATTCTTAAGCTGAGCTTTTATGTAAGTCACGATTATCAAACTGAAGTAGGAAGAAGACTTTGTCGGATCGTGTTCCAGGACGAGCGGAACCAGGGGGGTTATGCAGTTCGCGGTTCTCGACTTTCTCTGCGAAGGAGAGCACGTGTCGCGAACAAATTGTATTTTGTACTTTTGTACGTTGCTGGCTCTAGATTGGAACACGATCTTACAAAAAAAAAAAAAAAAAATTAAAAAACCAAAAAAAAGAAAAAATACAAAAAAAAAGAACGAGATTCTTGGGTACGTTGCATCCGTATGCGCGTGTTCGTTCGACGATGCACCGAACATACATACGTTAATTTAAAGATATCATGTTCCATTCGAAGCGATGTTACACATGTTCGAAGTTAATACAGTATTCTGTCGTCGGTACCCGTCTACCTGTGTGCACCATTATCTCGTTACCTGATTTTCTGCCTGGAGAATATTTGTACGTTTAGCGAAGTGCGATTTAGAGACGCATTTTCCAACTTTAAACGTGGTATAATGATCTATTAACTGTTTGCAGCACGGTGGCTAGAGTGACCATTTAGAAAATGTCCATCGAAGCACAGTGACCACTTTTTTCAACAGTTTGCACTATCTTGCAGGAGCATCACACTTTCACGGCTATCCTTGCTAACCATTGTTGCTCGAATGGACCTTTTTAGGCGGATACCATAACTTAGCTATTGTACTGCAAAGAGTTGATGCTTGCAACACGCGTACCAGCCTTCATTTAGAACGATTCTATCGAACGAAAGAGACGGTAGCGTTCCTAGCGAAACGAGCAAATTCAATATTTTTTATATTTTATTTTTTAGAAACACTGGAGTCACTGAGCGAGACCCACGAGGCATTTATTGTGGCCCGAGTTCTAAGCAGTCGAAACTGATCGGAGACTTTCGAGCGTGAACCGTGTGTGCCCCTTTTGGAAAAGATTTCTGTCGTTTGGCCAGCCGGTGAACACAATGATACCGATTGTCTTTTTCCGGCGTGAATCCTCGCTCGAACATCTAAACTGTTTAGTATCGGTGTGTTCATTGAACCTCCTGCATTTCTGAATTGCATTTCGAGTTAATTAGCGTCGATTAGGACCGGGACTACGTTCGAGAATTCGTGTATCGATCGTGTATCTGTGTTCAAAGTTTCGTTCTTAAACGTGTAAATTATTTTGTTGTAACATGTATCAAGGAAATGAATTTTTCTTAATCAACGGAGATGGATGTTCAAAGAATCTTCCTATGCCCAAAACGGTAAATGTGTTCTGTTTAGTATACGCCAGACACTGTTTGCAAAGGGTTAATATTCCAACGCCCAAACATTTAAAGTTTATTCGTTGCATTCGAACAGCTTCTGCTTTCAAGGTTTGTTGATACTACCGAGTTCTAAGACCGACGGATCCATTTGTAATCCTAACCGAACCGCCGTTGTTTTCCAAAAGCATATACATTACGCCCAAAGGCTTCCGACAGTCGAAGCTGGTGTTTATCCACGAGTCAATTAGTGAACGGAACACGTTCGAGTTTTGGCCCGTTGACTTTCGTTCGACCAGAATCGTTGGTGGTCGGTGGCGTTCTCGAGTTTTCTATGTTCGTACGATTATCGAGAAACCGCTCCCCCGTTGTCGTTGATCGCGCGGGAGTTTGAAAATGTTCTGAATGCGTGCGTGAGTGCGAGAGAGACAGAGAAACGTATCCCCAAGAGCTAGAATCCACGAGAGACACGGTGCTAATCGAAAGTTCCAAAAAAAGAAGAAAAATATAACGCTCTTGGACCCGCGAGAGAGAACAAAAAAAAAAAAAAAAAAAATCAGCGTCGATCGTAAGATTTCGTAAAATCAAAAAACGATCAATTTTTATAGAAATCCGACGATCGATCTCGGAAAAAAAGAGCGAACGAAGAGGGGGAGGCATTTATACGCATTTTCTGTTTTTTTTTTTTTTTTTTTAATTTTTTTTTTTTTCTTTCATTCCCACGATAATAGTTGTAAACTACAAGGAACCGCAGAAACATAGTTAAGTGCCTACTCGTACGAAAACGAAAGGAAGGGAAAAAGGGAACCACAGTGAAATTACGAACCGGTAGTAGCATTAACGATTTACGATATTATACTACACTGATACTATACGCAGAACCCCTTGCCTTTTGGCAGAGCGTAGTCGTCGAGCAAGTGAATCCTTCATTATCCGACAATATATAAAAATAGATAATCGTTCCAGTAAATCTATTAACGTCCGGTTGCCGGAGTAGATCGGACCACGAGATTACCACAGATTCGTACAACGCTTCCTGTCGAGGTAGACACACGTTCGAACGCCTGAGGATCCCGCGCAGCGGAGAGCAAAATGGTCTTTGTAATTTAGTACCGGTAGAAAGAACGACCAAAGGTGAGATCCACGAATGGCAATAATTAAATGTGACTTTTTTAACAGAGTTCACGCACAGTTTAAGTTCCGTAGATCCCGTCGAGAAGAAATGGTTCCTGTTCCTCGGCGTCGAACGTGAGAAGTTATTCGAGACACGACGATCTATCTCGACAGAAAGAAACGGACGCTGGGAAATGCAGGACGTTTCGAAACTATAGGTACAACCGAACAGCTCGATAGCATAAATATAGAAATAATAAGCGAATAACTCCGATAAGAAAGGTTTTAAATGATATGGAGGAAGTTCCTTGGTACAATCACGAAGATGAAATACATCTAATGATCGTAAAAAAATGTTTCAGTTAACCGGTCGATGTTTGTGCCTGTAGTTTTAAAACGCTCTGCATTTCTCGAAACGAGTTTTCCCAGTGAATCGAGATTGGGCAAAAGGAGTCTCGGTACTCGGCAACCGGAACACCTAAAGCTAAGAATCGAGTTGCGCTCGTTACTGGCGAAAGAGAAACAAACAGAGTGATCGAGGAAGATCGAAAGGTAGAACGATCTGGTTTTCCTCGTAGAGTAATAAAACTGGGCAAATGGTAGGAAGTTACTTCTCCCTGAAGCCTAATTGCATCCTGCGACTCGGCGTTTACAGTTAACTATATTTACGAAATGTACCGTTGTAGAAGTATATCGAGTGGTATTTTAAATGTAAAAGTTTACGCGAGACGAGTTGGAAACCGAACAGGTATAGAAGGTAGAAAGGATTTTTAGACGAAGGGGGCGAAAGAAGCGAGATGAGAGAACGCGGTGTGTCGCGGTACGAAAAGAATTTTTTGTGAAAAAGACATATTCCCTGTCGGCGAACGAGAGAAAAAAATGGCCACGAACGAACGTCGCTTCGCTTCTTTACACGCGGAAACAGAGCCGAGACGAGTAAACCGGATAGCATGACGTTTTCGTACGCTTGCACGCAATAAAAATTGTTATTCGCATTGAAGAAGGAAAACAAGATGGAGAAAAGAAACGGAAATAACGAACAGAGCGGACTAGAACGTCACGACGCTCTCGCAAGACGCATTCATTCTTTTTCTCTCTTTTTCTTTTCTTCTTTCGATCCCATGTAGAGAGACTCGTAGACGAGAATACCCCGTTGCGTATTAGATCGATCAATACAGGAAAGGATTTTTTCGTACTTTCCGAACTTTTTTTATTCCACTCCCACACGCCTCTTTACTAACGCGACCAAACGACGAGCTTCGGGGCTACGGATTCGTTCGATTCGGTTGCACATTACAAACTCCGAGGAGCTGGAAAATACGAAACACAGCTTTAAAACATTTTTCAACCAGACTCTTGTAAGATACTCTAGACACTGTTAGGTTAAATATTCGTTACGCCGTAGCACGTAAGCAAGATAAGATTACTGTTCTATTGGAAATGAATCGATAACCGATTATAAATTTTTATGAGTTTTTTAATAGACCAGAATCTTACTTCGATTTAGTACGAAAAATGCTTTAAATATTTCGAATCTCTTCCAAGGTATCGCGAAGATTATTAACCCTTTGAACAGCATTGTATAGCAAAGGGGTTGATATATAAAGATTAAATTTTCCCGCTCCTCGATTTCGTTTTATTTTATGTATTTGTTAATTTCTATAACGAATCTGACTCTGAATCTCGTCGATCGCCCCCCCCCCACCTCTCTACACCCCCGTCAATTTTCACCTAACAATCCCAGCGGGAAGATCGGTATGAGTACGATCTAGGACCTTGTTCGCGCTACTAACACATTTCTAATACGAACAACGCGTTTCTAACGTTCGCGTAACTGAACTAACGCCTGTCTTGCGCTTGTTAATTCTCGTACTTGTCTTCCCTTCAGCCTCGAAAGACCCTCATCTGGTGATTTCTTTCAGATCTAAAAGCGAAACTACCGAAACCAGCGAATCCGTGCACGAGGAGGCCGAACCTGCGATCTAAAAAATAAAAAAAAAAATAAAAAAAAAATTTCTAAGAAACCCGCGGCGAGATCGCGTTTAAAAGTGCCCTCGAATAACACAGTCCGTTCGTTACTTTCGAGTCGTTTTTACAACCAACTAAAGAAGCGGAATGCTATTTATTCAGACACAATGAATGCTTAACTGAGGAAATAAATCGATTTGTTTGGTACACTGAAGCTACGCTTGATTCGACGGTCACGATTCCTCCGACACGGCGACGGAGGACGTGATCATTTAATGCAAATTGATCCTTTCCCCCCTAATCTTGGAAACGAACGAGAGAAGATCATGCTCAAAGTAATGGAAACTCGGAAGTCCTTTAAAATCGTTCCTATTGGATCGTTGTGGAATCTCAAACCGGTAGGATGAGGATTTCGTTACAGTAAATCCTCGAAGTCGCATAATCTGCGACTACCCTCTAAACAGATTTCATAAAAAAGCATTTTTAGTATGACAAAAAAAATTACATTAAAAATAGACGTTTCGGATAATTCTAATTTAACGAATATTTTGTTGATGTTTCCTTTGCTTTCGTTTAGCAGAAATTAGTGCTACGTTTAAATAAATAATTACTGAGAATATACGCTCTACGACCTACAGGTTGGGTACCAGTGTTTTATTATTATTAAGTATCGTAGGGTGAAGGAAAATTAATCAGTTCTTAAGCTTGTAAGAATGAAGAAGTAAATGGAAGAGTGATTGTGGAAGGCAAGTGTGATTATGGCTGGGAGAGCTGACGAAGATTGGATCACGTCTCTACTTAGAAATACAAACATGGCCGCCCGTCTACCCGAAGAAAGAGACTTCCGGCGATAGCGTACGAAGGAATATATTTTATGAGGTATAAAGTACACTTATACCACTGTGATATTTATATTTAAGAAAAACAGTTAATTTAAAAAATAATTCTCAGCAATAAAATTACACAGAAGATAGTATTTGATTTAATTTTAAACAACCAACATGAAATCAACAGCAAATTATAGTTTGATAATTCAAGAAAATTTGTCCATGATTAGTTCACCCAGTTACAAAATGAGTACTGTTTAAAAAATTTCTTATTCTAGGAGTTATAGACACTTAAAGTAAAACAATGTTTCTACGTACAGTTTCGAAATTGTGCGCGGTTGGCAAAGTGTTAAGAAGTTCTGGTCTAAGGGACAGGTCGGTGTGTTTCCCCCGAGTCAGGTGTCCAACTTGCTCGTGACTGACGACGTGTGACTTTGGCGCGTAAACAATCGTTACAACCTTCGAGAGGAATATCGTTCAAGCGCGCAGCCGTGGGCGTCCATGTTGCGTAATTCCTACGAAAATCGTACGCATCATCTTCCGTGTAAACAGAAAAATGATTCATGACGGTGAAACGGTCCCTGTTAATTGCACATCGAAAGTCTTACACCGAATGACGCACAGTGGCCAACGTCAGAATCCAGACGGTCAAAATCATGCTTCTCAAAGACATCTTCGACATACAAGCAACGCAAATACACGGAATAAAAGAATAAAAAAGCTGTTATTCTTTAATGCATTGATATAGAATCAGAGGATGCGTGTATACGTGCATAACATTTGAATTCTTTTGTATTTAAGGTCGTTTGGAGGTCGTGTTCTCATTCTGCGCTCGACTGCTTGTTAAATGGTAGATAAAACATGTACAAGGACTGTGGATGAGAAGATTGCAAACCTTGTAAAGTTGCAGAAAAAGGACACATAAACAGTCTAAGGTCGTTACCTTGGAGAAGCTTGTACACACAATCCATTGATTCATATTTAATACTATTGGATATTCTTCTGGATTTTTAAGTTCAATATATTATGTAAAAAGTTTCGTACCTTCCTCTCTGTAACTGAAATACACAACACTGGTATAAATGGTTAAACTGTGAACATTTTAGTGGAGAAAATAATTGTACCACACCTTTCCTATTGTATAAATATCCATGATGGAAGGAAGTGAAGTAAAATAGCTAACACTGGTGTAAATCTATGAAACCGAGAACCGTTTGATCCTACATCTTCACGTTTATTTTGGTTAGAAAAGGATCTACGGCGTAACGTTTGTGATTGATCAAAATTCAATATTTTTATTTCGTCTAGGTCACTTTACGGCCTCCGCGTACTGCGCAGTTGATTAGCAAAACCGACGCGCAACGTCGTTGGACCCCTGTCGCCCCTTTTCGCGGCGCCATCCTCCGCTCCGAAGAAAACAAGAAGCTATATCCCGGTGCAGCAACGAGGATGCACGTAGCCAAGAACGCATCGGTCTTTCTAGTTTACCAGGTCGTTTATCACCTGCCGCGATACGTCACTGTACGATTAGCGTGCTCCCGTTTGACGTCATTGTTTCGTATAAATGCAGCAAGGATGCTTTCGTGGGGCATAAACCTGCCGTAGAGCAATCACAGCGCATCCACACGAGCACTTTCACAGTCTCTTTTCTCGTTTTTCAAGATACACTTTGCTGTTCCCAACGAAACAATCGGTTACATCGGTTAAGATCTCAGTGATCAAGACAGCAAGATCATTACTTGGACTACACAGAAAGAAACCTTCGATAGAAACACCAAGATGGTAAGTGTTAACATTATTGGGCCCAGTCCTCGGTCCCTTGCACCGCTGAAAATAATTAGACAAGTTGTTCGAATTTATTCCTGTCAAGCAGATTTAATTTTCTGAATTATTTTCAAAACTTACAAATACGAAGACATCTATACTTGAAAATTAATAGTTTCCAAGAGAATTTTCTTCCGTGAACCGTTGCTAAAATTAAAAGAAATAAATTATAATAAAATAAGCTCATGAACTAATTGTTATATTTTATTCCAGACTACCTGCGTGATCGTCGTCGTCCTCTTAACGTTGGTGGGTTGTTCCATGGCGTTCCCGGTAAGGCCCGAAGACGATTTGGGCCCCGTTGTCGGGGTTCTGGTCCAACCGACCGGACTGGACGGTAAACCTAGTGAGAAGTCATCCCCCATGGCGTACGCGATTCTTCTGGGCGGCTCGAGAATGCCGGAAGACGCAGCCAGCGCCGCGGTGGTGGAGAAACGCGAAGCGAACGAAGAAGATGGGCCCCAGGACTTGGAGACCGCGGCTGGCACTTATGCACTTCGACCACTGTTCGTCTACAGGCAACAGTTGGCGTACAGGGAACGCGTGCGACAAGCTCGCCGCGGTAATCGATTCTGAGTCATCGATGACGTTGACAAAACCTCGCTAGAATGGTCAGTGATTTCGGAAAAACCAAAGAAACTTACACGACGTTAGGAAGAATCTTCCTTAGGAACCATGAGAACCTCGCAGAAGTGAAAAATATATTTAGAAGTGATGTAAACACTTTTGGAATCCTGTACCTTCTGCGAGGATCGAAGAAGTTCAACTCTTACAAAGGATCTATCTGGGAGGCTGAAGTTCAAGGGTAATTAGAACCCCAAAGGATCATTCTTAAAACACTGACGAAGGATCAAGAGTCTGGAGTGCAAGATTCTCGACTGAGATTAAAAACAATTACAAAAAAACTTAGAGAGGATCCACGAGAGTCTAAAATTCTTGAAGAGAGTAAAAAATAAGTTCATATAACGGGTGAAATACCCTTCAACTTCACTCCCTCTCAAACCGGACGACGAATATCTGTATTTCTGAATTCATAAGGGTCCGAAGCAGACTCTATACGTTTCAAAATGTATGACAATAATCTCCAGTTGTGTTCCACGTCGAGGATTCGTTCGAAGACGGAAGTAAACGTGTCTTCGGTGAGGCTGCGTCCACTTAGTGTCTCGTTAGTGGACGAGTATAAATATCGAAGCTGTTAATTCGGCGAACAAGCGGCGCGCGTCACCGACAGCGAACGTTTTCTTCTCCTGTGCACGAACCTCGACCCTACCGTTTGTTTTCTATTACGGAAATTTTTGTATCGTTAGAACGTTGTATGAAAGGACGAAAGCGTGAGTGAGATTAGAACCGTAGCGTAAGCCAAGTAAATTAAGCGCGTAGTTTTAAGGACGAAGAGCTACCCACCAAAGCAAACTTCGCAGTAACTATTTAAGTTTGTGATACAATTTTTTTTTTTTTAGGCAACGTAAACTCGAATAAATTTCTTATGATAATGTAAAAATGCGAACAAATTCTATTTCTCCTTGCGTACAAATTTATTGGCGAACAATATCGGCGTTATTCACAGACATTCAAACATCCCTCTTTCCATTGGGAGTTCACTTTCCTGGGAAAACCGGGACTTTTATGAAATCACGCTTGGGCTGGCTCTCTGAACTGGTCCAGGTCCTCCTCTTGGCGACTGGCTGATGGTACCAAGAGTACAACGTTCTATCTTGCCTCTGATCAACGTCTTCAGATCCTCCGTTTTCCTCGTCATCCAACAGTCTCGAATCCTCTTCTTCGGTGTTGGAAGAATCACTTTCAGGTGAATCCTCTGTAATCGGTTCCAATGTATAGTCCTTTTCCTCTCTCTTGACTCGACTGTCGTTGACAATGCCTTTGGACGAGGATCCATGTTCAGAGCTAGCTCGAACTTTCGATCCAGTTTCAGCGGTAACTTCCTCGACGGTTCTGGTTACATAAGAGGCAACCTTCGAATTCAGGTCAGACGTTTCTGTTGCAATCGAAGGTGTCCTTGCATCCGAAACGCTGCATTCGAAACGCTGCGCCATCGTCAACAGGAGGATCGAGCTAATTGTAAGCATAAGAACCCGGCGTCTCATTTCGTTCTCTTGTTATACTGTTTGAGAAAAAGTACGCGATCGTGGATTTTCGGTGACGAGACGCGTGGTATTCGGGTGTATGTCGAGGACTAAGTAACCAGGAAGCGACGTTGGCTCTTTTATAGCTGGTAGCTGCTAAGTCGATCGCTAAACATTACTGTATTGTCAGCGACATACTAAGTGCGGCTATAGTTTCGGAAGATCACCAGCGATACAGAATTCCGAGCCAGCTATGGGATCCAGGTAGCTCTGGTTGCTAGAAATAAGCGTTTAAATAAGTTTTATCAATGGTTAAACCAATAATAATACTTTTCTAGAAAATGGTATACTAATGGTAAAAAAATTATCTAACAGTTTTATTTTGAACTAATTAACTGATTAGAAGATATTGTTCGCCATCTTGCACCGTGGCAAATCGTGAATAACAATTTGTAATAGATTCGTTTGGTACACTTTGAACGAATTGATGAACTTTTAATAAAATATATTGCGTTGACCAAGAAATATTTTACAGACGCATTTAGCGGTTGCTATCGAGAAAGAGCAAACAGGCGATGGAAGTCCAGGCAACAGGTTCAAGGTGTACCTGGCCAAAGTGATGTACCGCAAGGCTGTTACTCACGTCTGTTAGCAGGGCAACGATAATTCTTTCGGTACCTGGTATAAAACCAGCGCGAACCGTTATCGTTGCTCAGATTCGAAAAGACGACGGTGAAGTTTTGGTCGAAACGGAGATTACGGACGATTTACGACGTGGAGGTGTCTTCGAGGAGCTCGCTTAGGGTCGCTGAAGCTGGAAACATGAAGCACAAAATGGTACTCAGGGTAGAAATATTAACGTGCATTACAATTTACCTTAGAGTTTAATGTTTTTGATATTGCTCGCTGAGCAATAATAATAATAATGATTAATAATTAATAATTAATAATTGATTAATTAATTAATTATTGATTAATAATTATATAAATCTATTAATTTAATATCTATAGTTACCTATAAATATATATCTATAGCTTGATAATATATAAATATCTATGGTTTCATAGAATCAATAGATTATCTATTAATATATAAGTCATAATCTATTAACAATAAATTTAATATTTATATACTAATAAATATTTATAGTAAATATAATTATGGCGGTTGATTTTAGATTGGCAAGCTTCACCTTGCAATTTGCTGGATCGCGATACTCCAGAGGAACGTTTCAACGGCGAAACCTCTGGACCCTGAAGACCTGGAGGGCCTGTTACCGCCAACGCCTCGCGACAAGAACGAAACCATAGCCGCTGTCGTCCAGGATCCCGTCGTTCAGGACGCAGTTCACCAAGCAGCCAGCAACTCGTCGTTAAACGGACTCGTCGTGAAGAAGAAAGTTTATTTATTACCTGCTACCGATCCCAACAAGGTTCGTACGAAACTTGAATCATTCCAAATAGAAAGGGTTTCGTCAAATAAAAAATAGGGATTGTTTTCTTCCACTTGATATCTGGAAATAAGCGGTACCAATTTAAAAGTCAATCCGATCCAAGGGGAGAAGCGTCGGAACAATTTCGAGGACTGTAAAAATAGAAATCGACGCGTCGTTCGCTCAATAACAATCGAATGGCCGTCACTTAATTGTTTCGTGACGTTCGAAAGTAGTTATCGCGCTCACGGTCCACGCAACGCTTCCTTCAAAACATAAATCTTTGCCTTTTCACTTCTCGCGTACACATCGCGCGTCTTCAATATTTTTGCAATCGTATTTCCAGAGTGGATAAATTAAATTACTCTGAAAATATAATTGTTAAAATATTCGACCTTCTTTAACCCTTTGCACTCCTATGTCGAGTGTGACTCCAAACCAAAGAGATATACACTTGTATAATTACAAACTACAGCAGTAGTGTAAATGAAACAGATATTTGATTGAATTTGTTTAAATTGTCCGATTTTTTAGTTAACGTAAGCTTCAAATAAAACACTTAAAAGCGTAATAAAAATACTTAGCTGCAAATAACAGAATTGAAATATAATTCGGAGCGCAAAGGGTTAAAGGAGAATAATAAAATTCTTTTATCGTTATCCCGTTTGCCCAGAGCCGGGAATTCGGGTCAAGGTCGCAATTTGGCTTCTTGGCCGGAAACTACCATTTTGTTAACGTTCGATTACCCGGGTTTAAGGTACTCTCCACGCGGGAGCATCTTCTGGTCGTCCCTACGGAGAACTTGGAGGACGTACGAATGAACATCACGGAAGCCAAGCGAGCGGAGGAGGCAGTGTCCATCGAGCTCACCTCGCCAGAAAACCAGTCATTGTTCGAACGCGACGCGAATGGATATACGCCCGAGGTACAGGGTAATAATTCAGCGTATACATTCCATCGTTAGATCTTTATCATCTGTAGGCCACGATAAACCACGTCGACATTATTACGCAAGAGAATGCACGTCGATTGCTTGCGTTGCACCGAGATTCCGTGTTCCTGCTTCCATTCGTTTCTGTACGATTATTTAATTAATTATACGGGTTTTCAGAACGGCGCTGCTCTCGATTACGAAAATGGACCGACTCAGACCACGAATCAGCTGCCGTACGACGATACATTGAGATCAAAAACTGAATTTTTGAAAGACAAGCTAAGCAATGTGGCGACGTCGCCGGAAGACGACTCGAAGAAGGTGGCCGTGCCGATCGTGGCGGTCATCGATCCGTCGAACGCGGAAAAAGGAAAGGTGAACAGCCCCATAGTGGCCATTTTGCCGAATCAGCTGAACGGGGCCGCTCTGACCAACCAGGTCCAGTTCCTGAAAGACAACGGCGATCAGATTCAGACCAAAGCTCAGAGCTACATCGATGGAACGTCTCTCACCGTCGATCCAGTTTCCTGGCAGCCGTCGACACACTCGTCGGAGGTAAATCCCACGGGCAATCGCGTCTAAATGGTCGTCGCTCCGAATGTACAAAGATAGTCCTTCTAATAAAGTAAAAGTTCCGAAGCATTCTTGTTTTCTTCCTCGTTCCTCCTTAATGGCGAGCGATGCGAGCGATGCGCCTGGAAAAACGATTTATCCGCGTTGAGAAACAGTTTTGTACGTAATGTTGGCGCAAGAAAAGGACGAGACAATGATAAGTATACTGTTTTCAGGTCGCTTCGTCGACTCAGGGAATGCTCCTGGCACCTGACGTGGCGTCACGATGGGAAATGGTCGGTCCGTTGTTCGAGGACGACGGGGCGAAATATCCGAGGCAAACCGGCGACATGGACGTCGCCGAGGACATCATCTTCAGACCGTTGTTCAGGTACCGGCAGGAGACCCAGGAACGCTCCAGATACAACGACGACACCGGCAACCGAAGATACGGATATCCCGGTTACGGCTACTATTCGAGACGCGGTTATCCGTACGGATCGCGATACGACGATTACTGAACGCGACAGGATGCTGACCGACATCGTTCGCCCATTTACTTTCGAGCCAGAAATTACGTTTCTAGTCCTGCCAGGGCAGACATATCCCCTACAATCATAAAGAACGTATTTGTTAATCGCGTTGTTTCTTTTTCTTCGACCTTATGTAAATACATTTTGTAAATCTAGACGGTTAAGGATCTACGGATATACCAATTGTTTGCAATTTATATTGTATAATCTTGGAAATGAATAAAGATGAAAATCAACACTTTGACTATTACTCTAAAGTGTTTATATTTCGTCTATAGAAAAGAGCGCAAATAATTATATCGTTAAGAACCGAAAATAAAGTTTGTGTATTTCTTGGTGGTAAATATAGCTCGTTCGACTGTTTTTCGTTTACTTTCTTTCGTTTAAACGGCAGGCATTCGACCTTATTACCGCACGGAAATGCAGTTACGCGTGCCAGTTTCCACAGATCGGCAACGAGAGCAGCCGCGCGTCGGTTTTTTGCCATTTAAACGGAAGATCGATGTGGTCGGGAGAAACCTCGGTATGCGACGAATAGAAATTGTGACATAGAACGATGAAATATTTCTCCGCGACGTGGTCTCGCGGAAACGCAAGAAAACCGTAAGGATTTTCGTAGCAGCCACGGTCCCGACCTAGACCCACATAATCCACGCTCGATCCAATCGAACGACGATCGAAGTTACACGCCCGGAAAGATTAACGATGTTTGCGCTCGTTAAAAGCGTACGACGAACGATCGCAAACCAGTTTTTCTACGAATGTGTTCCGTACGGGGCGTCGCTAGACCTCAATTAACGCGACGTCGTTAATGCCAGCGGGCGGAATCGGTTAGTCATTCGCTTTTAAATCTATTCATTCATCGTTATCGACAGTGTAATTTGAATAACATTATTTTAAAACGATCCACGCGTATAATAAATCGGCCACGAACGATCGGAAGCGGCGCTCGAATTAACCCCGCGCTAATTTATTTGACAGTACCAATTTATTTACTGTTATTCGCTTCAAATTCTAATTTTGTTTTTCTCCTTGACCAAATAAACGTCGCACGGAGTCATTCCACGAAGAATTTCTGACACTTTCGTTGAATCTGCGCGTAACAGATTTCTTTGCACGCGAGTCGTTCGAGGATAAACGTGCGCAAACAGAGCATGATTTCCTTTCACGGATTGTTTATGTTTCTGCACGAAATACACGAAATACTTCGTAAATTAATCGAGTTGTTTTAATGTTTAGTTTTAGAAGCGATTTCGAGATTCTTTTACATTAAATTTGCATGTCAATGATTCTTCGTACGATTACACTATGTTTGTTTTGCATATTCATGCTTAAATGGTAGCGCATCCTAAAGGATTTCCCTTGCATTTTTCTCAAATTAGTCAGAGTGTGTCCGCAGGTGTTAAACGATCACTCACTGTGATTATGAGACAATCGTGTGCATTCATCCGAACTTGGATAGGAATGACTCGAAAAAAATGATGACAGAGCAATATTTCGAATACAAAATCGTTACACTTATTTGGTTTAATAAGCATTATGTTTTTTAGCTATTGCAATTAAACTTCCTGTCCGGAGGAGCACTTGTCGTTACTTTAACACTAGATTTACGGAAACCGTCAATTTTACGGATGTCTAATTCTATATTTAAAATTGCAGAACGCGTAAATATTATTTTTTAATAATTTACGTTGAATTTGATTAATACAATGGCACGAATACATATTCCAATTAAAAGAAAAATCGTATTGTAAGATAATCGTCAACATGAAAGGTACCAATAAATATACGTGCGATCAATGTCCGTAAATCTAGTATTAACAACAAAAATGTGAGTAACGAAAGTTATTGGAAATTAAATTTGGAGACCTTTCTGTTCCATAGAAATTTTCGATAGAATCTTTGGTAACCGAGATATCGACCCAACTCTTCACGTCTCTAATACTCTATGGGGGGTAAGTAGCAACGAAGCCTCATTCGCGCCCTAGAAAATATAATTAAAGAAATTATGTACCAGGAAGCGGTAAAATAATTTACTTAGAGAAACGGAACAAGCAGAGTTACTGCAAAGTACTCTGTCCCTTTAACGAACGTTATAAATGTATAACAGTAATAATTTCAGGATGAATAACAGTTTGGATCGTTACGAACATTATAAATGTATAATAATAATAATTTCACGATGAATAACAGTTTGGATCGTTACGAACATTATAAATGTATAACAGTAATAATTTCAGGATGAATAACAGTTTGGACCGTTTGGATCTCCGTGGGAACCGCGTTGTCACCCACGTTAATTTTCCTAGACCAACTTCCGGGAAGATCGTCGGTTTCCGTGGCTCGGATTACGAACGATGAAGAAAAGTTACAAACGATACCGCTATCGGGTGAGAGGAATCGAAGAAACGTCGATCAATCGATGAATCCAAGGTGTACGGGCAAGCTTTCGCGAAAGCCTGTCGGCGAAGGAAGAAAAGAAGCGACCATCTTTCTCTGATCTCTGCTCGAGGGGTATTCACGAAGGTGACTCACCGATTTCTGCTGGAAGCTCGGCAGACTGGATTTTTACCACGAACAGGACTATTCCCCTCTCTACAGGGAATCTGCATACCGCTCGAGCGTGTGTGACACCAGCTTGATTACGTTCTTCGAGATCATAAACCGCGCTACGTATATAACCGATGCTCCGTCGATCTGCTCCCTCAATCGCGATTTAAGTTTCGACGCGAACGGGAACCGCTAACGACGTACACCATCGCCGAGGAAACAGACGAATAGCATCATGTGGACCGCGTTAATGGTAAGAGGCCATCGAAATCGGCCTAATTTTAATTAAAATCAACGAACAAAAGTTAGATTTATTGGATCTTTAAAATCGACATCCGGAAGACGGAAGCTTGTTCGCGACGCAATTTAAAATTTGCTTCTTCGAGGATACGCGTTGCAGCTCGAAAGATTTTTACAGAAACAAAGCCAATTTTATCAATTTTACGTTTCGTTCGTAAATTAGAATCCATTAATGGATCTTTAACACTAGAACTACCAAGAAAACTGAAACGATAGGTATGTGAAGAAATGTATAATGCAACAAATAAGGTTTCCCCGCTAATTAATTCGAGAAGAATTTATGGGGAAGACATGGTACACTTTTTCCCCTCGAGGAACTTAATATCATTAACATTTTGTATATTAACACTGGAACTACCGACAGTTATAGTGTGTTTATTTGTACCAAGGGAAATTGAAACGATAGGTACGCGAAGAAATGTATAATGCAATGGAAATAAGTGTTCATTCATTCTCTTATAGAAAATTACGCGTAAATTTTCAAAAATTCAGTCGAGTGAATTTTTTACAGATTTTACAAGAAATTACGAATTTTGACTGGTTCGGTAGTTCCAGTGATAAAATCGACATCCAGAAAACGGAAGCTTGCCTTTTTTTTTATACACGTTGTAAATCGAACGATTTTACATTATTTATCGCGTCGATAGGGAAATTTTGAGACCTTCAAAGACTATAAATGCAAGAGGAAGTATAATCTTGCGGGTTCTTCGATAACGACTATCGCTAAACCGCAACGCAGCTACACCTAATTAAAAGTGACCAGAAAAATAATTCTACGACGCTTAATATTTCAAGTGAAAAATAAACAATTTTCGTGTTCCAGTTGCTCTGCTTGATCGCGTCGTTCGACGTGGACGCGGGGAAACTTTCGACGGAGGATTCGAGCGAGCTGAGATTGGAGGATGCGGAACTTCCGGCTGCCAGGCTTCTCAGAAAGTTCCGCCCAAATAGCCACACCAGAAGATTGCACATAGAGAATCAAACTGGGTTCGACGGGAAGGTGGAGAGAATTCATATAAACTCCGAGGAGGATCTTCATGGAATTCGCGCGTACGGAATGCCGAAGAAGATTTTGGCGAGCAACGGTCGCATCGACCGGATGTCGCAGGCGGACGATGTCGAGGGAATGCATGATTTCGGTCCGAGAGCTCTACGGGCGGTACGTCGAAACCGATAACTAGACAAAACACTACAGAATGCATTTAATACGCAAAAATATAATAAATTAAAGTAAGATACGAATTATTATATTTAGGGGTTGAGACAGCCCCTAATTTTATTAATAAAAATATGAATTTGCATGAAGATCCGCAGTCTACCGATACCACTATTAAACGTTGACTAAAACTGGCTGGAAAATGTTCAACCTTCGATCGGTAATAATCGTTTCAGGTCGAAGCCTACGGGATGTCCAAAGAGCACCTAGAGACCAACGGAGAAATCGAAAGGGTGCCGGTTCCAAGCAGCTATCAGATAAGAAGGGGTACAGGCGCGAGAGTATCGAGATCCATCGACTTGGAACCGAAGCAAGATATCGAGGAGGAATCGCTGAATGGCGAACTGGAGGATCTGGAGGCCCAGGACGCCAAAGTCTTCAGGCCATTGTTCGTTTACAGGCAACAGCTGGCGAAGAAACAGCATCGTTACAAGGATCACCCTAATTACGACTACCGTTCGTTTCGAACGCCTTACTACGAACGACGACCATTTTACTGACGTCCTTTCTCCCGGTGACGCCGTGCTCGACGCCTCGATAATCGAATCGCGACGGAGATCGAAACGGCCGTTTAGAGATATGCAAACGAGAGTCGAGATTTTGTTTGAGTTCGTAACGAGTGTCCTTGAGCGACTCGATTACCATAATGATGATCCACCGACCGTGCAACCGTCGTTTTATGCCAACAACGATTCCCATTCGTTCCGTCAATGACAATGACTTGTGCGACTGACGATATTTATATTTTTATAGCCGGACATCACAGACGTATCTTCTTATCCAGAATTTCGACCAACGATTTTTTCTTTTTGTCACGGTTGAGTTTCCGGCTCCTGGAAAACGATTATTAACAACGATTAATGATCGAAATTACGTGCTATGATTAATTGTAAATTCGAAAGGAATAACGTAAAAGGAAATTAGTTTAATAAAATTCACCCAAGTCTGATGTAGAACGAACGCGGATCTATGGATCGAACGTCGCCCACAGGACATTTCACGCATGAACGAGCAATACCAAAAAGTATTACGATAAGATTACTTCTAAGACGCTCAGACTCGTGTAACTATATGCTGACTAGTACTTAACGATTATAGATAAGTCGACATTTTATGTATGCGTATAAGCAAAATAACTAGATTGTAACTTTGCACGAGATCCACCTATCTTGTACCTATTACAAACTCTCTAAAATACACGTAAAATAGTTTGCTAACGAACCAAACTGTTTTAATTATTTTCGACATCGGTGAAAGATACTTTTGCAACTAGCTGTATGTCGGGGACAAAACAAAAACAGACGAGAAATTCATGGTCGTTGATTCCCTCGTCCTATCGATCCTATTTACGGACGCGCGATCGAGTTTCAGTGAACTCACAACGCAGAGGTGGATTTAAGTTCCTTTCCCGCCCCGTGACGAAGGGAAAGAGTTAGGAGGAGGGCCAGAAAAGTTTAAAAAGCTAGATACGAAAGTATTGTTTCTTGTTTAAAATGTTCTAATATTTACTATCTGTTGTCCGTAAAATTGTTAAATCCGCCTCTGTCGTAACGAGATGTTATGGCGTTATAAAATTGCCAATCGTACAATTGCACGTATATCGATTGCCTGTCGTCGAGGGAAAGCAACGTCGTCGCGATTCACAAGATGAGCAACGTACGGAAAACTGTTATAGCGCTGACCGTCGAGAACGAAGCGAATAATAAGAATAACGAGGCGGTTCGCTCGAACGAAACTAACGAAATGGAAAAGTACGCGATCGTTTCGAAAATCGTAAATCAAACAACCAGAACGGGTTAGATTTGTCAGTACAAATTTATTGCCGAGTCCTGCATCGTTTGTTCTTCGTTATTTTGTTTCCCTTTCGCTATACTTTCTCTCCTCTTCTACAGGTCTCACAGAAAACTGCGTCTGCTCGCGTTGAAAGCGTTGGATCATCTGTTCGTTGGCGTTCTTCTGCTCAGCGCGGTCTGGGAATTCGTCTACGAGAGCGAGTACTTGAAGACCATCGCCAGAGCCATCGTCGCGGTACGTTCGACATTATTTAGCGCATTCTTTCTGAAATTGTTTACAATTCGTTGGAATTTTAGTAGTTTCCAAGTACGGTTGTATAATTTCTGGAACAGGTCGTGTTGGAGCTGTTCATGTGGGTGATATTTGCCGGTGTATCCATACTGATGACAGCCATGTTCATCCCGGACGACATACACCATCGAAATAGAAACAAGGAGAAACTGGACGCATCGTTGAACGAGCAAGATGGAACAGTTTCCAGTGAAACGGACGCAAACACCGAGCAATTAAAGATCACAGAAAACTGAGAATCTTCGTCTCTGCATTTTCTAAATTGTACCATTGTTTACCATTGTTTGCAACGAAATCGTTTCGTTTCTTTATCTAGGCTTCGATTAAAATCAAAATATTTTCCAAACAAATGATTCCTCGTAGTAGATCGTACAATAATTAGACTCTAAGGCGACTCGAGGACAATTTAACGGTAGAAATGGAAAGTACCGGGGTAAAGGTGAAAGTTTACCAGGAATTTTACCACGAATGCCCTCGGGATGAAAAATTTGGTAATTTTGTGGCGTTATCGCGGACATGTAGAATATATAAAGGGATAGGTAAGCTTCTGGCGTCATTAAAGTTCCATTCGTTCGAGGCAGAATTATCCTCTAAATATGCAGACGTTGAAGGCGATCTTCTTCCTGGCGAGTAGACAAGAAACTGTTGTTAAAATACATATACTCTGTTAATAAACATTATATCTATTAATGTAATCACAGCGAATGGAGTCGATTGAATTTTGCTCGACGATAATACCGATAATACCGTTCTAACAGACTTTTTCTTTTGCAGGGCTTTCTTACAATGGCGGCGTCGCGTTCCCGTTCGAGAATCACGAATGAACTCGCCGCTAGCGAGAAATTTCTGAACGACATGCTGACGGTGGGCCGTGGTCTGCAAGAAGCCGGGTTGCTGACGATGAAAGCATCGATAGACGCAGTGTCGGCCATCGTAGCGGCGAAATTCGACGTTCTGAAGAATATGAAAGGCAACGATCGAATAACAAACGCAATAATCGACATCGAATTGGCCCAACTGGAGGCCAGCAGGGCCGCTGTACTAGCATTTCTGAAAACAATGACGACCAGAATCGTGTCTATGGTGGAGGAGCTACCCAGCGAGGATCTCGACTTACTTATACAGTCGCCATTGTTTGATCTCGCGTCGAGCATGTTACTTTTAGCGAACGATTCAGAAAATGACTCGACAACCGAGAAACACTTGGCGCAAACAGTGGACGATTAAAAATTTAATTACACCAATCCACAGCAATTCTAGTCTCAAACTTAGCTATCAATCTTGCTATAAAAGTTGTTATTAAAGAAATATATAATATTATTGTAACTACGAAAGTGAAAGTTAAATTGAACCTTACGAAATTTCGTGTAAAACCTGCTCTGCAAATATAAATATTACTAACCGTTAATAACGATGTTTAAATAGCAAGCAAATACGCCTGAAAGGTTCGATGTTTGTACGTTAGCTGGTTACCTTAAAAAAAAAAAATCCTCGAATATTTCGTAATTTTTGACGTTTTAAAGAATCGCTCATCATCGATCGATTAAAGCAGATTGCTAAGTATGCCGACCCGTGACGACCTTTTAACGCGTTAAGCGCTGATGTTCGCCGGTATCCGGTATAAATTAAAATAAATTATCGTCTTTGTGCGTAAATTCATTTATTTCCGCAGTTTCACGCGAAGCTTCGTTTTGTAAGCTTTCCGTTGTCATCGTCATAAGCACGGAATACTTTGTCGCGTAAAGATCGAACACAACGTGAAATAATATTTCCGTAAGAGCAAAAGCAGAAAAAAATAGAAATCACGTACGTTTAATAATGTTTACTGATCGGTTAGGTTCGTACGCGCGTGTAAATACGTAAAGTGTCCCGCCATAAAAGGCGCCGACGTTTCGACGGAATTCGGTGGTTCCCCGTCGAATCTTCGATCTTGATCGATAACGCGCCTCGACCTTCGGTGCTTTTTAAACGGCTTGCGTCATTTGCCTTGATCGTCAAGTGTCCCTATCGTACTCCGTATTGCTCTCTGCAACGCACGCCGGTTCCTCGAACGACACTCGAGGGATTCCCTTTCAATTATCGTTATTAAAATCAGCTGAAAACGATTCTTTCCCAATCGCTCTGATCAAAGCAGCCGCGTAAGATCCTCTTCCAATTACTGTTATTAAAATCACTTGAGCTAGATTGTCTTTCAATCGCTTTTATTGAAGTCAGCTGGGAGCGATTATTCTCAGTCGCGTGTATCAGAATCGGTTGGGTAAATCGATTCCGATGGTGGAGGACGACCCAAAGATTTAAAATGTATTATTCAATAAAAATGAATCGAACGTTTTCCAGAATATGAAAGCGATAGTCACCGTGATCCTGTTAGTGTCGATGGTCGAAGGCCACGTTATTTGGGGGGAGAATGATAGAGAGCCGACAGGACCGTTTTATCCAGGGCAGATGAATGTGCCGCCAAGGGAACCGTCTCTGAAACCTAAACACGGATTCCGAATGATTGGACGGCCGCTTCCTCCGTTTCCTTTCCACGGATTAGAAAGACGCCATCCGCATCACTGGTTCCCTCAACAGCAACCACAGATTCCTGCTATCGATATCAGCAACGCTGAATGGGTTTGTCGCGATCCGAAATCAGAAAACATGGTACGTTACATAGAAACAGGGCTTGAGTACTGTTACAATACAGATTTAACTTGTTTGATGGAGTAAATCAATCGCAGATGATTATTACCACCGTCGCTGGAGTACAGACAGCGTATGACCAGCAACAACACTTGAACGAATGGTGGCAAAATCAAAATGGAAATACTAATGCACCTCCTTCGACAACGTCCACAGCTACTCCCGAGCCTGATTGTGAGACGGAGGAACCTAGTTCTCATGGTGGGGAAGGGCTCATCGACGTTAGAATAGCGAGCAATTAAACATTAACAATAATTAACAACACGGGAGAAGGTAATAACAAGGGTAACTTACGTAAGAGAGCTTGATATTTTTATTTGTTATAAAACTTACCTAACTCTGTAGTCGATTCTTTGGTCGTTCGCTTGTTAGATATAATAAGAAAAATAGATTCTTTTTCAACGTGATTGTATAAAACTAGTAAAATAACTTTATGCGACATGCATAGCTTTTGGAGATGCTTTATTTTACTTATAAAAATGAACTCTACCCGAAGTAGAAAGAAACGATCGTAAATAACTTGGAATAAAAATAAATCACAATTAAGAGAGTAACGCTACGTATCAAATTGTGTTATTTTGTTTACGCGTTCCTAAAAAATAAATAAGGAAATAGTTAATGTTTCCTGTAAATGAAGACTTTAAATCGTCATAGTAATAACGGTACTCTTACCGAAAGTACGTATGATTTTCTGAGAGGATTGTCTGCATTACTGCTATTACCAAGTATCAGATCAGCTGCATCTATTTTGATATTGGGATCTTTGTTTTTTACGTATTCTAAAGCTTTTTTCCCAACTTCTTTAACTGTTTCGTCATTTATTAGATCATTGGTGCTCCACATTGGACAACTAAAATTATCATTTGAAATTTAAACTTACATAAAGTATTTACTGGAATGTGATGAATCGATATACTTTAAGCAACAGATGGAATAATTCTTATGCTTTACTTGCCGTTTCGAAGAAGCAACGTTACCATTATGAAAATGGTTATACCCTGTGACTACTGCGTCACAAATATAACACATCGTAGCACCACACTGGCACTGAATTTTATTGCAACCATCGTCTTTGTAATACGGACGGCTACATTTGTAACATTTACGCACAAGAGCCTCAGTCATTTTCTCTTCCACGAACAAACGCGCTTGGTCAATTCTTTCTTCGTGACATTTCAGAGGCACGTGATTTATCTCTTTACATAATCTAGCATCAAATATATGTGTTCATATATTGTTAAATATATTGAACAATTTTTCAAAACAAATTTAAATATTATTAAAGTCTATAACATGTCCAAACTTTAGCGAAATCCTTAATGTTACATTTACTAAGTATTATTAATGTTTTCTCATCATTGAACTTACCGACATGACTCCTTCATGCATTTAACGTTAAGGCATTTAAAAATTTTATCCTCCGGAGGAGGTATATACGCAAAATGACAAAACGGGCAGGAAACTAAACCTTCTAACCCAGCAGCCATTACTTCCGCTTCTTGTTTCTTATTGATAAGAATACTAAATAGCGTTGGTGGTAGTATCTTCTGTAGAGTAGAAAGTCTGAATTCGCCGACACAGTTTATAAAACATGAAGTATTTGTTTCACCGTTCGCCAATTTTGTTTCAATGCCTCTTCTAATACATGAATTACAAAATATATGCCCATCGTCGCATGTTGAACATTTACATGGCATGCATTCATTATCATAACAACACTGGCACTCGAGAAGTTCATTATTACTCTTTAATTTCTCGAATGCTTCCTTCTCTTCCTCCTCTTCCTCCAATTTATTCATGTATTCTCTAATTTGTACCTTATGTATTATAAATACACGTTCCTCTTCAGGATTTGATTCCTTAAAGTATTTAATCCGTTCTGGATATTTGTCAGGTACCATGTTTTCCAAGGCTCGTGCAGTGGAAGTTAAATTATACTTTTGTGTTTCATAGAGATTCTTCAAAGTATTAGTCTTAAATCGTTTGAAATGATACTTGAGAAAATTCAATGCAGATTCACTATATTCGCACTGTCTATTTGGATCTTCAAAATAATTAAATGGATCTGGAATTGTTTCCAAAAATTGTTTCGCATTAAAATCATAAGCGTACTGCATTTGTTGTTCTATATTTTTTCTCCTCCTCAACTCCTCCGTCTCTTTTGTGAGATAAGTCGGATTCTCAAATTGAGAATCTATAAAGTTATTTATAGAATCCTGATCGCCAGCCTTGCTTGCTACAACTTTTGCCAAATATGCTGAATCCGCATTGGGAAAGACACTTGACAAATAAATATACTGATTATATTTAATACTGGTTTTTTTTTGACAATCTTGTGTAATCTCTTCCCCATCTTTATTATCTTCATATAGATAGTATAGACTTTCATTCTCAAGTATAAAGTCAATTAAGTTCTCTAATTGTATAGTTTGATCACTATTTTTTTCTTTCTTCAAATGCATGAAACATACATTTTTAATAATTTTCTTATCTTGTTCAGGAAATAGATACATTAATTCTTCATACATTTGTTGAAATTTTGGAGGCAGATCAAGTATCTTGTATTTACGAGCTTTTTTCTTAACACCTCCACATGCATGTTCTACATCAGCTATAGAGTCACCTTCGGAAGAAGATGACAGTTCGTCCAAAATGTCTTCTAAGTATTTTCTTGAATGAGATTTACCATCACTTACTGTAGGAACGATAGATGGCATAGTGGAAATAAACGTATCAGAGCTTGTTGGTATGGCAGTTGATGCAGTTGAAGATGTGGCAATATTTGAAATTGTACTTCTAATGCTTAGCTTACTTTGAGGTAATAAATTATCTAAACTTGCTACTGTACTAATAACTTGAGCCGAGGTGGATGGAAGAATTGAATTTGTTGTTGTATTACTAGATCCAGGATGTAATAGAATATCTGAATCAACTCCCGTTGCTGCGGCTACTTCTACTGTTGGCTCGGCAGATTCATCGTGGAATACAACTCTCTTTTTAGAGTTTTGTAAATTTACAGTTTTTGTTGCTAAATCAGAGTTTTCAGACATAGTACTAGCTGATTCATTCCGAGATGCATTTTGCGAATTCGTTGCTGTTGCATTAGTAGATGCATTATGACATGACAAATTGGTAGAACTTACAGTGTTAGTGGTTTCAAAATTTAAATTATTTGCTATGCTATCACTACCGCAATCTATGTTAACAACATTTAATGTCTTTGATGAATTTGTTGTATTTTTGAACTGTGAATTATTCACGCTACAATTTGCAATCTGTGGCTTTAGGCATATTTCTCTTGCCTGATATCTCATTTCAAAATCAAAATTTGGAGCTTTTCCAATTAATTTCTGTTTTTTCATATCTTTTACATAATTTAAATAGCTCATGTACAGATCCATTGATTCGTTTGTTGTAGTTGGTAGAAAAACATTTCTTCCCAAAGGTATATTCATTTTTTTTACAGATTCTTTATTTTTACATCTTGCATATTTTGACATGTTCTTACTGTTTGCAATTTTGTGCTCCGGTGCAGTAATGTATGTTAATTTCGATGGAGACAAAATAGGAGAAGAAACTGCGGGAACTCGATTCATAGGTGATTGCCTTTTACCAAGCACTAATTTTGCTGGTTGTAATATACGATTTTGAGTAGATTGAAAACCTTTATAGCCATCCATTGGATGTTCTGATAGTTCAGAATCACTGCTACTAAATAAATTGTCCACTATTATGACATTTTTGTCACGTGAACTAATATTCGTCGTGAGCAGAGGAATGTTTATTTTTTGCGCACAATTAATTTGTTTTTCATTCCGCTTCGCATTTTTTAACGAATTACCCGAGGAATCTGTCTCCGTACATTCGATAATTTTAAATTTGGAAGAGATCTTATCAGATTCTTTAAAAGAATCGTTACCTACCAATTTTCTTTTAAATGAAAATTTCACCGTTGGCCTTTTATTTGGTAATAAATCCCAGAGGCTGAGCTCTACACGATTTTCTGCCTTACAATTTTTTCGTAGAGTAGCATAGACTAACTTGTGTTTAAGCTTAGGTAAAAGATTACATATTTGTGTAGCTTCTTCTTGTAATTTTATGTCAAGAAAATAATCAGATTTGGTTTCATCAAAATCCTTGCTACAACCTGGTGTTGGATTATTTAAACATTTCGCAGACTTTATTCTTTGTCTGTTACCAGGTGGCTCTGAACTTGAGTTTAACTGTTCTTGGAATCTCTCTATGGAATCTAAATTATTGTTTGGGTCATTATTATTTTCTTCTAGTATTTCTATATCAACAACAGTACATGAAGAATCATCATTGGCATTAGATGCAGCACCACAAAATTCTGTATTTGCATCTAAAGGTGAAGATGGTTCTTGGAATTCATGACAGTTTGCAGAATAAGAATCATCTGAATCTGAATTGCTTGAATACATCAGTTCTGAATATGTAATAGGAGATAACTCGTTTGAAATTAATTTTTCTGCGACCATTTTCTCATTAATAGCTTTACATTTTGATGTATTATAGTTTACATTCCTTATATTAGAAGGTCCAGCTTCTGCCAAATTAGTATCAAACTCGTAGTCTTTCATGCTACCTATTCCTGTTAACATATCTATTATAAAATTCAGATCACAATTAGGCCCAAAGCTACTCAATAGTTCACATACTACACTTTCATCAACACCTTTTTGTCCAATAGAAGAAAGATGTTTCTTTATTTTCACAGCATCCATGTACATAAGTACATCTATGTTGTCATGCATATTTCATATATAGAATTACTTATTAGTAAAACTAAAATGTTCAAAAACATTATCATATATATAAAAATGATTTGTAAAAGTCGATATTCGTTAGCAATGTCAAAATACTGCTTACCTTATGAAGTAAAAAACTTCTTATTGCTTCATTTCAATGAATGTTTTATATTTACCAATATGTACCTACAAATATAAAAATATAATATGTAAATACATAAAACATCGTTACGGTTAACATTAAATTAACTTACATATAACATGTTTGTTGTTAATATCTTTCAGTTTATCTTGAAGATACGTTCTTGACTCTTTAGAAAACTTATAGAAGTTGGAACTAAACAACTATATTTCTATATCGTAATAAGGAATTTAAAATATATATTGCAATGCGGTATCGTGAAATAAAACGCTTGAAAAATGCAAACAAGTTAAACAACGCAATTATACTATATGTATAATGTTGGGATTCCCGTAAAGCGGCGACGCAGCAATGTTCGCTATACCCTGTTCAACAAGAATTGGCAGGAAATATAAACAGCTGCACCAGGGCCGAAACGTAACGGTCAGATCCCCAAATAGTAGGAAAGAAGCTAATTTTTTTTAAGAAAAGGTACTCATCCTCAATATTAATATGATAACCGGGTATAGTTCTATGTATATCTAAGAAAACCAATACTTGCAAAGAAGTCACATTGGTTCACGAAAATTTATATGGAAAATATCTTTATAGTAATTTACCCAATACTATTCCGCGAAAACAACTATAATACATGTTTTCACCGAAATGGTCAATTCATTGTAGAGATAGGTAATATTTTAATCGAATACATTAATCGAATGAAGCTAGTACTTTGTCCGTTATCCGAAACTTCAACTTAACTTACAATCGATGGTAAACGTCTTGAAAATCACCACTATACTTCGTTTTTACTTTATGGTTTCTAATCGTCACCCGGGTCCGTACAAATATTATAGACTAATGGAAATCTACGCAGCACATTTGCTTTTCTTTTATTTCTACAAACGACGATCCCGTAATAGCAATTGTTTCAGTGACCTAATACATTTCGTATATATCAATATGCGTTTAAAATTCAAGCCAATAATTTCTTATTCCCTTCAGTATAATATTGTTTCGTAATGTACAATGGAAACTATAATTACAAAAATAAAAAATGATAAGAAGGGGTATTTGTAGATTCGATGTACAATGGATCGAAATACAAAAAGCGCAATGAACAGTTATAAAACTGATTGTAGAAGTTACATTAAAAAATCGTTGTATGAGTTGGTCTTCAAAAGAAATATACAACATTACTATTTATGTACATAAAGAATAACTTGAAAAGATTTTATTGTATCTGAATTTATTCGTAAAAGAACCGTCTGCCAATGCAACTCTATCACTGTCGTATAGTTTAGTTTGCAGATATTTCTAACGTTGAATGAATAAAGTTCATTTTCTGACATCTTCGGTAGAATGTAACAGAAATTATTGATACGAGATCTTTATTGAATGAAATATAAACTATAAATAATAGTTTTTAAATATTGGCTGTAATTTTAATTCTGTTAATCTAACATATTCTTACTTAAGTAAGTTGGTACTGAATTGTAATAGAGGACGCTGCAATAAAAAGTGGAAGCATTTTACAATATATTACTATCTGAAACAACATAACCTTAAAGGGTGCCTTGATAACCCGCTGTCGGCGGATGAACTGTCAATTCCGGTGTATTTAAGGAGAGTGTTGTGTGCCGTATCGTTTGCCAGAAATTTGGGAAATTCGTGTCGACTGATCAGAGTCCACGAATTTCCGAAAGTCTTTTTACAAATCGGTTTTCTCAGCGTTTTAAATTAATAAATTACTTTTAATACGTGACCGCACCCGTCTTTGCCCAGTTAGGTGCGGTGATTCATAGAGATAATTTTCGGTATTGAGCGTTTATTCGAATAATATCGTATGTAAATTCATAGAGTTCTTTGTGGAAATCAGTGACAAAATGACAGATGTTCATAACTTAAGTGTTGATGCTATCAGCTGTCACGCTTGGAATAAGGACAGAAAAGGTTTGACATCCGTTTCATTGAAAGTAATTTTCTCCGAAACGAATAAGCAGTTTTAACGTATTTCTGCAGAAGTAGCTGTCTGCCCGAATAATAATGAGATTCAAGTTCACAAGCGTACATCGAGTGGTTGGAAATTACTGCAGAATCTACAGGAGCATGATATGCACGTTATGGGCATCGATTGGGCACCAAATACCAACCGAATAGTTACTTGTTCCGCGGATAAGAACGCGTATGTTTGGACGCTAGAAAGTGATGGAAAGTGGAAGCCCGGTTGGGTGCTCGTAAGATTAAATAGAGCAGCAACTTGTGTAAAATGGTCTCCATTAGGTACAATACACATTTATATTCTATATAAAGTTTATTATAGCTTTGAATTATCTATGCATTAATTTGTTGCTTGTACTTGTACTTATAGAAAATAAATTTGCTGTTGGATCTGGAGGTAAAGTAATAGCTGTATGCTACTTTGTCTCAGAAAATAATTGGTGGCAATGTAAGCATATAAAGCGTCCGTTAAGGTCCACTGTAACCACAGTTGATTGGCATCCAGACAACAAAGTTTTGGTTGCCGGATCGACTGATTATAGAGTTCGTGTCTTTAGCGCTTTTATAAGTGATATGGAGGATGCACCAGGAACAGGTCCTTGGGGTCAAAGTAATACTTTAGGAACGTTACTTGCTGAATTCCAAAATAGTCCCAATGGAGGTAGAAAAAAATGTTACTTTTTTTATTACAACCTTGGATAGTGTTTGTTCTTGCCAAATATTCTCTCTTTTTTTTATTTTTACCTAGGTGGTTGGATACACTCTGTTGCATTTAGTCCTTGTGGTAATAAAATTTGTTGGGTAGCACACAATTCATCCATATGCATTGCAGATGCTACCAAAGGAAATGCAGTTGTAAGATTGTATACAGAACATTTGCCTTTTTTAAGTTGCGTTTGGATGGGATCCAATTCCATTGTTGCTGCGGTATTTATGCGCATATTTAAAAAAAAATCAAGTTCACTATTTTTCAAACTGTATGTACAGTAATTTGATTTACGTTTTAGGGACATAGTTGTATGCCCATGCTGTATTCCATAGACGACAATGGCCAGTTGTGTTTTGTATCGAAATTAGATAACACACAGAAAAAAGAGGCTGCCGGATTATCTGCAATGCGTAAATTCCAATCGTTGGATCGCCAATCGAGAACAGATACGAATGATAACGCCTTGGACAGTATACACCAAAATATAATTAATTGCCTACGCAGAGTATCCGATAATGAATTTAGTACGAGCAGTTTAGATGGCCAACTTGTAGTATGGGATCTCAAGGTAAACATTGACAACGCATATTCGATTGTGCTTCGATATTAAAATAAAAACTTCTAAATTAATTCTATTTCTTCCTCTTCCTATTATTTAGCTTCTAGAGAATTCCATTGCTGGTCTCAAGATAGCATAAGTAAAATTTTTTTTATATCATAAAGATGGATGAAGATATTACATCAAACACAAAGATGTATAAATGTTAAAACTGAAAAAAAATATACAATTTCTCATTACTTCTCGTGGTATCAGTCTCTCCCGTGTAATGTTACTACAATTTTTATGAAGCCAAAATAGGTCTTTATGCGCGTTCGAAAGGAGTTAACGCAGTTTGTTTAGGATCGAATTTACGGTATCTCTGTCCTTTTGCGTTACGATTAGTGACTGGCCTAACACGATACATATTGATAATATTCAAGTAATTCAATATGAAAGCTCAGGTACATGGTATCCATTTTCAATACTGATGATGTATGAATAAATACTGCTACCAATACCGTATGATACTGATTCAACGTTGATATTATTGTAAATATACTGTCGCTCAAAAATTTGAAGCACCCTTCGATCTTTAAATAAATGAACCTTTCTCATACATACATAAACTTTTTATTATAATTCACTCAAAATACGCTGTAATTGAAGATAAAAGAATCGCGATCATGGTCGTGAACGAAGTTGAATCACGACCGTGATCGTGATTTTGCGATCGCTATGATAAATAACGGTTAGTGATTTTGCACGCCATCTCTAGGTAGCAAGACGATTCTGCGCAGGTACGTCAGAGCGTGTAGTAATGCCATCCTAAACGCCTCGGCCGCCCGACAACTAGGCAGTCAGCGACGAAGAAGGGGTAGTTGGGACTTGGTGACTTTCCCTTCATGCAACACGAGTCACTGTCATCGAGTGTAAACCAGTGTAAACCGTGCGACGGTACGCGACGCCTTTCAGTCGAGCGGTTTGCATAGCGTTGGGCGTCGCGACGCGTACGACGGTTCACCGATCGACAGGCGTAAGAGGCTGGCTCGCTCGCGCCTGGAAACCAACACGGTCGCGTGGCTCGAGTGGGGGGCAGCCGGACAAGTTCAGCGCGGATATCGATTCAGTCTCGCGCAAACTACCCCCATGTGCCGTGCCCGTTGCAGCAGCTCCACCTTTCAGCTTTGTTTTCCGCTCGGTGTCATGACTAACACATAAACAGAGCCGTCGCGGTAAAACGTTCGGGCCGCCGCGGTCCACGAGAAGAGTAAACGCGACTCGTACGGGGACACCGTCGGTGGAGAAACGAAGTCGTAAAGAAGACACGGGGACCGATCGTCGTCGATTTAATTCCCCGTTCGCCGATGATGCTTATCGATTCGCGGACTATTTCTGAAGAGGCGTTCCATTGTTCGTACACTTCGCAGTGAGGTGGTCAAAGTTCATTACATAAACCCTCGCTCGCGGCAAAGGACGTGATTATCCAATATTTTCGTTCTCCACGTAATATTCGCGTGGTGATCCGACGCGCCTCGCGAACACGGTATCGTACCATTTGTACATAATTCTTTTCGTTCCCCGTACGGCGGTGTGGTTGTCGTTTAATCGCTCGTCGTTGTGCCAGCGATTAAAATAGATCTTTCCAGCAAAACGTTCTATCATCGATTCGCGGCGCAGAGTGCTCCCGGGGAGGGCTGTCGTTTATTCGTCGAAAGGAATCACAACGATGCACACGATAAGCATCGCGATAAATTTAGATGATCGTCGATACCGTTGATAAAGTAGCAATCGAATGTACCTCTTCGAAATAGTCGGACCCGATCCCGATCAGATACGTACGGTCGCGCGAGACTCTCGTGATTTCCGTCGTGGAGGCGGATCGATGCCGTAAACACAAGAAAAAGAGAAGAAAACAGAAGGAAGGAGGGAAAACAATCGCGTAGAATCGCGCCGTTCTTGAATCCGTGGTACGTACCGCTCGAATATGAAGCGCTTCGATCACGGACGCACGGATCCGTATTCGCCTTGACTACGAATCGTGGGAGAACGACTGGAGCGCACCTCTACTTCTTGAGAGATGTCTTCGATATCAACTCAGGTCATCGAAAGAGCCAGCGCCGAGTTAACCAAACGAATCAACGGACTGGGGTTGCGAGGGTCCAAACATCATGGTTGGTAAATTATTTTTATCTTCTTCCCTTAGATTACAATCAGAGATTTAATTCCAATAATGGACATTTGAAGATACCAACCTATAGCAATTTATTCACGATGTTCATTCGATCGAACGATGCTTATTCTCGTTTAATTTTTACGTGTTATTCCAAGTTTCTATTAGAGTAGGAATGCTGTTTATCCCCGATCGCCGCTTTCCAGGCTAATCATCGTTATAAAAATATTCCTCGCCGAAAATAATTTCGAATCGATAACCAATCGCGCGATCCAGACTTAACCCAGCCCTTACTCACCCCGTAATCCAGACCCGACTCGGCCCTAACCTACTTTTGATTCAAACCTTACCCAAAGCTCGACCAATCCAGATTCAACCGTACCTAGCCCAGGCTTGACCAACCTAACCCTGACCGTGCTCGAGGAATCTAAAATTTGCGTGGTTCTGTCATTTTTTATATATTTTTTTAAACACGGAACGACTGGAAATCTCGTTTGAATTTCATCGACGTTGATTTTGAGAATCGAACCTTTGTACCGCAAAAAAATTCGGAAACTCTCGCGACGCGAACTTGAATCGTTAATTCGGTTTCCGTTGTCATAAATAAAAAGTTGAATCGAGTTGCAGCGCACGTTATGTGTGTCGCCGTTGCGGCGCCAGTGGAGTGCAGGGGGTTAGGTCGGAACGAAGTTTCGCAAAATTTGGTCACCCGTCATTACGTAATCGCGATGACGAATTGATTTCTGTTAAACCCGCAACCCCGAACCGTCCGTTCCTGCCATAGTTTCGCGATTCGGTATTATGCAACGTCGTTCCGGCCACCCCGGACTGGCCTGCGGAAACACGTTCCCGTTGTTTCCGAAATTCCCTCCTCAATCGTTGGTTAAGTGGCCACCGGCTGCCTTTAGTCGCAATTTGAACTGCAATGGAATCGATAGCATTCGTCCTCGTATACGCGGAAACGTGGAAACCAGAATGCATCGAAGCGTTCGAGATTCCTGTTCCTTAGATACGCCTCGCCATTTCGGTTTTTCACGAAACGATGCAACGTCTATTCCCACGATTAGAATTAGAAACATACGCTTCGATATTAACAACTGACGATTGATTAAGTTCGAGTAACAGTAGGGTCTGTAAGTGTATGACATTTTATGTATTTTATAAGTTAATGATACGTAAAATGTCATTACTATACAAGGTGTCCCGTAAAGAGCAGTACTGTCGAGTATAAATATCGCTTCGTTCTCAGGGGAAATCGATTTTGAAAATGTACCGAGTATGCGTGGCCCCGACGCCCAGATTATGATACGGTGGGCCTTAGTATATCGTGACCCGCCAGAGGGCGTATTGGGAGGCCCCGTGTCCACCCACATCGCTACAGTAGTCGGTGGTGAAAAATACCGTCGCACGGAGTCACTCACCCTCGGAGAAGCTTCGACGAAATTTACGATACGATACTCTTCGACTTTTTACGAAGTGCCGCAGAATCGCGCGGCCGGATCGAACGCCATAAATTTCGTCGAAGCTTCTGGGAGGCGAGTGACCCCGAGCGACAGTGATTTCGGCCACTTCGTCGCGTGCGCCGGAGCCGAGCGGGTTGCCGCGTTCCAGGCGGATTTCATCAAACCCTTAACCCCTTACAATTGCAAAACAACGGGCTCGACCGTGATTCCTTATTCTTTAGTTTCGTCTTGTTTCAGCGTCTGGAATCGACCCTTAAATTTTTCCGCAGGGATAGCCGACCATAGACACAAACATTTACAATAAAATTCAATATGGCGGAAAGAAATTGTCAATTTCTTTACTGTTGGAAGAACGAGTCGTATGGGAGTCAAAGGGTTGCAATTAGTAGCCGAACATCCCGTGCAACCAACTTTGGTTCGTTCGTCTGCGTACGATTCTCGCGCCTTTTGATTCCCGGCATTTACGATCGCCGTAAATTGCTTCCCATTTTACAATAGCGCTGTACCAGTTTACGGAACAACGTCAGCAATTTGCGAGCGGAAATATCGGTGAATCGACATTTGCCGCGACCCGTGCATGCGACGGCGAGAAATTGAACGTCGAGCTCTCCCGCTCAATAGAGACTCAAAAACAAAAGGGTCTGGGGTATCCCCGTTGCGTACGCGGCGATTTCTACCAAGAGCCCCGGAGATTTATTTTAACGCGTAAAATGGGCAATCGCGATGGCTGGATCGCCGCCAGCTCGTAACCTGCCGCGATAAAATCGCGGGAGGATTCGAGAGCAGCTCTCCGCTACGATAATTAATTGTCCGTTCCGTGTCGTCGCGCTGATTATCGAAGGCTTCTTAAAAACATGCTACTCACACGTACGCGATCTGTATTAAATAAACCGTACGAAAAGACGAATCTTCCTCCCACGAAGTCCGCCATGTTCTTCGTCAAATAACAGCTTTTCCTGACCTTTCTCAGTCTTCGACAATAGATTGGGACGTTTCCGCCTTATCTGCCGATTCTCTGGTTCTTCGACGTGGCTTTTGTTCCACCGGGACCTTCAAAACGTTGTTATCGACGTCCATTAACAGTCGCGACGTTCATTCCGAAGATCGGTATCTACGGGACGAAACTTGGCGAACCAATTTCGCGTTACTACACCTTAAAAGATAACGTCGTGTATCTTTTTCACAATAGCTGTCGCACTATTTCTATTTTGGAACTCCCACGACGTTATATAACGATGCTCTTTTAACTTTTCCGTTTCTGTTGCACAAAAAATTGCATTGGTATTGGATCCGTGCTCGGTGACTACTGTTCTCAGATCCGTTTACTTGTTCTTACGTCAACAAACCTAGGGGAACCCCTTTTCCATCTTAATCGGCGTCCCAGATGAATTCGTTACCATTTCATTAAAAAAAAAAGAAGTCGATATCTTCGTTGGTTTCTGGGAAAACGCTTTATTCAGACCACGTTGCACGAGTTATCTGCAAAACAAGTAATGGTTGGTTTCTTTTATGTTTCTTTTTTTTTATGATTGTACGCACCTTCCAACCAGTTATTACTCTTATCTTTTCACCAAGACTGCGGGTGGCTGATATCTAGCGTGACATTGTTTTCCTTGGACATATTTGATATTTTAAAACTATTTCTAAATAGTCTACGATAATGAAACAGAAAAGAAATTATACTTATTAGGACGCTCCTTGAAACGATTTAAAGGTTTCCAATCCCATTTGCGCTTTCGTCCCGAATCTGCTAGTTGGACTCATTGGTAAGGCTTTGTTTAGCACGATTCTCATTGTCAGACTGAAACATTAGAAAGCCTGTTTAAGTCGCGGTAATGACCACGATTGATTTTTAATATTATCGATACAGTTGTACAGTCCGTTCCATACATTGTTTTTAAAAAACAATCTTTTCCCCTAGCAATTAATTTAAAAACGACTCTCTTGGTCGCAAATTCGCGAAAAAAATTTGTTTGCGACACGATAAAGAGATAGACAGGAAATAGAGACGCGCCACGGAGCCAAATAGGACGTACAGCTCGAAAATAAAACGAAAATAACTGCTTGCATCTTCGCCGAGTTCACCTTTGCAGAAACGCCTTTAATGCCACGCTCGCCGATACATTAATGCGTTGAGGTGTGCGCGCGTACTTGAAAAATCGTTCTTCTATATTTAGTGGCTCGTCCAGGTTACTATTATCGAAATAAAAGAAACCAACGATAACGCGAATATCTCTGTTCCGTGTGAACGTTCGCCCCTCGCGAAGTTACTGAACCACTGGTTGGCGCAAAGTTCGGTTCCCCTCCCCCCTCCTACCCCCGTTCAACGAGCCAGTAATTTCTGTTTTGATGTTTTTAAAATAAATTTTTCTCGCCTACGGTCTCCGTGGACCGTCGCGTTACGCAATAAAACGACTAAAAGGAGAACGAAACGTCGGTTGTTTCAGGTGGGGGAAAGGCCAGCGTCATGGAACGTGTTACGAACGTGTTTTGCGGAAGCGGCGGGGTCGCCTATACGAATTTGCAGAGCGCGAACAATGCGAACGCAACCCCGGAAAAGCCGAGCAGAAGCGCGCCGGTGTCGATGGGCAGCATGCCGCCGGCCAATAATAAGAGCCTGAGCAACAACAAGCCGAGAAGAATGAGGATATCCAGGAACCGCGCGAGAAACATGGCCTTGGCTTGCGGCGACACAGGGGGCTACGTACCGCCCACCACGTGGGAGGAGCTCATGCAGGACGATCACTTCCTCAGCAAATTTTTCCTATACTTCAACGCCATCGAGACGAGGACTCTGGCTCAGGTCATTATCGCAATACTCGATCCCACGTAATTCCTAAAAAAAAAAAATTTTTAATTGCCAACGACCACCATGACTACTATTATTAATTCAAATTACATTTACATGACTGGGTTCCCTCGAATTCCTCCTCTTAGTCTCGACCATATCTTCCAATCTGAAATTCGTAATTTTTAATCATTGTAAATCGTTGCTCGGATGGTTCGCCAGGTGTGCATAAAATGGAGGGACGTACTTTACGCGCAGCCTCGACTTTGGACAGGACTGGTGCCCGTCCTGAGGTGTCGCGAGATGCGCGCCATGCCCATCATGTCGCGTCACCTGTTTTACGCCTCGTTGGTCAGAAGAGGTTTCTATTCGTTGGTCCTGCTAGGCGCCACGGACGAGGATATATCGGAGCTCACGCACGGGTTCCCTATGGCCCAGCGGAACATTCACTCGTTGTCGCTGAGATGCTGCGCGGTCACCGACAAAGGCCTCGAAGCTCTCTTGGATCGTTTGCAAGTGAGTTGTTCTGCTTTGACGAGACCGCTGAATGGAAAAGTTAACGAAGTCTCGAGCCGTGGCGAGCCTCTTGTAAAAAGTGTGTCGCTTGATGACGGAACGATGGAGTAGGTCCACGCTCGGGCTACCGCGATAACGTCTACAAGATGCAGAGTCGAATAAACAAAAAAGAATCCAACATTTGTATTCGTTGTTCGAGAATAAAATTTGCCCAATCGGGTGTATAAGAACACGTCCGCTTTAATGGTGGACTGTGGACGTACGAAGAATGGAAACAAGTTTGCGGGAACTTTTGGTATAAATAGATAATTATCGCGTTGACCGCCCCCAATCAATACTCGTGAAATCTTTTATGAGGTCGGCGCTTTGTTTTTAGATAATTTGGGAACTATCGCATCTACGATCTACGATCACCGATACTTTGATAATAGTAATCGTACCGGCTGAATTTGTGACTAAGAATTATCGTGACACAAAAATAGCTATATATTAATAATATATATGTCCTCTGTCCATCATAGAAGCAACACGTGTTACCAAACAATTTATGTATTGTTGTTTGTTTACTGAAAATGACAAGCACCGTTACATCATCGGTTTCATTTGCAGGGTTTGTACGAGCTTGAATTGGCCGGTTGCAACGAGATAACGGAAGCTGGTCTGTGGACATGCTTGACACCTAGAATAGTATCGCTTTCCCTGTCGGATTGTATTAACGTCGCCGATGATGCTGTCGCGGCTGTCGCTCAATTATTGCCAGGCCTCTTCGAGTTCTCCTTGCAGGCGTACCACGTAACCGACGCGGCCCTCGGTTACTTCAACGCTAGACAGAGTGGCGCCCTTAGCATTCTGAGGCTTCAGTCCTGCTGGGAGCTCACCAACCACGGTGTGCTCAATATCGGTGAGAATCGCGATTCCTGCGTAAAATTTCAATCGTCGATTAGAATCGAAGCTAAGCGTTAAAGAAACATTGTTTGAACTATTTGCTGCAAAAGAGAACTCTTTTAGGTCATCCTGAGAGTCTCTATGGAGCTACGTTCTTTCAAAAATGGACGGGAACCGTGGAAACTTTCAAGATGACTCGTTAGTTTTCCACGCGCTTGGAAAATAAAAGCGGTGACGGACATTTATTTCTATTTACTTATGCAAGATGGTACAGATACGCGGAGTGAATTGTTGCGATAAGCAACCAGTCAACGAGTTAAATCGAAACGCCGCGTGACGTTGGGATGCGATGAAAATAAAAAAAATAAACAAACGAGAACGGGATCCAGGTGGAAATACCGTGATGACGAGAGCGTGAAATTAAGTCAGGTGTCCACGCATCCGTCCATTATAAATTTAGAATTAGAAGACTACCGCCGTATAACGTTGCTCCTAAAAAAAAAAAACTAACACCGTCGAGAGACAGAATGTTGCTGAGAAAATTCGTTCGAGTAACGAGAGTTCCGTGAAGCCCACGTTTTTGGTTTTTTTGTTGGGTTCCAGTACATTCCTTGCCCAATTTGACCCTGTTGTCGCTGTCCGGATGCACCAAAGTGACGGACGACGGTGTCGAGCTGATCGCGGAGAACTTGCCAAGACTTCGTTCCTTGGATCTGAGTTGGTGCTCGAGGATTTCCGACGCAGCCTTAGAATACATCGCCTGTGATTTGAATCACTTGGAGGAGCTTACGTTGGACAGGTGAGAAGCGTGAATCGGGGGTGCATCGGCCCCGCGTACAGAGCGCGCTTTAAATCGCGTTAAGACGAACGTCCAGTCGCTAGCCGTTCGATCGCTTCATTCATGTTCTAAATACTGAACGCGTTAACGAGCATTCTATTTAAGATCGACCATTACGCAATAAGTGATTCACCTATCGCGTTCTGTCGAGACACTTGCAATCTGCTTAAGGGAGTATTCTAGCGGGGGGCTTAAAGCGAATAACCGTAAACTCAAAGATATTCTAAAACAAAATAGCTTCGGTAAATAGTGGAAGATTCTCCTATCCGTACATCGTTTTCTAAAAGAAAGAAGATGGTTTCGTAAGCTCAGAATCGTGTTATTATCCCGATGCAAAGATGTAAACAGACCGCGTTAGAAATAGTGTTAAATGCGCATTTAAGCGTTGGACCGCATTGCAACCGTTGCTAACAGTTGGCTCGATTACCGTGTGTCACATTGTTTTCGAGTATCCATGCCAATTTGTCTAGGATTGAGACGTTAATGGGACTATGATCGCGGAACGGTTGTCAAATATTTCACCTGAAAGCAAGAGACAGATTAGACGTGGCACTTGGAACGTGCACAAGAAAACATTTGAAGCAAAGTTGAGAAACGTCTGACACGATGATTGATTGAAAATAAAAAATATTAAATGAATAAACCGTAGATTTAAGAGTTTCTTTTTCATTTTTTCCGCAGGTGTGTGCACATTACGGATATAGGCGTGGGCTATATCTCCACAATGGGATCATTGAGCGTATTGTTCTTGAGATGGTGCTCACAACTTAGAGACTTTGGTCTTCAGCACTTGTGCGGCATGAAATCCTTACAAGTACTCTCCTTGGCAGGTAGGTTCGCGCGCCAAGGCTTGGCCTATATGATTACAAATCGAAGTTTAAAGTTCGCGCTTCTCCGCGCGACGAGAAGATTAAAGACTGTGCGGAGAAAAAGCCTGGCTAATGTTTCACAATCCCTGTAAAATGTATAAGAAATTATTAATACCATTTTGCATCGTGTACAAATATTTCTAATGCACCAGGTATTCAGTTTAATCAACGTAATCGTGTAATGTCGAATGTAAAATGATCGTTTCCGCAGGTTGCCCATTGCTCACGAGTAGCGGACTGTCCAGCTTGATAAAACTTCGCCACTTACACGAATTAGAGCTAACCAACTGTCCAGGAACGTCTCCAGAACTGTTCGGCTATTTATGTGAACATATGCCGCGTTGCCTAATCATCGAATAAACAATTAACTTGCGTGAAGTAGAGAATAATCTCGGGGCGAATTACGTTACGTTTCGACGATGCGCGCAGCTGGTCGAGAAACGGCAGGATAAAAATTTGTATTCCTAAAAAAGAAAAAAAAGTAAAAAAAGTACATATTTCACGTAAAGCAATACTTAGAATGACAATGGTACATACGACACGACTGAAAAGATGCATCATACAGATATAGGGAAAAGCAATTGACGTCCAGACGCAAACTAAATAACTACGTTTTCTTTTTTTTTTTCTCGTAACGATCTATAAAAATGAAAAAAAGAGAAACCACTAGCCCCTAAATGTGCAAAGTAACGTGGCGATACTATAATAGCGCATAGGCATTTTTAATACACCAGAGCTCCCGTACGAATCGCACTCCTCTTATCCATGCTAGACTTTCAACAAGATCGGTGTTCACGTTCCCGAGAACGTGGCCCTCGGTCGTTGCGTTTTTAATTTTTTTTCGAACGATCGAAAAAAGAAAAAGAAAAAAAAGAAGTACGAAGAAAATATAAAAAAAACCAGTATACGCCTCTTGGTAAACGATCTTCAGAGTTTCATGCGTCGCTTGATGATAGGGATAAAAAGAAAAAGACAATTTAACTTGTAGGTTCTCGCTAAAGAACGTAGAAATGTCCGCGAGACGACACGACAGACTCAAAACAGTTAGAACTGTGATAAATTTTTATGTACATGTATTATTTTACTTCTAATATGTTTAGAACGTTGTTCATCCCGCTTTGAAACCGTTTAAGACCATGATTAACGACGCATTAGACGCGTTGCTTTAAAAAAAAAAGAAAAGCGAGCTACCTAGAAAGTGACTATTTAAAAGCGAAAAGAATAAAAGAGCAAACACATTCCGATGCGTCTTAATGGAGATTTTTTTTTTTTTTATTTACGAGGCATACGATTTGCGTCATTTGTTCGACGATACATGTTACTCAAATAATAGGAAAAAAAATAACAAAATTGTAAGATCATTGCACACATATGTATTGTCTAGAAATGTTTTTCAACTATATTTTATCTACGTATATTCCGCTGTCACGTAATTAATGTTTCCTAAATTTAAGGCTTACACCTAGCTAAGTTCTCCAATGTTTTTCATTAAATGTAACGATATATCGCAATATAGAAAACGTATTTTATGTGTTTAATACTGTTAACGATTTCGACGGTTATTTAAAAACAGATGTGTCACACTATGCTCCATCAGCACGTAAGATATGAACAAAAAAAAAAAAAAAAAGTTGACGGCACCGTTGCAGTTGAACGACTGGTGCAAAACATTTTTTATGTTGAGACTTGTGCTACCGAATAACTTATGTGTAATGTTTAGCACGACCTCGACCTTTTACCGAACTGAAATTATTTTTTTGCGTGTTACCACATGTTTAGCACATAACATCTTTGTATATATTGTACAAATAATAATTAATAATTCTGTTACCAATGAGAACTAAATATAAATATATTCGCACAGTCAAAATTCTATCTGAAATCGGGTCGCGCGTGACGCGAGTCACGGATGTATCTTTAAAACGTGATAACATGATGGAATGTGCTGTGAAATAAAAAATTTATTGATCCAAATTTATTTTTGTACTTTTAGGTATTTTCCCACCACGTAAGTAACCCAAGACCCGGCTCGTCAATGGCACCCTAGAACGCAGAATTAAAACATTAATAATAGAATTACTTTGATCTATACAGAAATTATGTACTATAATCGATGTTGTACCAATTATCCGATACGTACCCCTAAGGTATACGGCGATATATTTTTAGCATCCGATTGTTCGACAGACTCTCCGGTTACATTTGGTCCCGTGGGTAATGCTTCTGTGAAAGTTTCACTCACTACCCTGAATCGTATAATTTCTCCTAAAGTTTTTCTACCATTATTACGCTACTCCTTATTGTTAATATACCTTTTAGCGATTAACTGCTTTTAGAAAATATCTGAAATACCTGCATCCATAAATAGATCGTGCTTTTCACCATCCCCTGTGTCGTATTCCCAAACCCATGCTTGTTCCATTTGATCAAACCTAGATGGGTGTTGCAGTTTGTTAGGTGGAATTACAATATCCTCGAAAAATCCTAACGTTACTGCAAAAAGAAATTTATACAGCAACTGTATCGTAAAATAAGAGGGCGAGTTATAGCAATAAAATAATTACCGTGAACACCATCGATGCTACAGCTACGTATCTTCCCAATTAAAATTTCTTCCATGAATGGACGAAACACGATAAACCGAAATAGTACTTTAGTATGCGACGCACCGTCGCCAGGGAAGATGTACGATTCTTCGATTTTTATGATATCGTGAAGCGCAATGCAAAGACCAACGTTCAGATAAACCTTAAGCAATACAATAACGATCTCAAGTATTGGAAATGTTTAAATATTGTTGACAATTAATGAAGTTATAATATTTCACCTTATTGGCAAGTTTCCTATTAAGTTCGTCGGTAATCGCTTCATTTAATTTCCGTTTGAATTCCCACGGTGGAATTCGGACCGTATCTTTCAGTTCCGCGAGGACAAACATTCTTCACACTATAATCACGTAGAATGATTCTGCGTCTCAATAATAAAGATATTTATTGTTCTGATTCAACATGAATTTAACATTTCTCCTTTGATAAATATATCAAATTCTAATTTCCTTTGATAGTTTTATCTTTTTTGAAAACTGCGAACCCCCAAGTCACCGGTATTCACCGAAGAAATTCACAAATGAATAAATGTAACCTTACATGCACGTGCTCAAAGATACCGTATTAACGAAGAATAACTATAGATTTTAAACAATGCTATTCTCGAGTTTAATTCACGTATATTTCAAATAAAGTATGTAACAGAAGTCAGAAATCAGAGATTAAAATTTGTAATAAAACTGAGGAACGATCGTCGAGAAGCTCATTTCTGAAGATTGTTTAGAGGTAAACGCATACTCGACAGCATGGATATTGTTAAAGCGATTTTAGAAAGCGAACCTCAGGAGAATGATTTGCGTAAGTCCATCATAGTAAATAAAGACGTGGAAGTTGAAACGGACGTAGGAACTCTATTGGCGCTCGATTACAATACTTTGGACATAAAATCACTGAAGTAACCTAAAACCATTATTCAAAATATAATCTCTCGATTCAATCGAATCTCTTTTATTCTGATCATTCTACTGTGTTTTGTAGATCTCAAACAGAACAATATTTACAAAACGTAACAAGAGACAATGTGCAAATATTAATTAATAAAATTTGGGAGCTTCCGGTAGAATGTATAGACGACACAGTAGTGGCAAAATTACCAACGCCTCAATTTGTATTACCTCGATCTCGCCAAGTGCCAAAACCAAAACCTTTAACAAAATGGCAACAGTTTGCTAAACAAAAGGGTATCACATCTAAAAAGAGTAGTAAATCTAAACTGAAGTGGGACGATGAATTACAAGTCAGTCCTTTATCTGTATTTTAAATGCATTCTTTTTATGCTTGCGTTTATCATAATTCAACATTTTTTTAGAAATGGATACCTAAATTTGGTTACAAACGTAGCAAAGTTATGGAACAGAAAGAATGGTTGGTAGAGCTTAACAATGAGAATAAGGCCATGGAAGATTCGTTCTCAGTCTCGAAAGCAGCAAAACAAGAAAGGATATCTAAGAATGAATTACAAAGACTGCGTAACATTGCGAAAGCAAAAAATGTTAAGATTCCACGAGTAGGTCTTCCTACCAAAGAACATTTCACTAATTCGCAACAACTCTCTCAAGCAATTACCATCGCGCGAGCGTCAACAGCATCAGTTGGCAAATTCCAGGACAAGTATATTTACACATTATTAAAAACACTGATTATGAAGTACATTGCAAGTATCGCATGTATTAACTTACATATAATGTTTATAGATTACCAAAAGAGAAAGATGGAAAAGGTATTGCAAAACAAGTGCCAGGCATGAAAAGGAAGGCTGAACCAGCTCCATTAAACATGCAGGATGAACGGAAACGCAACAAAAATCTAGTAGACAGCATTCTTAAGAGTAACAATAAAATTCTTCGCGAGGACTTCTCTGTACCAAAGTAAATTTCCATGTTTTATAGTATGTATCAAGTACAACATATGTTACATTGACATTTTTATTTTGCAGAGTAAAATTGGCCAAGCCACGAGCAGTAAAAGGCAAAAAGGGGGTAAAAAGTAGGGGAGCAAAGAAACCAAAGGGGGGGCAAGGAAACCGGGATATACGCCTTAGAGTAGGTGGCAGAAAACGAAGATAAAAACTGATCGAAAATCTGTAATTTTAATGAAATTTAAATGTATAACGTTAGGATCACCGATATTGAAGCAGAAGATATTGTTAAAATAAATAATATCACAGTATTGCAATGTCTCCCTCACTATAAGAAGTTCCGGTTTTACGTATTATATCATTGAAGAATTTAATTATAATAAAAATCAAGTGTACCTACATGTATGTATGTGCTAACTAGTATTTTTGAAGGGTCTATCATGGTCTCATTTAATAAATGCCTATGTAAGATTAAGTATAAAAAAAAGTGCATAAATCTCAGATTTCTAAATTCTTTCATTCGTTTAAGGAGAACTCCTTTAAAAAATCTGAAAATCACTATTTAGATGTTGATAATTTCGAAAAAGAACTGATTTCTGTTGTGAAAACATGTTGTGCCAACGTTAAAGGCTATTTTATAGAGAAGCGAGATGCAATTTGCAAATTACAGTTTGCGTGTTCTTTAGGAACGTAATTAGGGCTCCGTTAAGCAAGCATAGATAAAACGTGCAAACGATTTGCAGGGGTGGCGTTGCAAGCCGATAAGGCAGGTTGTCCTCTAGCCACAGAATCAGGGTAACGGGAGAAAGGTGAAAGGTCAAAAGCAGCACGGGATATCGACTCGGGGAAGTCGAGAGGGCGAGGTAACCTGGCCGCGGGTACGAGGGGGGGGCAAGTGCGAAAGCGGGTTGCCCTAGAATCTGTAAGGGGTTCCACCCCGCGTGTGATTTTATACGTACCGTGTGTGTGTACACGTTCAATGCCATCCGAACGAAATACAAACGCATCAGTACACCTCGGACGATCCATGGCGGTTACTATGAGAAACACGTTCGATTTCGATGGTTAATTGAAAATTATTTGATTCTCGGCGACGCTTACCGTGTATCGCAAATTTAAATTATCGAACGTTCGACGCTTGACGCTATCTTCCGATGTATCTACCGATCGCGAGTAATTTCGACGTCTCATGAATATTATCGAATATTATACCGTCGAGAGTAAAATAAGGACAGAGGGCGGACGACAACGTCACGCGTCGCATGTAACATTTCGGATCGGAAGTACATTATCCTACTTACGTGTCCTATTTGACCATCAAACTGTTAAGCTTTTATATACGATACATTTCGCGGGACTAATCTGAAAAATAATCTGCGAATCGTGGACGCCGGTGGACTAACGGACGCGTGGATCGATATTCGAGGGTAACCGATCTCGATGGCAGAAGCGATCGCGAATCGATACGACTGGTAAACATATTTCGATAGTTGGAACGACGTGAACATAACCGCGAAAGCGTAATTTGTTGTACGATAAAACTAATTTGTAGCAGTTCGATTTTTTTTATTCGCCTAAGACTGGAAACCAAGTAGAACGAAAGTCGATTGTGCGTGACTGATTGCAGCTCAAAATACTGTAATATCGAACGCCGCTACATCTGCATACAGGCAGTAAGACAGACACCCCGGACGGAAATTTTTCGTTGCAGAAAAAATAGTTTATTTCTCCTTGATGATACGAATCGTTGTTCAGCTGCTCGATACGATACACGATCCTAAAAAGTACCTCGCAAGGTTGTGCTACGGTTGATGTGTTCGGGATTTTAATACAATTTCTCAGGTTGGACTTAAAGGTCAAATGACGACATTCCGTTAAATATTTGCTACCAATGTGTATTTCTTTGTACATAAGTGAAACAAAAACTGTACATAGTTTAAAGTTTCTCTCTCTTGGAAGCAGAGCTGCATTAATAATAAATCTGTCGTAGATCGTACAAATTAAGCCTGCGATAAATGGCCTATTATAAGGGGCCCGGTTGAAAATGTAGTAGCGGGTAAATGCAGACATGGTTGCCTATTTTAAGGGGGCGTTTTGATCCTATTACATTTTTAAGTTATCGTTTGACTTTTAGATTCACTTTTTCAAATTTCGAACGAAATAGATACAGTAACGAAAAAAATGAGCGTACACTTCGTAAATATAAAGTTCACAGTCTTGTAGCGTACTATAGCGAGGTCGGGAATAACTTAGTTCAGAAAGTTGGCCTTAACCTTTCTAATGAACACTCAAATACTGAATCGTATCGTGCAGAATAGTTAGCGAGCAGGCGATTATCTTAAACCTGGAATACTATAGTGGCGTGTTGCATACCCTGCTCACTTTAGTTTTCGATTTATAATTTTATGGTAATAAAATGATATGAAATTATATTAATTATTATAATGTTAAGCAAAGTAGGATAATCATTATTATAGATGGGAACATTATAAAACCGAACACTAGAGAATACTAGAGTTTAGAGTTTTTTGGTCCTTTTAACGAAGCCACAATCAACAAATTACTATTCTTGATTTTCGTTTTATTTTGGGGTAGCAGAACACCCTGTATGTATGTGCACAATACTCTAGAACTCCATTTATCTGAATCCATCGGAAGATAAACATTTCATACAATTGGATCGTTCGTATAATAGGAGTTCACTAATTCTCCCCACCACTTATTGATTTTTCGTTCAAATAACTGGAGTTCGCGTTCAGATAAGTGGATTTAATCGTACATTTTTTCGGCAGTTTTTTTTAGCCAGGCACTGAATCAAATTTTGTTGCAATAAATAGAATTCTGCTATAATATTCTAAACACAATAATTTTGTAATATGTAATATACATGGTGACCCATTTAAATCGACCTACTCGAATATCTTCGAAACTGTTGATGATATTAAAAAATGTTTCAGATAATGCCCTGACGAGAAACTAACGATCACGATTACTTCATTCGAATGGATGCAATAAACTAAAAACAATGGTAAGTACAAGAGAGGGGAGATACGGAAATTAACTTAAATATCAGTAGCTTCGAACAATTTCTTTATTCGTTGATGACTGTTGAATAATCATACAAATGTTTTCGGGCTTTGTTCAGGCAATCCTCGAAACCTCTAATCCGATTTTCCGATTTCTTTGTTAGCCTCCTCCTTTGAGCTGTTCCAGATCCGCTACAGATTGAAAACGTTGAGAAAATGTTATAATATGACTAATAAACAAGTCCACCCGAGAGATAGGATAAACCAACGGTGAAGACAAGTATCTAGATACAACAATCTCACCAAAAAAATCACTGACCACTTTATATTTTTTTAGACGAAGTTACGAAAATGGATCCGTTTAGTTCTAATTTGGACCCCGCAGAAAATGCATTCGGTTTGTGCTGGGCAACGTGTTAACTGAGCGATGTAAAAATAGAGGACTCAACCTTTAAAATGACCCCAGGAAGATTATCATTAAGAGTTTTTTTCGCAAAGTTGCGATAGTCCAAATATTGACTAGTGTCCTGATACTTATGATGGTGAGGGTTCCTAATATATATTGTTTTTTTTTTCAGAAAAAGGGTGAATCACTGTATGGGAGCCACTGTGTACGTTACCCAATTTGAATAGAGAAAAATTGAAGAACCTCCAGCTCTACTTTTGACACACACTGTACGTAATCGAGCGACGCAGCGCGCGTGCGAGGACTGACGAAGACGGGGGTAGGGGGATGGTCGAGCTCGAAGGCAGAGGTAACAGCGCGCGGTCGGTGGTGGTGCTCAGTCGGTGGTTGCTCGGGACAAACGGGCACGTCCACGAAGTGCGGGATAACGATGGAGGCTGCGTTAATAGCACCAAGCGAGTGATACGCGCCGTGCGTTACACGGGGACCGTGTCCCATTCGTGGCCCGCGTATCCCCCTCGCGGTCGCCCCTCCCCCAACAGAAGGACCAGTGCGTGTGCATCCTTCGTGCAACCGTGTGCGTGCGTGGCCGTTATCCACGGTGTGATCGTTCCTCGGCGCTTTCTCGTGACAGGAGAGAACGACCAAACGAAACAACAGACCAGATAGAGAAACAAGAAAAAAAAGAAAGAGATACAGAAAACGGTCGGGACGCGGGACAAAAGAAAGGCACAACGAACGGGAAAATGTCGTTCACGTAGTCGAAGCGAGAGGATTCGGAGAGAGGCAGGTCAAACACGGTGCAGTGGTTACCCCGAGTCGTTGGTACGCGCAGCCTTTTGGTGTTGCTGGCTGACTTGATGCCTGCTTTGCTATTGCTGTTGCTGCCGCCGCCGACGTTGCTGCAGCAGTTGCTAGCGATTCAAAAATGAAAAAAAAAAAAAATATATATATATATATATAATAATGATAATGATCGAAAGATATGTGTGTTGTCGAGAGGAGGGGAGGGGAGGGGGGTTTGGGAGAAAGAAAGAATTGTCGTAGCCTTCATTGTTTCGTCGTTGTACTCGTCGTCGTTGGCCGTCGTTGTTTTGTACAAAATACGCGTTCTCCCAGCGTGAAAAAAAAAAAGGGAAAAGAGAAAAGAGAAAAAGAGAAAAAGAGAGGGAAAAAAATAATAAATGTGACGTGCCCGCCGGCCACCAGCCAGCCTTTTATTTTTTTCTTTTACGCGCTTCATTCGCTCTTTCTTCTTTTTTTTTTCCTTTTCTATTTAAGAGATACACCCAGTAGGTCACAGACGATCTCTGTCGTCGAGTCGTGTTTCATCGTGGGGTCCTGTCAGTCCCTTTAACCTACTTTTATGTTTCTGGGACTTCACGTTATATTTGGCTTTCTGTACTCCCCCCCCTGTTTCTTTTGTTTTATCTGCTTCGTGCACGCACGTATCATTGCATGAGCGTATTACTGTATGCAGTCGGGCGGAAGAGACGTAGCGAACCTAAGGGGCACACTCGAAGCTGTGCATTAAATTTGGTACCCTTCTGGGTCAAAGTCGCGAAAGTTTCCCTTGTATTTTGTGTTCGACGTTACCGAGTTTATCGAGCACCGTTTATTACCAAATTTCGTCGTCCGAGGCTATACTTACGAGCGATCCTTATCGCCGTTACGCCCACATGTCACCGTTTTCACGATTTATTTAATTTACGAGGTCGCTATATTCTCTTCGGCCGACTATACATTTGATTGCTGCCCCCCCGCCCCCGATTCATGGACGTACGCGGTGACCATCTCTGTTACGCTTGCTTCTTTACACGAATTCAATTAGTGTTCTGTACTTTTTTTCCGCATCGAGTCGAAATAACGAGAAACGTAAACGCATTCAAATTGTCGTTACTTCGCATGGAAACTACGTGGCCGTGATATTTCGTACACGATTTGTTTACGTCAATGAATCTCGTCTGCCAAGCACTGACCACTTACAACAAAAATGATAGACGAGGGTCAGGAAGGAGTATAAAGGATAGAGCGACGAGGAGGGAAGTGGGTGGGAGGGGTGGTCCGAAGGTGACAGAGATAGATAGCGGAAGGGAACCGAAAACGAACGTGATAAAGTGCGGAAAGGAGAGGGGGATGAAACGAAGAAAGAAAACGATAGGGTGGTATAGGAAGGGATAACTGGAACGTGTCGCAGCAAAAACCGAAGAGGGAGAAGAGGGTTTTTCGATTTGTTACATTTGTGTCGGAACCACTTGACCTATTGACGGGTCAAGAGGCAGACCGAAAAGGTGTCAATGCAGAGATCCCTCCGTAATGTACAATTTGAACAAGTTTTTAAGCAAACGAATAAAAAGATCATTTAGACTGTCGTTTATGGAAAATATTTTAATCGCTAAAAACCCAACAGCGTGTAACGCATATAAATTTATAATCGAATAACCACGAGGACTTGTGTTTCAGTTGTCTTTAAGGATAGTTTACGCTGAATGTTCGAAAGATGACAATCTGAATTATTTTTCTTTATATGTTTATTTTAATTCATGTAAGCAGAAAAAAACGCGACGAAAGTTTTCTTAGAGTTATACTAGCTTCGTAAAGGATCCTATCTTTTGCCTCCTACCTATGCGTAAACCATTAATGTACAGTATACAGCGCTTGTAGATACCTAACTTCAGTAATTAGGTACAAACCTAACGATAGATGTTAGTATCTTACGCTTTTCAACTAACTTGTAATTCTCACGAGTAGAAATAAACTTGACGTACTAAATATTCTATATTCGCTGTAAATATCGTGCTGAGACAACATTTTTATTTTTCAAAAACTTGTGTTGCATAGGCAATAATTTTAAATGTAAATATATTCAAATTATTGATTTGTTAGCTTTTTGGAAAGACAAGAATATTTATTATTAGCTCCGTTATGTATCGGTCGTTCGCGTATTAATTACAAAATCCTTGATTAGACTCTCCAGAGCTGTTTATTAAGCTGGTTTTCTCAAATTGACTCGATATTTCGACCCATGCTCGGGTTCTTTCCAAAAGTATAAATAAGGTTTAAAAACCATGTGTTTAGAACGAGTAATCTGACTCGTAATCATTTTAGTTTTTTTAACTTATAATTCTGGAAAGAACCCGAACGTAGGTCGAAACATCGAGTCATTTTAATAGCTTGTTGATTGTTTAAAAGAAACGAGGCGAACCTCGTTACTGTGAATTACATTTAAAAAATACTAGCAAACGTAGTATCGTTGTACGCATCGCTGCTAATTGTTCTTTGATACACGTATGTAAATATCGCTGTAAATAAAAGGCTTTTAATCGTGCTTTCTGCTAGAGGATATTTAGATGGTAGAATAGAATGACGGCCGCCAATAGCGGGCGGATATCCGTCATGTTTCTTGCCTTTCCAGAGTAAAAAAAGACAGGAAGACGATGCAAAGGGAGCTAAGCTCGTAACAGAAAGAACGCCTGGCCCGAAGGCGTTAAACCGGGAAGAGTGTAATCGGGGCGCAGAGCGATGTACGCAGCTGCAGGTGGCGCCAGTATAGCGAATAGGAGGAAGCAGAAACGGTTGCAGTTGAATAAACGTGTCGCCGAGAGTACGATCCCGTCACGGCTGAAGAATGTTCCGGCTTCTCAGCACTACTTCCACCAACACCAACACCAACACCACCACCCGAGCAAATTCGCGCGTCCGCACGTTGTTCCACCATCTTCCACACCACAGCCACAACCACAGTCATCTGCATTCCATCCGAGCGTCGATCGACGGCGTCATGTCGAGAAGTGTCAGCAGGTCGCGCCTGTCTCTCCGATCCAATTTCCTATATCACCGCCACCGCTTTCCCTCGAATCACCAAGTTCGGTCACCTGCGCCACAAAATCCAACAATTTCCCATTCCCGCCACCGTCGATCCTCGATCTCCGAGTTTCGCCATCTTCTTCGGAGCTACAGGTGGGTAGATTGTTCCGGCAGTAAAATTAATTGCTCCTAGGGGTCGTTTATCACTATCTCTATATATTTCATAGTTTTGTTTCTCTTCTTTCTCTATCACGTTAGTTGCTCTTGCCTAGGTTACCCTTTATCATGTACTTTCTCGCAGTCCTTGTAACAAGTTTTTTGATAATCCTCGTTGCACTCTGCACCTTCTCTTGCTGGCACACCTTTACTTATATTAGGAACACACCATCGATCGGCTGTCTGGTGGCGTATGTAAACCCGCGGTAACACATCCCCGAACGGCCCCAGGTTCGTCAGATGGTTATCCATAAATTTGAATTTTTTTAGTTATTAATATGCCTCTACTGGTTCCTACCAGCGGATACAAGCGTCGACTAATGCAGGAGGCAGACAGTGCAATGTTAGGAGTAAGTTGTAGTGCCCGGTACCAAGCTGGATCGGGAGATCTTTGAGGAGGAACTTGTGTGGTCTCAGATTTTTCGTTCAGACACAGGGAAAGAAAATAAAGATTCAGTTGTACCGTGCATAAAGAAAGTGGAAAGGAGAAAGAGGAGGCGGAGAAGGACGGTCGGGATCTTAACGATCGATAAAACAGGCAAATGAATGAGCGGAATGCAGGCTGCTTTATTAATTAGAAGGGAGAAGCAACGGTTACGGGGGGGTAAGGTGGTGAACTTTAGAGAATTACCCTCCAACTTGGCAACCAGACTTATTCCGCCGCTTCCACGATATCCCCCACGATCTTACGTTTACGGGGTAAGTATCAAATCATTCCAATGTCCTGTATCGTCGACGATAAGCTATTGGCATCAGTGGGTAACCGTTATTCTTCCCTAGCTGATTACCTTTGCATCAATTTTATGTGCCTCTTTTTCAAGAAAATACATTCAAAATGTAGTGTATTTTTGGTGTTTGTCCATTTTTCATTTTCTCTTATTACAAAACATTAATGTTTTTTATATTATTCTGCATCAAATTTTTCTCAATAAAATATTTTGTATTTGTTACATCTTTATATTGCATTTATATTAGTCTTCTACCAAAGAATCGATTCCTAAACAAGCCAATTTGTTTTTTTCAACACAGCAAATGATCATGTGGTTTTTCATTTTAGAAGTGCACTTTAATCCAATTTCGTTTGGTGAACCTCTCTAGAAATAAAAATTATACAATTAAATTAAACGCGTATATTTAAGGTGTGCAATTATAAACTTGAGGACGAGTTATATTATGATACAGCAGATCATAACACTTACATGCGCTACATAGTACTTCATGCTCGAAGGTTAATAACTGTTACTAATATTTAACCAATTCTTTATTGTCGATCAGACTGCAATGATTACAGTGTACTTATGTAAACAAATTCTACAATACATGTACGTATAAACGTTTATACATGTTTCGATTGGATACATGTATACAAGTTTTTCTGTGTTCTATTTAGTACATGCATGCATGTTTTTTATATTATCGTTTATGTGCCGAGTAACGAGGACAGAAAACATTAACCAATCGCGTATAATGATACAGTAAAGAAATTATTAAAAAAAAATGTTTCAAATGATAGAGAAAGATGCAAATTACATAATCATAATATAATTCCTTTTTTTTTTTTTTACGTTTCATTATTTATTTTATATTTTATACAACAGTTCAGATAATGTTTATACTCCAATGAAAATGGAACATTCAGAAGTACTTAATATTCGTAGACTGTTCAAAATTTTAGTTAAAATATAACGTTAAAATCCTTCGTAGCGTTAAAACGTTGAATGACCGTAATAATAGTTGTCGTAAGTGGTTTGGTAACAGCAATACCTCAATGTAGAATAATTTCAGTGTGGTGGAGGACCCGGCAAAGCAGCATGGCAAGGTTACGGCAGACCTTCTCCACTTCCTTTGTCTCCTATGTCACCTCACGGATGCCGCGGGGATGGCTACAAGACAAAGCAATGCGAAGCTCATCGGCGATGGATGAAAAGGAACAGGGTAACTTAGGCGCATACTAATTACAATTATATAAATTCGGTCCAACGACTACAAAATACTGCAGCACAAAATATGGACAGAATCATTCGAGAATTCAGTATACCTTTCAGAAGCATTCATCTCAGCTGCATGTGAAATCGATGTTTTGACGCCCGAAGAAATTTATGACCCCGCTATGTCATCGTATGCAGCAAAATTGTTGTTTTCAGATAAGAGACGCAAGCTACTGCTATGGAAGCAGCGAAGAAGATGACGAAGTAGATGGAAGCAGTAATGCAAACCGTCGTAGAGGGGAAGTTAGCGCGGCAGTGAATACCGTACTCTATGCGGGGCTGGGAACTACAGCGCTCGGATTAGTTATCTCGTTTGTCGGCACTGGAGAGAAAGGATTCCTCAGTCCGGAATTGAGGCTGGTGGGTCCTTCGCTACTGTGCGCCGGTTTACTATGTTGCCTATTTCGGGTGCTGCTCTGCCTCTGTTTATGTCGTTGCGGTAAATGCCGCTGGCGGTTTTGCCACGTTGCTTCCGACAAAAAGGATAAAGTGAGGAAAACGGAAGCTCGTCCAGCCGGAGCATTGCCTACCGCCTCACTTTTGTCACCAACGCAACAACAACAACAACAACCACAACAACAACAGCAACAGCAATCAGCCACCGCGTCCTCGAGTGGCCCAGCATCATCGTCAACAAAAGCACACGAGCTCTTGCTCTCTCCTGCCCAATTAGCAGAGTGAAAACACAATTACGAACGTTTTCTACGAAAATCAACACGCCGATTAACTGCCGGTTCTTGTCCAAATAATAGAATATCTAATCTCCATTCGACCTGAACCGTTTTTTCGCAACAACCATCACAGCCTAACTCTAGTTCAATGCGAATTTTAGCGCTTAAAAGTAATAGAGAAATAAACAATCGGCCACGTTTTTCTACCCCTACCGTGTTTGAAAAAGTAAAAAAATAATTATCAATGAGCCTTCAACTGCCTCCTGGTTTATTTCCTTCCACGTTCATATTTTCTTTACAAGGTTTTTGCCTAAGCTTAATTTACCTCCCTCTCCGAGTTCTTAGAATATTCGTATTCCGTTCTCGATAGCGTAAGATCAGCTTGCCGTCGAAACTGACTTTACAGTTCTTATTATGCTTTATGTTTTTACAGAACGCAATCACGCGTGATGATACGCACAGTCATGGTAGCTGTTCTGTGGATCGCGTTTCACATCAAATAATTTATATTAACATCACTTGAAACTGCACTGATCAGGAAAGCTGGAACTGCATTTGATCGGTGGACGTATAACTGTATATAACCGGTGTGTCGGAAGTGGTGGCACTAGATGCGGTCGCAGCAATGGCAAACAGCTGATCTTCGTATATTGTTCCTTGCGGTTCAGTTTTACCATTGCCCGATGGCGTACCACTACCCGGAGGATTATCTCCTTTCGTTGCTTCCCGATACTTTTGCAGATATACTTTCAACGGTTCCACGTAATTATCGAAACCGAGCGTCGTCATTGCGAACAGAATGTCTTCGCCGTTAATAGTTTTGCGTTTCTCCATATGACACCGATCGCTCGCCTCGGACGTGATAAATGATATGAATTCGGATACACACTCTTGAACACACTCGCGTGCATCTTTAGCTATCTTTCCCGTTTCCGGTATCGCCCTTTTCATGATTTTCGCAACGTTCGCTATAGGAAGGAACCGATCCTGTTCGCGTAGAGGGCCGCCACCACCGCTGCCTCCAGTTCCTTGTAGCGGATCGCTTGCCCCGTGATTAGAATCATCCGTATTTTCGGGATCATCTGTGCAAAAGTAGTAGCTTAAATCGATACAATCACTTACTAAATTGCGTTAAAATATTATAAAAATATTCAGACGTACAAACAAGGACTTCTTAATACCATATCTGGAAACAACCATCTTCTTTTATTAATAGAAACACTTTAACGCGTCATAGTCTATTACGAAATTTTATGAACAGGTAAATAAAACTAAAAATTTCGAAACTCCTTTGATGCATGAGATGCAACAAGTAATTTCAAAACAAGATAGTTACCGAACGCATAATTCAATGTAAATAAACACTGCTGCAACGCTGAAACTCTCTTTTGTCGTGTACGAATTAAATGTTTGAATTTTGTACACTAAATTGCATCACTGTCCATCAATTTTGTTTGCACAAACCTAACATAATTTTGACATTAAAATCTGTCACTTATCAAGAACGTGATACATTGTGACTCGTTTCCCCATTAAAGAGACGATTGTGCTTTGTAATATTAATTAAGTACGAGTTTTTATTAGCGTTTGAAAAAAATTCAAAACATTCTTAACCTACCTTCCATGTCATCCGATTGAACTCCGATATACGATGTCGAAACACCGCCTCCGCTGAGGAACGCAGTCGGTCCTAAAGGTCCCCCGTCGTCGCCACTTTCACCACTGTTTTCCATTTTTAACTCGACTTACACTAAGTACACAACTGAAATACTTTGAATTCTCTTAACCTGTTCGTAGCTTTGTTTTCACAGTGCTTTATTGCATTTTTTTGACATAAACAAGTCCGAACATAGAGACCGACATCGTGTGTTAAATGAAATCTCTTTGGGACAACTAGTGCCCCCGTAGGAAACAAGACTTACAAAGATAGGCGGTATCTAGTAAATACTATGTACTCTTCGGTATATTCAAAAACGAAATATCACGGGTATAGCAGGTTTCATAGACGATGAACTTGAATTTAAACAAAACTTGTACGATCAAAGTCTCATTGGTTCGCCATGTCTAAATGGCTTCCTAGTCAAGGACGTCTTGTGGATCAAAGTTGGGTAAATTTTATTCACGAATAACGAATAAAAATATTCATTCATGAACCAACTTTTGCCCACATTGGTTCAAAAAACTTGTTAATAATATAGGATTATAAAATGATTAATTGCTATTTATATAATAATAGGTACAAATTCGGGGAATAGTTTTTTGCCATGGTACGGCCCTGTCGCAATCACGTGGTTTTATTTGGATCCACTTCATTGTCCGATGAAACCTACTATAGCATAATATTGCTCGTAGTTTCATCGTGTATGCATAAATGCGCGACAAGTAGTTTATTTAAAACTGTTAGCATGGTTATGCCTAGCATTTTGTTAATTCGAAAGGGTCTTTCAATAAACGGTAAGCGTGCATTTTTTTATTAATAATATATGCCGATCGCAATTTATACGCACATCGTTTTGGCCTCGGTGTTTGTGTTGTTAGAATTTGTAAATGGATTATCGGATTCACGTGAGAAACGTTAAAAGTTATTCGATACGTACGACGATTGTACTCGTTTGCGCAATTAACAGTTTATATATTTTGCATCGATTGTGAGTGTATTATACGGTACTGCTTATAGTATACGATATCACGATTGAAGCATGATGTTCTCTCAAATCCCTGCAGCTACGTAACCTGCTTTACAATATCCTTTCTCTGATAAAGTATTAAGATTTTCTGTATTTGCGGGATTACTATCGATGCAAGAATTAAGTGCAGCGACAGTTAACAATGATTCCTTGAAAATGGTAATACCGAACGCAACGAGGAAAAAGGTTATGTCGTTGTGTATTTTATGAAGATAATGAAAATTCGCGCAGAAAGAATCATCGACTGGTTAGTGTTTTTGTGATTCCATAAATTACTTGACGGAAAAATGTCACAATCGCAGGAGAATCTAACAAAGAAATTCATTAATGAGCTGACCGACCATTTGAAAGAGAACAAAATAAAAGAAACTTTGGATCTCTTTGATGGCGATAATTATGACAATATTATTAAAGAGACCTCTTGGGAAATAGTACAGATCGCATCGTCTTATCTTACGGTTGAAAATGCAAAAGATAATGGAGAACTAATCGACTGTTGCAAAATAATATTAAACGCCATAGCAGAAAAATGTAATCCTTGTGAAACGGTATTAGAGTTTTTGGAACAAGTTGATAGACCGGAGGATGACATGAAGTTTTGTATAATTTTAAAGGTACTTGGTAAAAGTCTCTCTAAAATGAACGACAAAACTAAATCGATAGAATGGTGTATCATTACGATAAGGTCTTACGTCGAGAGTTTGCCAGTACCGCTGAATGAATTTGAAGATAGTACAGTTATTAAGATTAAATTTCAGAATATCTATATCGCAATTATATCATTCCTGGAACCATTGGTAGAGGAAGCAGCATTGGAGAATGATAATTCGGAAAACTATGCCATTTTAAGGGATTATCTCTTGAGTATTTTAATTTTCTTAATGGGAAACCCATTGTGTTATGTACCAGAGGAAGTATTGGAATCAAATATCCAATATCATTTACCAGAGAAAATTATAATGCTAATGAATCGTATTAGCGAAGATCTGCTTTGGTTTTTAAATGTTGTTAATGCGAGAAGCAAAGGGAGTAACTCTAAAAAGAAAAATATAAATGAAGAATGTTGCAATCTTAAAATCATGCTTTTTGAGTCGAATGAGAGTGTGCCAGATTTAGCATACGCAAATTTTTATTTTTATATTGTAACAAAATCGCATTTATGGGAGAAAGTACCACAGGTATATAGTTTACGATACATCTTTCAAGAATGTTTATATCTTGTTATTAAATTGCTAGAAGAACAAGAAAATGTTACTATGAGAAAAGGTTTAAATCTTATGGATCAGCTTTTGCAGAAAATAACAAAGCATTCTTTAATTTCAAAATTGCTGGAATTGAATGTTTACACAAAATTAATTAACGTAATCGTGAAAGTAATGATTTATTGCGATAATATCGAAGAACGAAAAAAAGCTGTACAAATCTTCCATAAATACATTGAATTGTTTAATATCGAAGCTAGATACTATGTTGTTTTGCACTTATACCAGACCAGTGAACACTCTGGTTTGGTTAGCGTAACTACTGGGATACTCAAAGCTTGCATTATCGAATGTCTTGAAGCAACACCTCCACTTCCCTATTTTCTTGGCAAAAAGTTAGAATCTTTATTGAAATTGGCCTGCAAGTTACAGCACGGCAGTGCATCAGATTTAGTCGAATTGTCCGATGAAATAATTACCAGCTTGAATCTTTTAAGATTTCTGTTACTCAGAGATAGATGCAATCAAACTGGAATTTGGAATCTAGTAAATAAATTGGAAGACGATTATTTAAAACCTTTAAGAAAAGGAATAAGTTTGTGTAAATCACATTGGAAGGTAAAAATAAAGGACTTAGAAGAGCAAAGCAAAATTCATAAAATTAGCGATAATGTATCGCTAGAAAATAATGATGCTGAAATAACGTTAACTGTAGGCGGAGAAAAATTACCAGCAATGCCAGTTTCAGAAAAAATTTCGTTTTGTTATCAAGCAATAAATGGTCTTGATGTGATGGAAAGCATTCTAATTAGAGTTAACGAATGCATTTCTGACAGTCCTGATAACGTCGTAACTTCAAAATAACAATTACATATTTATAAAGTGTACATTATTCGCTGTTAAATAAAGATATTCCTCATTTAGTTTCCATTTTTTTTTTTAAATCCCACAATTTACCATTTTGTAGTGACAGTTAATGGTTTTGATCGACCGTATGTTTCAGTTTCTTAATTTAAAATGAACGAATTCCAAAATGAGTTTTGATTTGATAGGTTTTAGAAGTTTATGGACTTGTAGGGCGTTACTCGCTGATCAAACGGGAAATGCTACTGCACACCAATCGAGTCAGGAACGGAGCAAGGAAAGCGACGAAGATTACGATAGAAATATCAAAACAAAGATTCTTAGCGCATCGTTAAAGTTTGTTAATGACCTGGGCTGGAGCCAGCAAGCCATCAGTGCTGGTAATTTGTAATAATTTTTCAGTTAAGTAGATGAGTCCAAAGTAATTCTTCATCTAAACAGATTTACTTTGAAAGATAAAGAAAATTTATAATTATCATATTCTTAGTACGCAACTCGGATAAGAAATAAGTGTGATTAATGAAAAATTGTGTACCAAAGGTGCGGAGTCTATTGGATATCCTGGCGTGGTTCATGGATTGTTTCCCAATCGGGGAGCAGATTTGGTCCAACACTTTTACTCAACATGTAACAGCGAATTAAATCAAATTCTTAAGGAACAAGCTCTTGCTATTCAAGAAAATTCCGAAGAAAGAAAGACGCTTGAATCACAAGTACGCAATGCGGTGGAAACGAGACTTCGAATGGTGATTCCATACAAAAAGACATGGCCACAGGCTTTAGCCCTTATGGCACTTCCACCCAATGTACCGATATCGCTAGCTAATTTGCTTACTCTGGTAGACGATATTTGTTATTACGCCGGCGATAGATCGGTCGATGTAAGGGCGACAAATATACTTCTATGCAACTGTAATCTCACAATATAACTAATGTCGGAATCTTTTTAATTAGATCAACTGGTACACCAGAAGAGTGGTATTAGCAGGTATTTATAAAACTACCGAGCTGTACATGTTACAAGACAATAGCGAAGATCATAAACAAACTTGGAAGTTCCTGGAAAGGCGAATAAAAGATGCGACACAAATTCATACAGTTCTTACAACAACCTCCGATATAGCCCTGCCAGATCAAGCTTTGAATCGCGCCACCGAAGCAGCTAACGCTGCCTTCGTTACGGTAAATTTTTTTAATTTCTTACAGCAATTAAGCTCTATACTTTTTAACAACTTTTAATGTACTCATTTATTTGTCAGGCACGTAATATACTCGGATTGAATTGGAATAGGTAAACGAAATTTTATGATGGAACAGAAATAGATAATAGACTGTTTATAGAAAAAAAAAAAGCAATTAAAGTATTTTACTTGAATTTATTCACTACGAGTCATGGTAACAATTAAGAGAACAATGAATTTTAAGTCGAGTTAGCAATTGCAACTAATTTATTTTAATATTATATTTTAACAAGGTCTGTACATTTGTTAATTAACAATTACATTAAAAAATGTAATGTACTTTATAATGAAATGATTCACGCAAGCAACGACGTTATTTGTAGTAACATTTTTTGCAAGCCTCATTATCAATATCTCTTGATGATACATCGGAGGTGGCGAATCGACTCCCTCCCCTACTTTTCCGTTACGCATGAGCGCAGAAGAACTTCCTCCACTATGCCTACTTTGACTTGGTAGTGGGGCGGCTTTCGTGGCTCTTCGCGGAGAAGTTCGCCACCCCTGATTTATGCGATTCGTCTTACAATACGTTTTGCATTGTTGAAAGTATTATAGAAAGGTACTTTCTATCTATTTTATTTCAATTTCACATCAATAATGTGCTTCCTCTATATAGCCTTTGATAGTTTTAGGTAAAGGCAATTTATGAATATTGTCCAACCTAGTATTTTGACGTATAACAAAACGGCAGAGATACTGCAAACTTCGTACTTGCGTAAACCTGCTTAGTGGTTTTGTTAGCCTGACTGGGAGCGACGGCTGACCGGGGAATCTAGGCCGTAAATAACAAAACATTGACTGGCTAAAATTCATCGAATAGTCGATTAAATCGGCCACCGAGCTGAATCCCTCGCTTTCACTTTGGTTGCATAAAGAAAATAAACCGCCGCTATGCTCCATACGAGCATGGAGCAACATGCCCGATGATTTAAAACTAAGCGTCAGGACGTATCTATATAAAAACCAGCGTTACAAATTTTACATAAATCTATCAATACCGATATATTCGATAGAATACAAACCTGTCGTCCAAAGAGTCCCTGACCAAAAACGCACCGTCCGGTTCGGATAACAGTTTAGCGTAGGCTTCGCTTCTCGACATCGGACCCCAATACCATCCGTAATTGCTTAGTTTAAGCAACTCCTCCGTGAGGCTAGCTTTCACTTTGTTATCATTACTTAGCATCTCATTAGTTTCCGCATTTCTGTGGATATTTTCAAAGTTTGTACCGTTCTCCAAGCTGGACACTTGGATCTCGTTCTCCTGTAAATATTTCTTTTAGACACCGCGACTAGTCGAGAATCCTTCTGATACCTACTTTTCGTTTCGATTTACATATCGTTAGCTTCTTGACTTGCATGTGTTTCTTCATATTCTTGATAAAACTGAAAGACGTTTTGCTGGGCAGAACATTGTTGACATTGCACTCGACGATCCTGACTTCCACGAAATCGTCTTTTTTCTCTTCGTTCTCCGATCCACACCTACGTCGCGAGTTACGCCTCCAAAGGAAATCGAACGTTCTCGCGCTCAATTTACGCGGCTTCGTGCCTTGCTTCGGTCTTTTCTTTGCACCAGGAGGTGCAGCGGTGATCAGCTCCTCCGACGTCTGACTGATCATATTCGACGCTCGTTGAGATCCTTCAAATTGGCTCCGAATCCACGGAAGGGTTCGCTTCCACTATTTTATCAAAAATTATTTCACACGCCATCTATTCCTTACCCTATTCTCTCGCGAGTGTAACTTTTTTTCACGGATTCGAGAATTCTCATCGCAGTTCACCGCTGCACGATCGTCCATCCGAATTACTTTCGCACTGACTAAACGCAGCGAATGTTTTTGTGTACACGTGTGTCCATTAATTCTTGCCGTTTGAGGAGAATACGCACGATGAACGTAACCCCTTCTCCTTCTTGAAAGCTCCAAATGTGTAAGTGAAACGCTAGATGGTAATATAAAATAATTAATGGCAATGGTAATTAAATATATAAAGCAGTATTTGAATACATTTACGTACGTGCTATTTATATAGCTATTATTATAATTCTTGTTTAAATTAATACAAACAGGGGTAGTAAAATTGTATTAGGGGGAACAATTTCGTTTCTAGTTACTTTTTCTACTCGTATATTGGTCCCACTGCACTTTGGTACCTAAACATTGGTGAAGCACAAAGTTGAGCAAAATATAATCGTAGCACATACATACAATTCCCACGATAAAATTGCACGTAATTGCATAATAATTAAATAGTTTTTACACGCTTTAATGATTTACAATTACACCGCAATTGAACGGTAATTATCGTGTGATTACAAGTATTGGATGCTCAAAAAAATCCCGGTCTAGCTGGAAACAGTAACTGCGCGGTAACTAGGAGTTTATCTAGTGAGAGGAGGGGATGTGTTTAGTGTGTCGTAGGTCGTACATGATTATATTCCTCTCAAACGGAACGATTAACGAACCTTTGTGTATACTTCCATAAATCTAATCGAAATCATTTCCTGAATTTAAGCAGTATCGAGCAAAAGTACGTCCTGTTCGAATGAAATGACAAAAATCCGCTGGGAAAACTACGATGTATATACATGCGTGCCTTATAACCTCAAATACATCGTTTCTGACAGTTGTATAAACTAGGAAAAGATATTACATGTCTTGTTTCCGCTTGATTTTGTTTACCGTTAGTTAAGTATCGTCCGTTAAAAATGAGCGATTTCGACGACGAGAATTACGTTTCTTTTGGAGTTGCTCTCGAGCCTATAGACGAAGGTACGTCGAAGTGTTCGAGAACCAAATTTGGGTATGAATTGTTTACGTAGAATCGTTTGTTTTCACTTGGAACTGTTGCAGACAATGTCCCAAGAAAGAAACCTGTCACGATCGAGGATCAGTGCGCGTACGATGCGCAAGGCAGACGCAGATTTCACGGAGCGTTTACGGGTGGCTTCTCCGCCGGATATTTCAACACTGTCGGCACGCGAGACGGTTGGAGGCCGCAACAGTTCAAGTCTTCCAGAAGTAGTAAAGCAGAAAATGTTGCGCAACGGCCAGAAGACTTTATGGACGAGGAGGACACGAGTCAGTTTGGGATCGCACCCAAAGGCATCCGTGCTACCAGCGACTACGTAGATCACGGTCAAAGAGGAGTAAAACGAGAGAGAGTCAATCGCGATAGCAGTGGTCCTATTCCCGGTACTCCGGTATTAAGGGAATTACTGAAGCCTGTAAAGTAGGTGGTCATGTAATACCCATCTGCAAAGAGTTAAAAGTGTTAGTCTCGATTGTTCATCAACGTTTGATGTAATTTTCAGAGAGACGGTTGGCATTATGCTGTTGAAAAAAATGGGATGGAGACCGGGTCAGGGTGTGGGGTCCAGACTCACGAAAAAGGAGAAAGCTAAAATAAAGAAAAGAAACGAGAAAATACGGGCGTCGCAACAGCAGCCTAGAAAGCCACGTTCTGAAAGTAGCTCGGAAGACTCGGAGGACGATTATGGAGATGTCACGTTTGCTCCCGATGATTATGAACCATTCAGGTATACAGTTCGAGTCTATAAACGTATTGCAGTGATAGTGTTGCAATTAAATTATCGTTCGTTTTTTGCAGATGTAACCCAAAGGACAATTACTTCGGTATAGGGTACAGCGGTTTGGATCGGAGAACCGTGCTTTCCGGTCACATAAATTTATTCGACGCTCCCGCGTTCAGTATTCAAGAGAAAAATAAGAAGCTGTCGATACACGGACAAGCGTTCGGTGTTGGCGCGTTCGAAGCAGACGACGAAGATATATACGAAAGAGAGGACATGTCGCGTTACGATTTTGCATTGGGCCCGGAACGGAAAACGAAATCAAGGTGGTCCGACGAGAACAGTTCCAGAAACCAGAGCAGCAATTGCCTGGAGGGGTTCGTACCAGCTAAAAATAAATTAGAGTATAAGAAAGTGTTCCCGGCTCCGGAGTTGCCCAAAGGTTTTGTGCCGGTGCACACGGTGAGAAAAAGTCGTTTCTATCCACCGATCGAGAATGTTCCTCGCACGGTGGAGAACGGGAGACGCAAAGATCTTACAGCCGCGGATAGGGCTAGGATATTGGAAGATACGCAGAGCGTTAAACAGATATCTGACACGCATCCGAACGCAGTGCCATCGGTTGCCTCCAACATCATAACGAAAACGTTGAATTTACACGGTAAGCAACAAACTGAGGAGAGGCAAAAGTTAGAAAGCCAACAGAGCAAAGTGGCCGTCTCGTGGATGGACAAATTGAATTTACAGAGTTTTATTAAGGGAGGCGTTGTCGGGTTCGGTAAAGAATCTGAAGGAAGCTTAAAAAATTTGGAAGAATACAAAGACTCTCCCTCTACATCAGAAGAATGTCAAGCAAGTGAGGAGAGTAAGCCAGAGGAGGACGATTCTACGAAGAAGAGTGCTGCAAGACCATTTTTATCCGATCCTGATAAGCAGAGACGATTCGAGCAATACTTGGTTCTCCTGAAGAAAGCTGAACAAAGTAAACTCGAGAGTATACAACCGTTGTCGATGACAGAGTGGGACAGAGAACGCGAACGCGAGGAATTTGATCAGGCAGCTAGATTATTCGAGCATCCGACGAACGATTTCGTTGCAAGCAAATTCATCCACGCTTCTTCCGGCCCTGCGAGTCCTGACACATCTTCAGCGAAGTTCAGTCAGGAAGACGAGCTGAAGCAGGCTGTGAAGATGAAAATGTTTGGAAAATTGACCAGGGAACGTATAGAATGGAGGCCTGCCAGTATAGTTTGCAAGAGATTCAATATTCCTGAACCAAGGGGCGGTTGCGCCCAGCCTGAGATGCAGAAGAAGACTGTTAAGTTCTCAATCTTTGATTCCCTAAATTGGAGCAACTCTACGAAATTCTTAAAGGCAACCGATACGGTGCTGAAGGAAACGGACACGGTCGATGTTCAAACGAAAGACAATGTTGGTATCGTGAAGTCTGAAGCAACGTTGGAGGATCATCAGACGTTGGAATTCGTCTCGGAGAAAGTAAGGAATTTCGAGGCCTCTTACGAGAAGGTGTTCGGCAAAGAAGTCCAAGAAGAAGCTTCCAGAACCGAGGTGAAAGAGCTTGATGGTAAAACGGATTCGAGCGTGAGGTCGGAGGTCGTGGAGGAAGCGGGTAAAAGCGAGGAAGGCGACATCGCGTCGAAGACGGAGCCGAAGAGCACGTCGGAGAAGAAGAAGGATCTGTTCAAAGCGATCTTCTTGAGCAGCAGCGAGGAGTCCGACTCGGAACCGGAGGAAAGCATGGACAGCGAGGCGGTGAAGTCGGTTCTGATCGGTAAAACTCCCAGCGAGATGAACGTGAACAGGAACACTTCACCGCCGAGAGGAATATTCGCCAAGGTGGACCTGGACAACTTGCTGACGAGTTCGAAAAGCACCGTGCAAACGGACGAGGCTGTGGACACAGAAATGGACGCGAAGGTAGCATCGAATCCTGAACCTGGAACCGGATCCAATCCCAGCAACGATAGTAACTTAAATCCAGCGGAACCGTTGATGTTGCCTGACATGTACGGACCTGCTCTTCCCTCGAGATTGTTAAAAAACGACAATTCTGTACCGGAGGCGTCCGGCTCGCAGACCTTGAAGCCTGTGTTCAAAAGTGTCGTGGTACCAAAGCCCAAGGTGGACTCGAAGATCTCCGGTGTGTGGGTGGAGCGGGGAAAAGTGAAGAAGTCGAAGAAGGAGAAGAAGAAGCACAAGCACAAGGAGCACAAAAGCTCGAAACACAAGCGGAAGTCGAAGAAAGAGAAGCGCGGCTCGTGAACCGGGGAATCGAGACTTGTAACGGTGGAATGAAATCAGCACACCGCGCCGACCATGGAACACACGTGTGCTTCTTTATTTATTGCACGTTCCTTTTATTGTTTCGCAGCGTCGCGTAGCGCGGGTTGCTTTTACATTTGTTCTGGAAATGCTCGCGCGAGCCTGCAATTACAACTTGCGAGTCTATAATTACAATCGGTAAAGGCACATCGGATATGTACAAGAATATAATGTAATCTTTTTCTCGTATATGCTCTGATACGCGTAATTGAGCAATCCCCTTTATTTAATCGTAGCGTCGTTCGTTGCTGTTGCACGCTTGAACAATAATTACGTTGATTACGCCTAGCTCTGAGCAAAGGATGCCGCGAAGTTACTTGTTCGATGTCGTAGAGTTCCTCGAGGGTGGTCTACTGTGATTCGTAGAGTTAAGCTTCTTCTCTACGCTGAAAATGCAAAAAGGAAACGATTCACCGACGAGCGTATGTTTATAGTATGTTAGGATTATTCGTCTTCATAATTTAGAAAACACGCATTAAGTTATAGATATCATATTTTCGTAAGACTCAAAGAACGACCTTAGAGATTATTTATTATAATTTGTACGATCGTCGCAAATATAAACTTATTTGTTTGTTTCTGTTTAAACGAGTCTCTGATATTTCAAAGGAAAAAGTGAGGGCGTACCTGTTGCTTCTGGAACCTCTTTTGAACATGTCCGTTAACTTCTTCTTCAGGTTCCTCTTTTCAGTCCTCTCGCTGATACTCGTCTCGGAACCCGATGTCTGCAACAAGAAAAAACGAGTTATAAAATTGTATCCGTCGAGTGAACGTGTTTTGTTATTTGTCTACCTGAAGAGAAAGGTCCATGGAAACGTTTGGATCGTCCACGCTAACCGATTTCGTTAATTTGGTTGTGAGCTTTTTTATTATTCCTTTACCGTGCTTCTTCTCTCGTTCCAGCATTTCACTTTTTGTAGAACCGGTGGAGAGTCGGCTAAAAATTAATAGTTAGTATTTTTAACTTATTTTGATAATTGGAAACTAATTCATTCAATGTGTTCGCTTACTACAGATTTTTGTGACTATAATTTCAGGTTTGAAACAGAAAGGATATGCGATATTATGTTACCTATCCACGCTGGAATCTCTCTGCAAGCTGAGCGTTCGTCCACCGATCTCTGAACCTTCCAGCGACTGTAAACTGGACATGTTACTGTCGGTACCCCAAATGCGTTGCGACTGAAAGGTTAATCGAACGATCATATTCCATACTTATACTTGATCCACGCTTTGTTACTATACAACAGAATCGAGCAAACTCAAGAATAACGAATAAATTTTTTCCCAAATCCCAAAGTATAGACAAGCGTACTTCATCGTTGCGCGGTGACGTCTGTTCCAAAGACAAACTCTTCCTCTGCAAACGTGGTTTCGAACGAGTCGTCGTCATGCCTTTTCCTGGATCACTTTCCACGGATGTCGATCTGCAACACGTAAAAATTAATTTAATTTATCGATAAGACAATCGTTGTTTAGCTATAAGTACCTTTTGCCAAGTTTCTTCAGTCGAGTTACGTTAGCCTCGTCCGCTGCCTTCTTCGATTCCTTTAATTTCCTTGCAACGTCCATCAAGTTTTTAATAGTGTACTCCAGCTTGTCCGTCCTCTCACCGAGTTGTGAATTTGAGCCTGTAAACAAGAACGACGTTGATGATTATGTTTTTATATTATTAATTGGTCAGCTGTACCTCTTGTATCGCTTCTCGAGTCCAACATTGGCGACGATTCTCTCGATTTTGGTCCCTGCGAGGAATACAAATAATTTATCTATTCTATCCGACTTGTTTCGAGGTAGAAATGTAACTTGTACCTTCAGTCGCCTGGGCGGCGTAGGCGTGTACGCGCTCGAAGTTCCATTTTCCGCTATGCCGTTCAATTCGGGGAATAGTTTGGTCAGATCGTTCACTTGCTGAAGCAACATGTTAATATTTCGTAATTCGTTCTGTTCTTGCTTGGATTTCCTCATGATCGCGTCCTTGAGCTCCTCCCGTTCTTTTTCGTGTCGTTCCTTTTCCCGTCTCATCTTTTCGTTACTGGTCCTCAGCTTCGCGTGGGCGTCCCTCAATTCCAGCAGATCGCATTGTAACTGTAACAAACAAATATGTCTTTAATGGCCATACGTATCACGCGAAGACTGTTATCCGTCACCACTGATATTGTAGACCAAAGTGAGATGCATGAAGATGCTTGGAATATTATTATAAGTAGACCGCGGATTTTTATTAATAGAATTAATGAAACGGAAGCTTCGCAGAGGGCTGTCTCAACCCCTAAATATAATAATTCGTATCTTACTTTAAGTATTTCTTATATTTTTGCATATTAAATGCATCCTGTAGTTTTTTGAGGATTAAAATTTCCCATAAATGCATAAACATCCGCAGTCTAATTATAAGAAATTATAAATGTAATACGTTGAATGTATGATGAAATGGTGACTGATAGATCACGCACACGTGACAGTGGCCAACGTCTGCTAGCTCGCGAAGTCACGTATACGTGACAGCGGCCGTCAAAGTGTTAAAATGCTTGCAACAAAACTTGACAAGTTCCGATCCGTTCCCTGATTACCTCCAACAATTTCTTCTTGCTTTCCTCCTTCTCTTCGTCGTACACCTTCTTCAACTGGTCTTGCCGCCTCTTGGTCTCCAGACGCTCTTTGGAACGTTCCCTTTCAATCTACGATCGAAAATTCAAACACAGTTCAGTTTGTCCTATCCTTAAAAATACTCTGTACACGCACCTCGAACAGAGTCTGTCGCAAATCTCTGGCCAGCGTCGCTGTTTCTTGCAACAGTCTCTGATGTTCCTCCCTTTCCTTCTGCCACGCTAACTCCATGCGAACCTTCAGCCCCGGTATCTTCGTTCTCCCACTATTAAGCACTCGTTCCTCCTCCAACTATAGAAAATTCCGATCAACTAGCGTGAAGAAACAAATTCGTGGATCATTCTGATATATCACCTCGTTAATTCGCGATTGAAGTTCGGACACTTTAACGTGACTCGCTGATTTTTCAGAGACCAGTTCTGCCTTCAACCTGGACGCCTCCAGCCTAGTTTCTGAGAGCTCATCTTCCAGGTTGACGATCTGTCTTTCGAGAACCACCGCGCTGGTACCGGACACCTCTTCCTCCTGCATGGAACAATGAACTTTCATAGTCGATTTTTCCGTAAGCAAACTCATGAACGATACAAATGTTATTCCATTTTCTCGACTTATTTATCCATGTATATTTCCAAAGGACCAACCTCGTCGGATTTCGTAGAAGATGCGTTCGACGGTCTACCCCTGGAAGACTTCAATTCCGCGATAGTTTTCTGAGCGCCTTCCAACATGTGCTTGTACGTGTCGCGTTCGCGTTTGTACCTGGACAGCTGATTCTGAATAGCTTGGATCTCGTCGTTGATGGCCGTGATCCTGTGCTCGTATCGCATTTTGCACTGCGCCAGATCGGTTTTCTTCGACTTCTCCGTGTGCTCCAGAGTGTTCTTCAGCTTCCGTATCTCAGACTCAAGAGCTGTGGTGTCCGGTGTCAAAGCCTGATGGATCTTTGACACCGCCTCGTAATCCTTCAGCTTGTCCGAGAGATCGTCGTTCTATTAAATTTAGGATAAAGGTAGTAGGATAAAAAGACTATATCTGACCTAGAGCTAGCAAAAGTTAAGTCGTTGTCGTTAATTTGTCCTTTACACTTTAATGGCCGCTGATATTGTATACCAAAGTGAGATACATGAAGATGCTAGGCATATAAATGTAACAGTAGATCACGTATACGTGACAGCGGCCGTCAAAGTGTTAATAGAGTAAAAAGAACATTACCGCTTTTCTTATGTCCTCCAATCGCGTCACCAAGGTGTTGTTCTCCTTCTTCAAATTACTGATGTCATTGTTTAGGTCTGCTATTAAAGCTTTGTTTGGCAACTCGCTCTCTTTTATTCGATTCTAAAAAGTGTACATTTGTGTTGTTTACAATCAGAAAATTCTCTGGTTCGGAAAGGTTAATCATTGTTCGGTACTCACTTCTAAACTAGCTTTCTCCGACTTCCATTCGCTCTCCTTCATTTTGGTGGCTTGTCGCAGTGATTCCAGTTCTTTGCGAATACTAATAAGTTCCGTGTTTTGTTCCCGTAGTTTGCTGCAATATAATTGAACGTAACTTTAATTAAACAGTATTATTTTAAGTGTATCGTTTAAAAAATCGGATCCACAAACGCTATTAGTACTCGTATCTCGTATTAGTTACGTGAACACGGAAAAAGGGGAATATTTAATTAACTACAATTAATATCTGGTGATACTTAAACGAATATCTGTTTTGTAAAATAACACAAAATGATGTTACATGAATTTTTAGGGTCCAGTTAAAGCTAATGATTCGGATATCTGAATGTGGTGACTTTACAAGTAACTTACTAATTTTACCTACACGTTGCTTCTGTTTTCAATAAAAGTATTTGCTTTATACGATTGAAATTGCATCGAACGTCTGAGAAGATATGATTTATGTAAGCTTTATCAGCACGTACCTGTTGAGAGACTCGTTATCCGTTTCGAGCTGTTTCCTCAAATTACCGAGTTCGTTACACTTGTCGCTTAGATTGTCGAACTCCTGTTGCCCTCTCTTCAGCTCGTTCTCCAAGCCTGCAATATAAGACGCTGTTGTCTTATATAGAATCCCTCTGACATGAGTCTCGCTATCAGAGTGAAAGAACTCACTCAAAATCTTCTCGTTGTACGTTTGCCTTAACTCGTTCATACGTTTCGTGTTCAGACCGGTCTTCTCCAACGAACTGACTTTCTTCTTCAACATGGACACTTCGGTCTCCCTCGATTGTTTCTCCTGATCGATCTGAGACAGTAACTTATCCTTCTCTTTCTTCAGGCTCGTCACCTCCGACGTCAGATCATTCACTTTCGTAGTGTTCGTAGATTTAGTGTTTTCTAGCTCTTTCTTCAATTTTTTCACTTCCGCGTCCAGTTTGGTCTTCGTCTGCTCGACCTGCGCCGCAATAGAAATCAAATTTTCAAAACTGTTCGATAGCTCGTTCGTCGGCTTCCGATAAAGTCACTCACGGATGACATGGACTGTGTCATTTTGGTTTCCCGTTCCGTGTACGCCGACAAGTCGTCTTGCAATTTCTTGCATCTTTCTCGTTCCTGTGACAGTTCCCTCTTCAGCTCGTTTATCGTTTTCTCCATTTTCGCGCCTTCCTTCTCCGACGATTTGGCCGTTTCTGTAATTAAAGTTCAGTCTGATATACAGGGTGTTCGGCCACATATAGTAAAAATTTTAATGAGCGATAGTAGAGGCCAAAATAAGACGAAAATCAAGAATACCACTTAGTTGATGGAGGCTTCATTAAAAAGTTATTAACAATTAAATTCAAAAATTTCAAATCGATCTGGAAAAATTATTTTCGGTTGCGGGGGTCAATTACAATCATTTTTGGTCATTACACATACCCCCGAAATCCTACCCACTTTCTAGAAAAAAATTCGAGAAGGTTTGAAATTTTTCGACGGTAAAAAAAAATTTCAAATCGTTCTGGAAAAATTATTTTCGGTTGCGGGGGTCAATTACAATAATTTTTGGTCATTACACATACCCCCGAAACCCTACCCACTTTCTAGAAAAAAATTCGAGAAGGTTTGAAATTTTTTGACGGAAAAAAAAAAATTTCAAATCGTTTTGGAAAAATTATCTCCGGTTGTGGGGGTCAATTACAATCATTTTTTATGAATAGACATACCCCCGAAATCCTGCGCATTTTCGAGAAAAAAATTCAGTACTGGTGGAACTTTAAATATTAAGGGTTTCTATAATTACAAATCCTTTTTACCTAAATCTTTCTTCACTTGGACAACCTCGTTGTAGATCTTCAGCTTTTCCGCGGAAAGGGACAGCAGCTTCGACTTTAGCTTTTCCTTTTCCTCGAACAGCCCAGTTTTCTCTTCGTCCCATGCTTTTCTTTCGGCGTCCCTCATGGTCACGGCTTCATCTAGCTTTTTCTTTACTGAAACGTTCGAACAAAACATTATTTACGATAACACGTGTGCTCGATTCGTCCAAAATGTCACATACTGTTCTGCAGATCTGTATTCTTGTCGTCCGTCTTCGCGCTCGGCGATATTTTCTTTTTATCCTTCTCGTCCGACAACTCTTTTATCACGGCGTCTAGCTTTTCCTTGAGCAAGTCGTTCTCCTTCAATAGTTTATCGTATTTCGCGTATTCCTTGGTTTTTATCTCCTGAACGTTCGTATCTTTGCCGTCGGAAACGTTCGTGAAAACGGTCATCATATCGCCTAAAATAATTACACGATACAGTAAAGTCTTGGGTAATCATTTACTTCTGTTTCTGTAAGTAAATTTACGTATCATTAATCTAGAAAATACATCGATTGTATCAATGGCGTCTTATGTATTATTAATTAAACGGGACTTGTCGAACACGATCCTATCGTTTATCGAAAAGTACCAAAGATTAGTTCAAACATTCTCGCGCGTTTATTGGCAGTAAGGATCGAACCTATTTCCTTCTCCATTTCGTCCACCAGTTTCTTTAATTGCACTTTGGTCGTGAATTCGTTCGCCTTCTTTTGAGGCCTGTTTTGGAATTCGCTTTTAATCTTCTTCAACGTTTCGTCGACCTTTTTCACCTAAAAAATGCAACAGTTCTATCGTTTACTGTTCGTTGTTCAACCGATGTACCCCCTCGTCGTTTAACGGTCGATTTACCTCTTCGTACTTCTTCTCTATAGTTGTTTTTTCAGTCTCCAACTCCTCCACCTTTCGCTCGACCTTCCTCAGCTTGAACGATAAAATTCGACAATTTTTATTCGACTGTTCCAAACTTTTTCGCAGACGGACGTACTCGTCCGCTTGCTCATCCCTTAAGAATATGAAATATTCATAGATTACGCATTTACTTGGACCATCGTGAAACGATATAGCGCGTCGGAACAGGATAAAAGTAAACAATTGTCAAAATCGTGTTACTCTGGCGTTAATTTAAATTAGAAAAACCGCGTACTTTCGTTAAAGGGCCTTTCCACTTTGTGGGATTAAAAAAAAATTGAATTTTCTTTACGTTGTAATTTAGTATGTAGTCTCGAGAGTATATCTACCAAATATTGAATTGAAATTTGGAAAACTAACGAAGTTATAGCCCGCTGTAATGTACCACGTGCAGGTGTAACTGGACGTAAAACTCTAAGTTGCCTTTCTACTTTGTGGGATTAAAAAGAATTGAATTTTTTTGCGTTGTATTTTAGTATGTAGTCTCGAGAGTATATCTACCAAATATTAAATTGAAATTCGGAAAACTAACGAAGTTATAGCCCGTTGTAATGTACCACCGGTCACCGGTGACCCCCACGACGCTGTAGCCAACTCGAGTGCCGGTCACCGGTGACCCCCACGGCAGTAAACGTGTTAAAGTGTTAATAGCCCGCAAAAAAAAATCCAAAACAAGGTGAAATGGCCCCTTAAATTTAGACAAAAGAAATGGCACTTCCACGGAGAGAAACAAGATTACCTGAACGTGTCCTGCAATTCGTATATCTCTTCCTCCAATTGTCGTATCTCTTTCTTCATGTCTTCATTTTCATCCATCAAGTTCTCGCACAGATTTTCAGCCGCTTTCAATTTCGAACGAAGCTCGTCCTTTTCTCTGTCCCTTTCGCCCCTGAACGTCTTTATGTTCACTTCTTTCTCGAGTTCTCGTATCTTTGTCATTAGACTGGTCTTCTCTTGCGCGAGGGCTGATCAGGGATACGACAATTAATATCGTTGCTTCGTTTATCACGATCATTAAAGTTACTCTTTTTACCTTCGTTCTTTTTTTGTAACTTTTGCACATCGTTCGACGAGGCTTTGCTCGATATGGTTTCCATCGTTGCTAATCGTCTCATCAAGATCTCGCTCTTCTCCTTCTCGGTTTTCTCGCATCGCGCTTGCAATTCACTCAATTGCTTCTTCAATATATCCACCTCGCTCTGCTCGTAATAAATTGCAATATTATTCCTTCGGTTTTATTTCACCCTTGCATCTAGTTTCATATCTCATTTGGATAGTCAACCCTTCGAGCAAAGGATTAACAATAAACACTTGAAAATAATCAGATCCTAGATGATCAATATTCTTGTAACTACTCATGCTATTAACACCTAGTAATTCTCTAAAAATTGGTGCGTCGTAATAGTGAGAAACATACACACAAAGAAATAAATCAAACAGGGAAACATGAATATTAATTAGTGGATACAAAATCTAAAAATGTCATTTTTATTTACAATTTTTATTTTAAATTGATCATCTTTCAGGAACAGCAACCATCGTAAGTGTGATACGAGACTAACAACGATGAATGCAGAGCAGCAGCGGTTCGAGAAGTGTTATGTCAAAGGCGATTAGCAAGATTAACAGGTCGAAACAGAAACAGTTAGGAACGAAGTGCAGAATGCTGATATTGTTACTTTCTCAGTCGTTTCCCCGTCCATCCGGCGATCCTCATTTTGTACAGCGTTTTTCGGAGGACCAGACCGCGATTTCTTCACCTAAATATATCAGGTAAACGATTTACGTGATGCTCGCACATAAAATGATCGTGTTTCTTATATCGTTGATTCTTTTGTTTTTTTTATCGAGAGAAGCTCCTCAAAAGCAACGAAATCTACCGGGACGTCTCGAGGCGATACAATGGGAGTTGTGCTGTGGTCCTTCGAACTTTAATCTCGGTCCCGTGACAGTAAGCAAAGATGAGAAACAGAAGTACGATCGAAGAAGAAAGCATCAAGGAAGTGAAGCGTTTCGATGGCCACGGGTTTACCTGAATTATGAACTCGACGTCGTTTTCCGAATTTCTGTCGTTACTGTTGTCTATCACCTCCTTGATTTGCAATTTCGACGGTCTCCTGGCTGCGGGAACGTTGCAAATTAAATAACATTTAGGAGGGAATTAGTAAAATGTTTAAGGAACATTAAAAAGGTAAAATGTTTATTAATTGATATCGTAATATGTCTGTAGATTTATATAATTACATTCCAGTCTCTCTTCTTCTTTGTCGATGGCAGAAAGATCCATGAGCGACGTCCAACCGGCCGATGCATTCGACGTGGTGTTCGAATTGGCCTTGAAATCGTCCTTCGCCAAATTCGTCGCGGACGACCAAACCCTTCGTCCATTTTCCGAGGAGCTAACGATTGAAATTACGCCGCCAAAAATATAGATCACTCGTAGAAATTATATTATAGATCGTTTACCGGTTTGACGACTGATCGAAGGAGAGACTAGGCGAGGAAGATGTGATATCCCTCAAGCTATCCTTCTTGCCCCCGTGTTCCTTGTAATCCCTAAAAAGTATGGTTTCGTATCACATAATCGCTAGAAATTATTTTTAACATTCCTTTTTTCTTACAGGGGTAGCCAAACACCCTCTGTCAGTCAATGATTATGAAAGTTAAGTAAATCAATGAAATATAATAATTTTTTATTCCATATTATCGTAATGTTGATCGAATTTAATTTTTTCAGATTCCTGGCTAACAAATATACCTGAAGCATCGTTTGCAGCGGGTAGGCCACCGTACTTGGGGGTGGAAACCAAGGGGACAGAGAGGGTCTCCTTTCTTCGATGAATACATGTGGTGCATTCTGCGTATAAAACGAGGACAAGGTGATTATCGTATCCAAAATTGTGATTTATCGGGTCTGGAACATACATATAGTCGTAAACGCAACATTTTTGTTAGTCACGTTCAACGACGCGTTGCGTGTCGTTGGATGAAGGAGCTTAAAGACAGTGTCGGTTGAAATATTGCAACTTTTTAGCGAGAGATTCACGCCAAGACACGGATTAAATCTCGAGGGGTTAATCACGACGAAGATACACGGAGATCCTGAGAAATTCCGTACCACCATAAACGATACGTGGGGATTTTAAGCGGTCGACGATCGAAAATCTTGGCGAAAGATTTCCGACGTGTCGCATATCTCGAAAGAGTGTCACGTGCGTCGATATATCGGCCAGCCCTTCTCGATTTCTAAAAGCTAGAGACCCGAGGAACCTAGAAACGAAACCTTGAATTAATATGAGTGTACGTTTCGCAAGCAACGGGATGTTTTGGCTTTCTGTAAAACGCGAAATAGTTGGCGATGTGCATAAATGAAACTCGGTTCGAAGGTAAGATTATTATAATTAATTGAACTTTGGAAAGACTTCTGGGGTCTCGAGTGACCCCACGTGTCTCTGAATTATTTAAGTATTTTTTAACCGAGACAGTACTTCTTGTTACACTGAACTACAAATAGTTTAGCGATATTATACAGTGTAAACAGTTCAGTGGTTCGAGAAGCGGGGAAACAGTTTTGAGACATTTTAATGAATGGCTGGTGACGCACTAAGTAGCCTTTATAGACCATATTATATACATATATACATAAGAAAACAGGCAGCGAAAATAGATTATTACGCTTTTATGATTTCGAGAAACTCGGTGCAGTTCAAACCTCTCTAAGATTATTCTTAAGATACAATTATTAAAAATCTCTAGTTATGGTAGGGATGTACACCTTCGAGAGGGTGAAGTTGTTATTTACTCGAGCATTGGGTTGCCTCCTGCCAGGGGCGGTCAAGTTTTATCGCACGAAGAATAAAATGATAGTTAATTTATCTTGTAAACAAAACGTTTAAAAAAGTAAAAAGTAATAATCTGTTATTACAAAGATTTTTAATAATTGTACCTTGAATTCTTGAACGATATCTCGTCTGTGACTCTGACGGTGAGATCGGCGTTATCATAATTGCTTGAAATTCTCACCCTTGATCGGTGAACAAAATGGACGCGCGAAAATGACCGTAGCAAATCGGCTCGTAACTTATGCAATTCCTTATCGACCAGCGTGTACTTACTCGATCGATGTTAACCCAAATGCGGCGAGCGGTCACGGGTAAATTTGTCCCAAAAGGGGTCGTTAAGAATGATGGCATGCGGCGTTCGCGAACGCGTCTTCCATTCCGAGGAAACAGGGTGAACCCGCCGATCTCATATTAAACGAACTCAACGGACGAACGATCTACGTGCGTCGATCGATTCACACGCGCACAGTAAACGTGTAATACGCGTTTACAACGTTCCTTTGTCGATAATTCACAAAGTCGGGGCGGACCGTTTACATCTTTCGACGGTATAGATCCACGGGTACGGTTTCTTAAAAAATTCTTTTTTTCCTTCCTGTTGGCCGCGACGATCGCAACGTCGATAGACGTCACTAATAGCACTGACACGATGTTGCTATTACGGGGGTTAGGCCGTTACTCGAACTCGGGCCCGTACGTATGGTAATTTGGAGACTGGCCAGGGTGTATATTTATCTCTAGCTATAAATATAGTGCGCCTCCTTGCAAAGTATTTCGCATACACACGTGCGCGCACGCGGAGCTTAGGGCATCCTAGGAACTCTGTCTGCCATAGTCGGTCTAGCTCAGTGGTTCTTAATCTTTTTAACATCGTTTCTACCTCAATTCTATGCATACCTATTACTAGACACCTTTGCATCTGGATGAAAATATCAGCTAAAAGAAATATACTTTTCTGCATTATACGGGAGTCTACTGTAGCGTTCAAACGCATGGTACAGTTTCGAAGAAGATCTTTAATACTTTGAAGCTCGCGACATAAGTTGAAAAAGAAACCTTTGTCTTTATTTTATAATTGTAAGTGTTTTAAGGATTTGGTGTAGTTCGCCTGGAATATGGCAACCCGCCTAGCACCGGCGTACACGTAGAGAGCCAGGCAAAGAATAAAATGGCGGCCAAAACTACCGCAGCAAGGGTTATTCGCATCAGAGACACTCGATGTAGCCAGATTCTGCAACTTATCTGTAAATTTCATCGAAGATGAGGTATAAAATAGACCAATTGTTTAATTTCCTGTGTCTTTCGTAAGCTGTTGCGCAGGGGAGACTGATGATCCTAGCATCATAATAAATATCGTATAAAAAGTTCAATAATTTTTCAGAATATGATTTAGAATCGATAATGATGTATAGAGAGGGTAGACAAAATAATGGAAACAACTGAAGTGTATTATACTGTTTTATTAATATTGGGTTGAGCTAACCATCTGTCTTTAGTACAACTCTTAACCTTCTTAGAATAGATTCGTACAAGTTTTGAATAGATTCCAGTGGAATGTTATCCCATTCTTCTATCGAAACGTCTTCCAATTGCTTTAAAGATGTTGGAGAAGGGAATCTATTTTTCACTCTGTTTTCCAAAACTGCCAACGGCGGTTCGACGATATTTAAGTCAGGGGTCTGTGCTCGCCATTGTGCAGTGACAGTAATTGAACGACCCTATGTAATAATTGCTTCGAAATTATCTACGCTAGTATCACAATTACATATATGTAATTATTAACGCGTAACATTTGTTAAAAGTAGTCTACAATAGCATCAACTCGAACCTTGCATTGAAACAATATTGCATCTTATCAATTAATAAGCAACCGGTTCACCTACAATCATGGTCGTCAGCGTATTTAAGGTCTGTCTATCTAAACTCTAAACGTGGAGTCCTGAAGATTTGGTAATATTTGAGATTTTTATCAAGAAAAGACTGACCGACTGTAAACGGTAAACACAGTTATTCTAGGTTAAACTTTTTATTTAGTCTACAATTATTATTCCCAAATACGTCTCGAACACCTTGTATATTGACGTACGTTTAATAGAATAACTGCATGCTCGAGAAATAATTCGACATCTTCGCCAAATTTTGTTGCTCCTTCGTGCGTTAAAAAGAAAACTTACAGATATCGAGTTTATTTTAGTTCAGATGATAGAGGTGTATTTACATTTGCGTTAAATTTCAAGGCAATCGGCCTCTTGGTTACCGAGAAATCGGTGCCAACTGGCTTGAGAAATGTCATTTCTTGAAAAACGGCTTTCAAGTCTGGCGTACGCTGCGAGAATATACACAGAGTTTAGTTCAAAGTCCTATAACATTGCGATTTATTATTTAATTTACGACCTCACCGTGCCGACTATATCAACTTCAATTTATAAATCATCCACTGCAATACAAGCTTCGATCGTAAAAATTGTAGACTCTGTTTTTTTTAAAAAAAATCGGAACATAATTATTTTTACTGTTATCTCTGTAGATTATTAAAGCCAACTATATCGTGCTAACATTTTACTGATTATCATTACCAATGCACAGACAAATATTTACGAAGTTGCAGATACGTTTTTTTACTTCATTATCGAATATTTTTATCCAACGGTAAACAGTATTGAGTTCATGTGTAATATCATTTGCAAATATATCTTGTTATCCCTCCAAATATTTCAATTCAAATAAAAAGAATGAATGGCATGTATAAGTTTAATCGTTAAAATGTTTCATTTATGAGCATTACCATTACTTGGAGTCTCGGAAATTAACCTTTGTTATTTATGCAATTTGAACATCAACATCCGCGAGGGTAAACCGGTTTGAACGATTTCAATAATCGTTTTAGCGGGCAATGCTATTTTTAACAGGAAACATGACCACGAAATTAATCGATATCCAATATTTCAATCACGATTGGTCCTGTAAATTTAAAACAAAATAAAACATTAAAATTTATATCGACAGACGCGAGCAGTATTATTCGTTTAAAATAAAAACAAAATTTATGTTGATTTTTTGCGTTTCGTTTATTTCGTAATAAAAATAATCTGGAAAAGTATAAAAACCTACACCTTTCTTCTTATAAATATTGTATAAACATTTTCGTTGCACCCTGTTTCCAACTACTGTGCTATTAACAATTCAATAGTAAGTATTCCATCAGTGCATTGTAAAGTCATTTATAAAAGTGTGATACTCCGTAAGAATGCAAATAATGAAAAGTATTTCTTTCTTCTCTCTTCTTATAGAGTATTCCTAAAATGTAAACAAGATGTATAACAAATAATAATACATGTCCATCACTCTACGAGAAATGTTAATAAAATGATAATAACAATATGTTTATACTACACGCGTGATATAACAATGATATAAGTTCAACGGACCCATACTAATTAATATTCAACAAACGAGCCAGACCGAGATAAATTAATCCAGCTTAGAACCTAAACAAATTTTTAAGCCAATCTGGCTTAAAATCTATGAAATGACTAAAAATTAATCTCAGATTTAATTTAAATCAATTAACGATCGTTGGAAAGCTTCGGATACAATTGATCGTAATTGCATTTACGTAATTGCTAATTGCGATTACTTATCGTTTGATTTATCGTGCTACTTTTATGCATTTAATGTGCATATACATATTTACGGGCAATTTTCATTTAATCATGAATATTCTATCAAGAGGACGGTCTAGTTTGAAAATAAACATATTCTTACACGCCAAACGAGAAATGACGTTTTTCAAGCCAGTTGAAAACCATATTTTTAGGGTTCCAAACTAAATAAAGCCCTCAAGAACACTGACCTGAAGTGTTTCAAAACAATTTACACGCGTTACGCGACTTTTTGTACTGATATTCCCTTACTACCGATAGCGACTTCTATAAGCAACAGTAATTTCATTATTTATAAAAATAAAATTTTATGTTAATATATTAACTATTATAGTTTCATATCTCATATAAAAATTCATTAATTATATAGCTTCATATCTCATATAAAAAGTCATAAACTTCCTACTTTTTTGCTATATCGCTACTACAGCAATGTTATACAATAGGAATGAAAACGAATATAATTCCAGGTTCAAGTATCTTGATATCGATTTTTATATCGTAATTGCACGATTATGCAATGTACTATTCTACTGTCTCAATATTTTAATCCCGTGAAACTTCTTTTTATCGTTATCGATATCGTATTTACATCAATTGTATTATCAGTGAACAATATTTTCTAAAAGCAAAATTTCAGTATCTATAATTTAGAACGAAGAAGTTCAATTTTTTTAGCAGCGCGTTTTTGTAAATCGATCAGCTTCATTGCCATCCCCATATTACCCTGAATCTTAATCTTTCCTTGGAAGAAAGCTTTCTGTGGGTTCAGTTTTCCAGATATAAAATCAACGATATCTGCATCGTTAATCGTGATTGTAACATCGGGTTTGGTCTTTCCGTAATATTCAATTTTTCCTTTTCCTACTTTAGCATCTATGACCCAAAAGCCTTCCGCGCCACCCGGCCCGTTTATTACTTTAAATCCGTATACGCCGCGAACTTTATTTATCAGATCTTCTTCGTCTTCTTCCATTGCGCTTTCTAATATTTTGAACAACGGGTATGCTTTGAAAATACTCGGATCGGCAGTTCCGTTCACGTTCTTTTGAAGCACGCTTCGCTCGGGGAAGCCCAAACGATACAGAGCAACTACAACTGCTCCCCCTAAGCCTATATTATGTTGTAGCGCGAGTTTCGCTTTCGGGACTTGTCTTTTACCAGCTTGACCTCGAAGCTGCCAACAGAGTTCAGCACATTGTGCCAATCCTGTTGCTCCCAAAGGGTGTCCTTTCGAGATCAAACCACCGCTCGGGTTTACTACATATTTTCCCCCGTATGTATTGTCACCCGCGTCAACTAATTTCCCGCCTTGACCGGGCAAACAGAGACCCAAAGCTTCGTACGTAATGAGTTCGTTAGTTGAGAAACAATCGTGCAATTCTATAACATTCACGTCGGTTGGTTTGTAAGATGTCTGCGTGAATAGTTTCTCAGCAGCGTTCTTTGTCATGTCATAGCTGTAACATAACGCGACTAGTTTTAACTCGAAAAGATAAAAATTTATTGAGATAGAGCATTATTTGTAATCTGCCTAAAAATGTGCTCTTACCCAATAAGTTTAATAGCACTCCTCTCTGAAAATGTTGAAGGCAGATCTGTAGACATTTCCATTCCTACAATTTCTACTGCTTGTGACTCAAGATTGTGTTTACGAACAAAATCTTCGTTAACAACAATCACAGCAGCAGAGCCATCAGATGTTGGGCAGCACTGTAGCTTAGTAAGTGGCCCAAACACCTTTGGAGATTTCAATATCTGTTCTAAGCTGTATCTCTCTTGGAATTGAGAATAAGGGTTGTTTGTGGAATTTAAATGATTCTTATAGGCAATCTTTGCAAAGTGTTCTGGCCTTGTACCATATTTCTTCATGTGTTCAAGTCCAGCATTTCCAAACAGCTGGGCAGTAACTGGACTTGCATCTATGCCTGAAATCAAAGATGAGAAAAACATTGATAATGATAAGTTGCCCTTTAAATTTCAAGAATTAGTTTTCTGTTTAAATATATTGTTGCATTATTTACCAGCAATTTCTGCCATAATTTCCACATGTTTGTCCATGGGATTTGTACGGTCCATAAATTTAGACATTAAAGAGCCCTTTTCCATTCTCTCAAAGCCAAGGGCCAATGCACAATCGACAGAACCGCCTTCTATTAGTTGCTTAGCCATGAGCAAAGCGGTTGAACCGGTCGAACAATTGTTATTTACATTGTATATAGGGCAACCAGTGAGACCAACTTGATATAATGCCCTTTGGCCGCAGGTGGAGTCCCCATAAACATATCCAACGCACGCAGCTTTAATTGTATTGTAGGAAATACGTGCGTCTTGTAAAGCCTTTGTAACAGCTTCTTTTGCCATGTCCGGATAATCGAAGTCATCTCGTTTCCCTGGTTTCTCGAATTTTGTCATACCGACACCAATAACGTAAACTTTCGTTTTCGGTGACATCTTGAGTCCTCTTTAAGCGAAACACTGAGAAATCGAAATCCGTACGAAACGCTCGCGATGTTAACGCCCGTGCTGCAGTTTCACTAATTAACGTGACGCGCGGTAACTTATTAATAAATAACGCAAATAAAGTTGAACTTTAATCCCTCATGTACATATCTAATCGCAAAAAAATAAAATAAAATCACTGAATGACGAGGCTACTTTATAGTAACTACATTCGACCACGCTAAACAGATGAACATGAACGCTTTCAAAGAGATCGGAGACTCAAATGGAAAATCGACATTGTTGGGTAAATTGTCCATGAATTTTCTTCTGGAGATGTCGCTTCCAGTACATATTCAGTAATTTCTTTCGGTAAATATGTCCATTGTTAAATGAAGTTCATAAATATGATAGTTTTAAACTAATAAAAGTGTTATTTCTAGACGAGTCTTTTTGCCTTTGTCAGAAATCATTTTGTTCGGTATAAAATGCAAAACTACGTGTTCCCATTTCTATTTCTCATATTGTTAGAAAAGATTTAAAATTGTAAAATAGAGTTTATTGAAAGAACAAAACAAAAGATGGTACTTTTTTCTTTTTTACGATTGTAATATCTTCGAGATGGCTTTTACATAAACCTATTCCATCGTAAGCAAAAAATGCAATAATATTTTCTATTTTTTATTATTCCTAAACATTTACAACTCTTTGTTCAAAAGTTTAGGGGCATATTCGGCTAATGTTGTACCTATGGTCTTCATAGGTATAGAACTACCATCCTATAGCAATTTTATTAAAATCAGTGAATGCTGCTATTAATCATCCCCTCGTAAGATTTTAACCCTTTATAACCCAAACTATGTTTGGTTTTTTAAATAAACGATAAGAGGACGTCGCTAAACATTGATATTCGGAGACAAATTGAAATGTTCTAATAAACATAGCTTTTCCATCGTTACCCTGGTGTAAGAAATTGTAACTATCAATTGTTGTAAACAGATTTTTTATTGTCCATATTATCTTTTAAAACGAAAAGATACATTGATAGTAGGTTTAACTTGTAACTTCGTTTAATATAAAAATTATATGTATCTTTATTTTCCTATTGAGGGCTCGTGAATTTCCAGGGGTTTGTAGCCCGCAGTTTGAGAATCACTGTACTAGGAAATCGCGCCGGCCATTGCGCGCTCGTGTTTTGGTTCCGAAAAGATGGCGGACTCTTGTTTTCAAGATCGGTCATATAGAAATACGATAGTTTTGAAATGCACTGTGAAAGTTGACATGCCGTACGTGTGATAGCGTCGAGTGCATGAAAGTATCGTTACGACGGATTAATTTGCCGAATTGGGGAAGTTTCCTCGTGCGTTGTAACTGACGCGAAAGCGGTGTCTTGAGCGTGCGGAATACACGGACTCCGATTCCAGTGGTTTACAAAGATTTCTGTTGTTTTCTGTGCGAAACACCGCCCGGGGGGCTGGAAAACGATACCGTGACTCGGGTAATAAAATGGCCCGACTCCCGATGAATGTTTACGATGTTTGATGCCCCGATGACCGATGCAGTAGGAACACTTATTTGGTTAGGTTGATTGGCTAGGTAGACGTTATACCTATGATACCCGAACAGCGTTCCACGTGTTCCTCTCGGTGGTTCACGTTAAAGCGTGATATCGAATCGAGTTTGTAAATTGTTTATTAAATGTATCGTGCTAATCCATAATGGCTACAAGTGACTTTGATGTGGAGCTCTTTGAGCGAAGACTTCACACGCTGAAGGATTCACAGGAGTCGATACAAGGTCTTTCGGCTTGGTGTCTGGAAAGGCGGCAACATCATAAAAAGATTGTCGCTACTTGGCTACAAGTGCTGAAAAAGGGTGAGTCTTTGTCTCTTCGCTTTGGAGCAAAACAAATTTTAAAGTTTTGGTAGCTGTTTTGTTTTATTGTTTATATAGAGTCCTCATGGTGTCTCTATTAAAGGTTTTACTTGTACAAAGAATTTTGTTTATGGCAATTACTGAGAAATGTTATAATCAATGGACTATTTAATTCAGAATTAATTGCAACTCCAAAATTAATAAATTGCAATTGGTTTAATATATTGACAATGGCAGCATAATGCATTACTTTTATCTTATGGAGAAAAGGCAGTAGATCTCTTTTATATAAAGAAATGATTATTTTATCTTTAATAACCATTTATAGAATTATATTGAAATAGCCTGGCTATTGGACTGTTTGTTTTGAATGCATTAATATTTTAATATTTAAGTATTATTACTATTCTGAAGATACTTATTCATAATTATGTTTTTTATTACTTTAACATTGTAATATATGTTGCAAATGTTTTTTGAATAACAGTAAAAGTTGAGCATCGTCTCACACTTTTTTACCTGGCAAACGATGTTATCCAATACTCGAAAAGAAAAAACTTTGAGTTTGTGGAGTCATGGGGCACCACTCTACAACGTGCAACGACTATGGTCAGAGACGAAAAAGTGAAACATCGTATACTGAGGATTTTCAAAATATGGGATCAGAGACAAGTATACGACGAGGAGTTCCTTGCGGATTTGTCTGGGTTAATCTCGGCAGCTCCGAAAAAGAAACTAGATCCTCAACCGATGGCACCTCCAGAGGAATTTCAAGCCGCCCTGCTTATCTCTACGATGAGATCTTGTGCGACGTTGGAACAAGCAACGGACGCACGACTGCGAGATCTGCGGGAAAGCAATATCGACGTGGAAAATGCGGAAGAATTGTGTGCTTCTTTGAAAGATCGCAGGAGAGTGGAAGATGCAGAGAAAGAAGTTGACTCTGCAGTGAGAAACGTTGAAAATTATGTTCGCGCATTAGAAGCGGAAATCAGAGAAAGGACACAAGTTCTTGAACTGTTAGAACAGGCTGATCAGTTTTATGAAACCCAGAGAGGAGAAGTGAAAATAGTTACTAACGTAAGTATACTTAAAGGAAATCGCAAATACTCTTAATTGTAATTCCCATTATGGTTTAATGTTTAATGCTGTCTGTAAACAGGCGTACAGGAATTTCGGGAGTCGAGTAAAAAACTTAAAAAAGAAATTGGACGAACTTCTACCTACGTTGATTTCTCCAATTCCGTCGCCGGATATAAACGCTCCATCTCCGAGTCCTGATAGCGACATAGAACTTCCAGGAGATGAGGATCAGCCTCAAAGTCAGTTAGGAATCATAGATGTAGCACCACCATCGATGTATGGATCATATTCGCACGAGTATGATCCTGTACCAGTACCAGCACCAGAATTGGGTCAAGGCAATGATTCTGGTGATTTTACTAATAATTTTTCGTCCTTTATAGGAGGAAATATGGATTTTGGTAGTATGGTAAGATATCATAATTCGATAAATGTATCGCTTTCGGTAAATATTGTTGTCACATTTTCTTCTTATTATAGAGAAATTTATTTAACGAAAGATCATCGACGCCTACTGGAATGTCGCAACAATATAACGATTCTTTAGAGGTATATTTAATTAAGATGTGCATTTATTATGTATCAAGACATTATAAAAATTTTACATACATTTTGGCAGGCTAAACCAATAGAAGTAATCAACTTGAGGCCCTCCAAGAACGAAAGTAGTAATGCAGATTTTAATATCTCTAGCTTTTTAAAGACTGTTCTTCCTTCTTCTGACGGATCCCAAGACCCCGGTGGAATACCGGGTCTTGGACTAGATATCTCCGACGCGCAAGTGGAATCACCACAGCGTTCGAGTTATAGACATTCGCCTATATTAGGACAGCATCCGGTAACCCCTGTGATCTCAAGAATGATGAGTAATCAGAGTACGACATTGGGTGTAAATAATTGCCAGTTAAGTCACAGTACTCCACTACCTGTAAGGAACTTGTCCGGCGAGTCACATACCCCTTCCCCCTACTCCAGTCAAAACAGTCAGAGTAATATTACCGGCCCTTTCGACGGCCCTACCACTAACAATACCGTTAATCCCTTACCACCTCCCCCGTTACCTCCGCCTATATTTCTTGACGATGAAAATTGTTATAACAAGTTGCCACCTAAATTCCCCACGTGGACTCCTCCGAGCGAAAGTATCAAGGAACCGGCCAAGTGGGAAGAAAAGGGTATGAGCTTAGTCAGCAATGCGAATTACGACGGTTTGACTTTAAAGTAATAAATGCTTTTTAACGTAGCGGGTTTCGCTATATCTTCAGGCAAAAATAGTATGAACCCAACCTGGCCTGGTGAGTGTGATGATAAGACGAAGACGTGGATGGACGGGGATTCGGATAGGTGGGACCCCAGTAACGAGACCACGTGGGTAAACACTGGTAGAGGAAAAAATGAAATTTTATCTGAAACGCCAGAATCGCCCCCTATGTACGAAAAAGCTGGATTTACAGATCCGGTAGAGTACGACGATCCTCAACCGCAAGAATCTCTCCTAAGTACTACTGGCGACGTGGATCATAGGTAATGAACCAAATACTTAGAGCAATCGGCAAAACCAAACATATGTAATCGAGCGTAAGTGAAATTGAGTTTGTGCACGTGTCGCTAAATATTATTTTTCAGAGTAATACCAATCCCGATGAACGTGGAAAATCAATTGCCGTACCGGCTGATAAAAGCAGCGGACGTCGATCATCGTAATCTGATCAGCTTGACAGGAAGTCCGGCGAATCACAACGTCAGCGAGAGCTCTATGAACACGATACCCAATAGTAGTAGTCTGTGGTCGACGGGCGATCAGGATTACCGGTAAGACACCAAACTACCGATAATCGTTGCAGTACATTTAAGTAATTGTAAATAACAGTTTTACATTACGACCGTTCGCGATGTAAAATCAGGCAACACATGCAGCCTGGCGACATCGTGGAAAGCGTCGATATGGAGATGTCGGACGACGAGACCGACAGTAAACCAAAGGGAAGGGTATTGGTCGACGTGAGGTCCCAGGACAGGGACATGAGAGTCGGTAATCCGTCAGCGTCGTCACAGCACATGGACATGGACATGCGTATGATCCCTCTCCCCTCCGGGCAAATGCCCGGCTCTCACGGTCAAATGATGCAAGACGTGCGAATGATGCATTCGGGGCCCCCGCCACCTCCGCCCCCGCCTCCACAGTTTCATCCGGGTCAACCGTCGTTTCATCAGGACCAAGCGGACTTTCGTCACAACCCGTCCGGGGATTTTCATCCGTCCCAGTCGAATTTCCACCAGAACAGGCCGCCGCCCAGCTTCCTGCAGAATCAGGACTTCGGTCAGCAGGAGTTCCACCCAATGCACCAGAACCAGCCGGACTTTCCGCAACAGGACTTCGAGTACCGCGACAATCATAATCTAAGATCGAGTCAGGAATTCCTCGGCGAGCCGCAGATGCGTGGCAGGTACTCGCAGCCCTCGGAGCATCAGCATCGAGACATGGCCTTCCATCGGAACGAGAGAGGTGGCCGCGGTGGCCGGGGTTTCCCAAGGAATCGACGGGACCGGTATTCCGACGAGCACAACAAACAGAGGAGCTTGCAGAACAGTCGGAAACAACGGTCGCAGGATCATCACAGGTCCTCGCCCGAGATCTTGCCCAACAGTCGACCGCTGTTGTTACAGCCGCCGGACACGGTGGTCATTCTCGACGAGGAGGGTATGCCGATAGGACTCCCGGACGACAAGGACAGTCCAGCGAACGTGGAGCTTGTGCCGGAAGCGGATCAGGAAGAAATCGTGCAAACCCTATCGTCTCTGGATCGTAGATCGTCCCACGGTACGCCTAACTCCCGCGACCTGGACCAGCCCGTCTACCCAGGCGGGTCGAATCTCATTCACGAACACGAACTGCCCTCCGTGGAGCCCGACGACCTGCCGCCGAGTCAGACGGTGACGATCGTGCCCGTGATAACGGATCCCAAGGACCCCCAGCACGCTCAGTACGTACCGATATCGGAATACGAGGAGCACGTGCAGTCGGAACCGCTGGCGTCGGAGAAGACCTGCGACATCGGCGAGTCGCTCGAGACCCTCGGCCAGGAAGCGAGTTTCGTCGAGCAGCTACCCACGGAGCAAATGGACGATCCGTCGAGCAACGATCTCAAGAGACCGTCGACGAACGGCAGCTTCGACGAGCAGAACGACGTCGCGAACTGCAAGAAGCGAATGCTGGCGAACGGACCCCAGACGCCGACCAGCATCGACGCGGGCGTCAACGGGCCGATTCCTCAAGTGTCCGCGGACGCTCACTCGGGGATTTACGATTTCGAGGGGCCCGTGGGGCCCAATTTCCGACCACGCATCGGCGGTCCCGTTCCGTTTCCCCCGTGGAGAGGCGGCCCGCCGCGCGGCAGGGGCTTCAGGGGCGGACCCAGAGCGCCCTGGATGGACAGAGGGCCTCGTGGCCCAGCGATCGGCAGTTTCATGCCCAGGGGCCTGAAACGTGGCGGACAGTTCAGGGGCAACGGTTTCAGGGGCCGGGGACGCGGTAACAATTGGTAAAGAGAGGACGCCAAACCGCGACAAAACGTGCGCCCTCGTTGCAATTCGTACGAAGAGAAGTGACCCGCGCCGCTTTCGACGACCGTTTTCTACGTTGTATCATCGGGAAGCGACACGGTTGGTCGTGACGTAACCGGCCGCGCGAGCGCCGCCATTGGAAAAAATGAATCCTCGTGTGTGCGCGAGGCAGACGAGCACGAGACTGTTTGTGCGTTATTTTCGAGTGACAAGAGCCAATGCAAGACTTTATTTTATACGCTGTGTTTGTCGTTTTCGAACCCACTGGTCGTATTAGGGTAATCAATTAGTCATATAAATATAGGATTCTCATATTTTGATAAGAGGTAAACGCGACGACAAGTGTAAGATCAAAGTATCCATATCGTTTCATTTTACGAATCGTGCGTATTGGTCACCGATCAACCATTTCGCGATGCTTGGTCTTCCGCGCATCTACCTTGCGCATGCACGTCGTTCGAACGAAAGATCACCTTTTTTTTTACTGGCGGCGCTCGTGCGCCCTAACGTTACGAGGAACTTTTTTTTATCACCCGGTGTACATACGACAGCTCGTATCGTCGAGCTTGGGACATTATGCGTGTTATCTCTTCGCCTGGAGGAAAGGGGGAAGTGATCCCAGATTGCGAGATCTCCTCGCGCGGAGGATTTACGTTTCTGTGCGATCGTTTCGCCTATATACATATATAAATAAACTATATAAATATATAGATATAAAAAGGTATCACACGTACACACTCACGGAGAGCTCGAACTCACACATACTGCACGGATCTTCGAAGATTGCCCCCGAACGATTTTCGTCCATTGAAAAAAATTATGTTTTCTTACGACGGTGCCGGTAATTCCTTGTTCAAAGTGAGAATTTAAGCAGGAGATTATTCAAAGGCTTTTATATTTCTCATTGTATCGCCGTGAGAGTATTATCAATGAATAGATGAGTAACAATAGTTTCGAAATAGCGCTAATGATATCGTGTTTGGTCTAATTTTCACGGGGAAAATCTCATCGATCTATCGATAATACTTTCGTAAAGATATACTGAAAAATATAAAAGTTATAAAAGCTGAGCAAGGAAGAGCTGCAACGCTTTTAATCTTTTGGCCGCGCGATACGAAATAATAATTTCGAATGATACTGTTCGTCGAGTTTGAATCTTCGTTCAGGGACAATCGCTGCAGCTCCCGGTATACATGTATGTACAACGTTTGTTAAGATCTGGATCGCATTATCGAAGCGACGCGCGTCGGTTCGGTGATCGAGAATTTACCTTCTAGGATTGTACGTAAGGCAACGAAACGTCTGTTTCCGCGCGTACGCGCGAACGAACGCAAGCAGATTGTATTTATGAACAGATTCTCTCCGTCGATTCTCATTTCGTCTTCGCTTGCCTCTACGCGAGGGGTTCGGTCCACGAAACAGGCGTATCAATGAACCTTCAAAGCTGTATTAATAAAAATGCAATGTTTATGTTCTGGTCCACTTCGTACATTTCCCTTGAATTATTTTTCTTTTTCTCGAGGCCGCAACGTGGAAATTCTTGTCAATCGGTCGCGCGAGATCGAGGAAAATCACGAGAACGGGCGACGAGGACTGGGACCGCGACGCGCGACGTGCTCGTATCTCGTTCGCGTTTTCGTTTCGTTTACGTCATTTTATACACAACGATTTTCCGTACGATCTCGCTCGCGTCGAGAAACCACGAAACCGAAACCTATGTATACGTTCGCGTATGTGTAACACGACAATCTCCGGACGGAAATACTTTATCCTTTTATCGCTTAAGACGATCCTGTACCTTTGTTGGCGATTAATCGTTAGACGGTAGAATTGTAAGTTCGGCAAGCAAACGAATCGTTGTCGGAACGTCTCGCGTGGACAACGCTGGCAAAGCGCACAGGAAACAATGTGTAGCAAGACGGAAAATCCTTGGAAAAAAAAACAATCGTTTAATAAAACATTGCAAATTTACCGAGGATCCTTGCCGGCACTCGTTCGACGAAACCGTGATCCCCGCATTACGTACACTGTATTTCTTTCGAACCCCCCTTGTTCGTTTCACCCCCCTTTAAAGCATTCCGAGCCGAGCACGTTTCATTTCGTCCGCCGTGTTTTGCGACGCGGAGGAACCGAAGCGTCTCGGTGATTCAGTTTCGTTCGCAGATCCGTGGCCGTGGTCGTGAATATCGTGTTTCCATAGATCCATAGCCTCTTTCGTTTCTTGCATCGTCCGGTTAGTTCGCGCGTTTCGCTCGCCGTTGCGGTACCTGAACATACATTTAAGATTTCTTTTCTTTTTTATTCACGGTCTGCGAGTATTTATAGATTTAACGATTCACGGTTACCCGGGTCTACGAATGCTGTGTTCTCGAATAAATTCCTTCGAACGACCACGACGCTTCGATCTACGCGTGTCGGGGATCACTGTGGATCTCTGAAATTCTCACGTGATCTGCCTACGCGCCGTAGCGTTTCCCTCGTCGCAGGAAATATGGATTTTGGTTCTTCGTTTCTTTTTTTTTTTATTTCGCAACGATCTCGTTTGATTTTTTTTTCTTTTATAAATATGTCTTCGTCGGAAGTTTGTTGAAAAATTGAAGAGTTTATAACGGTCGACGAGTACCTTTTACCAGTTATTTTGGTTCGACTCGTTTTTTCATTTATGAATAATAAGTTTGTTTGCACGGCGATCGATAGTCTCGTCCGTCGTTTCATCCTCGAATGCTTTAAAGGGCATATCCGTGCGGATTTCAAAGAATGTAGACCGCTTATCGATTCGCATGTACCCACGCGCGACAGACACGTAATACTTGTAACACGAGCACGAGTATGCGAGCAACACAGAATGTATAAATACATATTGTACAGTTTTTAGCGTTATCATTACCTTTTTCTTTGTACAATGAGAGGGACAAAATGGCGAATCGATCCCCCCCGTCGACGTCCTCTTATTATCCGTTGCTTTCTCTCTATCTACACTTCTCTTTTCAAATTTTCAAATTTCTTGTAATAAAATTACCCGAGAGGAAATACGTTTGAATAAAATATACTCGCGTGCAAATGTGTTCTGTTTGACGTTAAATGGAGTAGATTGTGCGTTCGGCCATGAAATTCGCAATTATCCATCCCTTGTGATCTTCACAGATATCACAGCATCCGTGCTGCACGGAGGCGCAGTTTATTTATTTAATGAACGTCTTCGATTCAATTAATTTTCTGTACAAAAATGTTAATATCTAAAGACACGTATATATAAATCTAGGACAATACGCAGTTTTATTATTATTAGTTGTATTTTTTATTTATTATTAATAGAAACGTGTATATAAATTTAAAAACACGCAATTAGATAATTGTGTGCTCTCGCTATATTTATATACATATAGTTCTCTATTTGTTAGGTATTAACAACATTTCTGTACCGAAGGAGGCCTTGATTGAAGGCCAAAAATGTTTATTAAATAAATGGACTATGCTGAAATATTTTTCTCTCAATATAACGGGCAAATTATATAACTGATTACAATTTGCGATCTTCCCCGAGCAATTTCTCCGAATTGATTTTACAGATCGTGTTCAATTGCTTGTTCATTTTATTTCTCATCGATATCGATTTTAATTGGCTCTCATCGAGACTGACATCGAAGAACGCGACGGTAAATGATCGTACACGTGAAATTACAACGACGAATGTGGACGTATGGTTGAAAAACATATTGTACTCGTTAAGAGTATCGTGCACAGTGTTTTTGCTCGGGCGTTCGATCGACGCCTTCTGTTTAGCGTCGAAGAGGGGGATCTGCGAAATTGCGAATTCATTGCCCGGCACTCTTTACTTCGCGAAGCTGCGTGTGGTCGTATCGATTTTGGCGACGAAGCCACGCGATACACAATGTGCGTGATTTAAGCGGCTACCCGTTCGCGCGGGTGGACCTTCGTGCTCCTCGTGCACGATAACAACGATATTGTTCAACCGTCGAGAATTTATTAACTCCTTCGTGCCACGCGCCTAAATGCATAACGTCATTTCCTTCTTCCTTTATTCATACACGTCAAAGATTTTTTCAAACTATAAGGTGTTCGGTCAACCCTCGGAAAAATTTTAATGGGGGATTCTAGAGGCCAAAATAAGACGAAAATTAAGAATACCAATTTCTTGATGGGGGCTTTGTTAAAAAGTTATTAAAGTTTAAAGTTCCGCAAGTACGGAATTTTTTTCTCGAAAATGCGCAGGATTTTTGGGGTATGCGTATTCACCAAAAATGATTGTAATCGACCCCCGCAACCGAGAATAATTTTTTTAGAATGATTTGAAATTTTTTTTTTCCGTCGAAAAATGTCACACCTTCTCGAATTTTTTTCTCGAAAGTGCGTAAGATTTCGGGGATATGTGTCATGACCAAAAATGATTGTAATTGACCCCCGCAACCGAAAATAATTTTTCCAGAACGATTTTAAAGTTTCTAATTTTTTCGAAAATCTCAGCACCTGTTCTAATTTTTTTCTCGAAAGTGCGTAGGAATTCGGGGGTATGTCTATCCACCAAAAATGATTGTAATTGACCCCCGCAACCGAAAATAATTTTTCCAGAACGATTATAAAGTTTCTAATTTTTTCGAAAATCTCAGCACCTATTCCAATTTTTTTCTCGAAAGTGCGTAGGAATTCGGGGGTATGTCTATTCACAAAAAATGATTTTAATCGACCCCCGCGAGCGAAAATAATTTTTTTAGAACGATTTGAAAAATTTTATTTTCGCCCAAAAATTTCAACACCTATCTAATTTTTTTTCTCGAAAGTGGACAGGATTTCGGAGGTATATGTGTTCACCAAAAATGATTATAATCGACCCCCGCAACCGAAAATAATTTTTCCAGAACGATTATGAAAATTTAAATTTAATTGTTAATAACTTTTTAAGGAAGCCTCCATCAACAAATTGGTATTCTTGATTTTCGTCTTATTTTGGCCTCTATAATCCACCATTAAAATTTTTCCCAGGTCGAACACCCTGTAGAACACTATTTCTACCGCGAATTCTATTATTTTTAAGTTCACGGTATCCGGGGGAAAAAATGATCGAATTTGGAAAATAATTTCAAAATTAATGTTTTAAAAGGTAGAAATAGTATTGGAGAATAATCTGTAGAAGAATTTAAATTGCAATAACGATGTGAATGGTGGACACGAAGGGGTTAAAGATGGAGACAGAGAGGGGAGCGGTGAAACGGTACAGAGAAATATTTGTCCGGCCAGGCGGACGTGTATAATACTCTCGAGCGTTCTTTGTGAGCTAATGTGCAATTTGCGGCGCGATACAAGCGACTCGAACGGCGCTCGCGAGACAATTTTTTATACCCCCGATAGCCCCGTTTAAGCGCAACCCGACGCGGTGTTATTTAATTTTGTAATTTATATTACCGCGCGCCGTTTCGTTGGACGTTTACGCGGAAGCTCTAGTTTAATCTTTCGTCGCTGTTTATCCGGATGCGTCGTTTAAACGTATGCGTGGACGATGGATGTGGCGGAGAGAAGTGCCTTCACGACGAAAGAAATTTTATTTCGTTGCGCCGAAGTTATTGTCGCGGAGCAATTTTTCTAGCACCCCTTCCCTCCTTGCGAAATTAAAATTCCACACACTCTCCAGCGATCGAGTAGTTTGTAACACTTTGGAACTTCTAAGTTCGAACGTCCTGTCTTGTTCCATTGGCGAAGCAATAATTTTCCTGTACCGTTAGAGCAGTGTTTCTCAAACTGAGGCGTTGCCGGTGATTCGTAAGCTCTAAAAAGAAAGAAATTATATTTATTTGAATAAAAAGAAATGATAAAAATGTTTCCATAGTTGGGAAAAGAAAAAATTATTCTGGGAAGACGGTTTGAGAAACACTGAGTCGAAGATCCACGTTGACCCGGAAGAGAAACGGAGAAGGAATATCGACAGACGGGCACGCGACGAAAAAAAAAAAAACGAGAGTTTCTTTGTAGTTTTTATCGTAGTGTACGGGAACTTCCGATACGGTGCGTAGAGGCAATCGATCTGAAGTTCTATTAATACGCCAGACTCGATTATCCCGGACGATAATCTCGCAAAGTAGGCTATTATTTAATTATTTAATAATAGATCGCCAATGAGTTTTATATTTCCACGTAAAACCGATTCTGCATACCGTGTATGCTGATTATATATTTTGTACGTTGCACGACGAAAAGAACAAGAAACTATGTTGATTTGTGATCGTGAAACGATCGCGAAGTTTAGCTCTGCGTTTCGCGGGATCGACTGTTTTCTTGTTGTTGAATTCGCGCGAGAATAAACTGTGTAATTTAATGGCTGTACAGGAATATATAAATATAATGTATATATTATATGTTATATTTATATGCGTGTATATATGTATATGTTTGACACGAGTACATAGATACTTAAAAGATGCGAAGTTCGATGAAATATATATATATATATATATATACATATATTTGTATCGTAATTTAAGATCGTTAATTGTCTTTGTCTTAAGGCACAATACACTGAAGAAAGAATTAAATCTGTGCGTTACGATTTTATTATTGTGCGTCATGTTACGTTTTATTGTTAAAAAAAATATAAACGCATCGCTGCGATGCCTTGGTGTAAACATTTCAGCCTGAAGGCCTCACAGGTATACCTTTCACCCTTTAGCTGGCAAGCGCTTCTTAAGCAGCACTTCCGGTCGCCGCGCCTCTGTTATGTAATTGAAGGGATTAAATGCAAAGGGGATGCAAGCCACGCTTTGCTAAACAGTTTCATGCTCAAACGTCTCTCGGTGCTAAACAATTCATTGTCCAGAATCACTAGACACGCTATGTTTTAATAATCGATGAATACAAATAATAGATTGTGCGCTCGCTGTGTATTCGAATAGCAAAAAATTCTAGTCTCGTCGTGCATTGTTCGTGTATTTGACGTCTTTTGTAACTAGATTCCTCATCATCCTCAGAATTTATTATATTCTTTATTTATTTGTATTTAAACAATTTCGAATAACTTACAGTAAGGTAAACTTTTTATAGAATTTGTATTTCTGAAGACGGTGACGAACAGTGCCCCCCTCCTCCCCCCTTCTTTTCCCATTGATAAAACAGATCTATTGTCTGAATCCTAATCGCTTCAAGCAATTTATGTAATTTATATTTTTGTAATTTCTACGGATAGGATTCTTGAATCCTGAAAATTTCGAATTTATGTACCCCCTCTCCCATCGGCCATTGAACT